AAATCAGTGTCGATTTAAATTTTTCGTTGACTGAATAATAAATGCGCGTACACATATAATGTACGCAGTCTCGCGTACTTCTCGCTGCCTTTAACATACAAATCTGAGATGCTTCTATAATTCGGACAGTCATTGTGGAAAAATGACGAATGTGAAAAACTGCAGTGATTGTGTGCATACACCGAGTCGCACATCTCGATCTTAGCTACAGTAAACTCAACTGAAATTTTTTTTATTAATTATTGATCATTTCTTTTTATATAAAACAATTAACTTAAAAAATATACAAAAATGATTACTATTACACTTTTTCAACACAAAAGTATACATAAAACCATAAATTCGCCAAGAAAACACAGAAAATAAAAAATTATTATTTAAAAAATTAATTGATTAAACAATTTTCAGTTGCGATTACTGTAGCGAGATGTGCGACTCGGTGTACGCACAAAATGCATAGGATATCGCTACAGTTTTTCACATTCGTCATTTTTCCACAATATCAATTTTAATATTCGCACAATTTGTTCTAGCCTAATAATTTAATTCATTATAATAATGTCATCCTTCTGAGGCAACACAAATGATTCCAGGACCAAGTGGAAAAAACAGCTAACATCTTCGATTCGACAAATGTGTCGAGAAGTCTCGCAGCCATTGTTCGCCACAATCAATAACAATTTAACAGATTCATTGCCATCTCACAAGTCGAATTCATAAATTTACTTCAAATATTATCTTCGTCGAATGGTTTCTGTGAAACAGTTGAACTCTCATTTAATGAATATTGAGTCGTCTCGTTGATCTATAAGTACATATTAATAAATATGTATCATTAAAATAAAAAATAGAGAATTACCTTTTCAAATTCTTGATCAGAAACATTCAACGGGGATTTAGTGACTGAAGAAAATGGCCAAATCTAAAAAAATAATAAATGATAATGTCTTTTAGATAAAATTGAATTTACCGCCTCGGTCTTCCATATGAAAATAATTATGAAAATAAAAAAGGCGAGAAATTTCATATTTTTCATCCAAATGAAATCATTTATTCTTTTTCACCCATAAAATAGCGAACATTTCAAAAATATTTACCTTTGAGATAATATTTCACTTTAAAAACGATCATTTTCAATAACCATTTACTAATAACTAATACAATAACAACAAACATATAACCATAATAAATAAACATAATAATATTTGAAAGGTTGTCAAGTTCATTAAAAAAACCAGGCAATTTTTGGGGGGATGACCATCCAAAAATGGCAAAAATAGTATTGAATACAACAATTACAAATCAGCGACTTTACGATTTTCAAGTTCATGAACCAATCGCTCAAATTCCTCATTTAGTCGTTGACTTTCTATTAACAATGAATTGGCTTCACTTGACAGAACGTTTAAGCGATTCGTACTTTCTTTTGCTTCTGAAAATAAAATAATCGAGGTTTTACATTTATATGAGAACAACTGTTTAGTTCGGGAATAAAATATTTCTACCTTCAAGTAGTTCCATTTCTACTTTGTGTTTTTTATTCTCATGATCGATTTGGATTTTCTCAAATTCTTCCCTTTCACGTTTCATTTTGAGTTTCAGTTCTCCTGGCAACTGGTCCGCACATTGCCAGTTCGTTTTATCCATTGTTGAATTAGCAATGCAAAATGAATGCTCAGCTATAATGAATAAATGAAATAATATAAAAGTTAATATTCACAGATCTATTCATGAAATGTATTACTTTACACAAAATTAAAAAAAAATTACATGACATAAATAATTAAAAAATGTGCATTTTTATATAATTTCATTGCAAGAATTGTAATTTTTACATTTCTAATTGCATGAATAGTCCCATTACTTACCATTTGGAATCTCAATGTAACTGAACTGATCTTGAGTCTCTTAAAAATATATTAATTGAACCTCTTATTTAAAAAATGTCAAACCTTGCAAAGGTTTTCTCTTTTTCTCTTCCGATTCGAGCTGAATTGTCTGAATTCGCTTTCTCCGAGCTACTTCCAAGCAATCCGTTGGCGTTTCAAATCTAAATTTCAATAAATTAAATTCATAAAAATATATATATATAAAAAGCAAACAACATACGAAAACTTTGATCGCAACTTTTCTCCAGTGGCAAAATTGTTCAAAAAATGAATTTCATTCCGTCGCATTTTTTCGGATATCTCTTTAATATCTCGTCGTTCTTCGGTATATCTTCGCCATTTCTCATAATACTCCCTAGTAATTCGCAACCTTCTTCGTTTTTGGAGAGCGACTGATTTAATAAAGGTTGTAGAATCATTGAGCAACGACGACGAGGAGGAAGAAGAAGACGGAGGCAGCCTCGCATACTTCCGAACCAAGTCGTTTTCAGTTTCTAAAAAAAAGGTTAGCATTCTTTCGTTTCATTTGAATATAATACCTTTCGATTCCCATTTTGGAATACACAATTTCAACATTTCCCTTCGTTTTGTCTTGTATTCTCTTTTCAGAATAGTAACTTCTCTCCATCGATTCCAGAATTGAAGAATCCATTGTCTGGATATTCTCTCTCGAAAATCTTTTAGCCCATTCTCGATCTAATATAATGCAATACATCACTTTTATCTCTATATATTTTTTAAACGAACCATATTCTTGTCATGAATTGCTTCTTCACAAATCATCAAAACTCGCGAATCGATCATTTTTACAACTTTTTTTTGCCAAAATTTTTCCAAAATTTTTTGTGCGATACGGCTTTCCCTCTTTTTTCGTTCATTTCTATAAAACTAGTTTTAAAAAACACACGTTCAAGTATGTTTGAATCCGTACCGCATCTCTGTTAATATAATTTTTTCGACTCCTCTTTTCACTGTATCTCGTTCAATATTTTCAGCGATCTTTTTCGAAGTCGCTTCTTCTTGCTCCCGTTTTCTTGTTTCTCGCTCAAGCTTTAATCGTTCCTCTTCTTCGCGTTTTTTCCGTTGCATTTCTTCTTGTCTCTTTTGCCGCTTTAAAATGTTCGATTTCATGCGTTCTTCAGTTGCCAAATTCCTGTAGAAACCGTGTTTATTTTTAAATAAAGTAAATCTATTCTCTTACATTATAATCTGATCTATTACGTTCATCGTTAATTTTTGTACAAGATCCTGAATTTTCTTCTCTTCTTGTCGCTGAAAATGCTGTCATGCACATTTAACGTTATTTTTACATTTTCGGTCATTTCATGAATAGGCCATATAACATTTCAGATTTTTATTAGTCAGCTTTAGAAAGCATTATGAAATTTATTAATGAAACTTTAAAATTTTCTTAATAAATTTTAAACGTTCTTATAAAATTTGAATGACTTAACTGATTATGTTTCAAGAAAAAATGAAAAGAACCTTTCTCCTTTCGAAATCGTCTTTCAGTTTTTGTTCAATTGTTTGTTGCAGGGATTCTTGGCGAGTTTCAAAATGTGAAATTGAAGCCGAATCAAGAACTGTCTTCAATACTCGATCATTTACGTATCGATTTTGATAGTCGAACGAATTCGAAACATCGGCGCGAGATGCAAAATATTGAAACGTTTCGGGTCCGTACACAACCTATTCGTTCACAGTTTGATTATCTATTCATCATATTCTCGAATACCTGGCTATATGGGGCATTTCTTTTGGCATCTATCCAAGAATAGCACTTCATTGGTATTATTTCTCCAAATGTCAAATAGTCACGATTGAGAACCACCTAAAACAGATTGATTTAAAATCATAATATGTCTAACCGTCTTACCTGGCCTGCTTCTAAACCAGTAATACCATATGCTGAAAATTCAGATGTTGCGTCTTCCATGTCGTCATAGGCCAAAATACTGCCTAACTTTTCAATTGGGTACGCCGCATTTTTGCCATAGGAGGATGTCATGGTTGTCAAAGCATGCTCTCTTGCCTGAATGTGTCACTTTTAAAAGGATGTTCCGAAAGAATGATTTTAAATCAAACCTCTTTAAAATGTTTGTGGGAAACACAACACTGTAGAAAAGTTGCCTTACTCTTCATCAATCGAAAGAATCTTTATGAGAAAAATCGTTGATGTGAGGCAACATTTGAAATTTAAACCTGTAGTAGTTATTGTTTTGAAAGCTCGTCGATAATTGTAGAGCAAGACAAACATCACTGGACTGTCTTATTTCGCGTTTATATGATAATACCTGGATAACAGAAACTTCGAGAGTTTTCGCAATAATTTCTAACCTGCGAAAGAACGTTGGGATCATTCATATACATCATGACATCATATGCGCGAAACTCGGCTTCATTTTCACAAGGAATACCTCTTCTTTCTGAAAAAGTTGAACAATTAGTTCACCAGTTTCAAAATTGGGAAAAATTACCGAAATCTTCATACAAATGTCTTAGAGTTTGAAGACATTTTCCCAGGTTTTCATTATTCATTTTTTGGTCGAAATGTTCTGTCTCAAGTGTGCAGAGGATATATCCACAAAGAATATGAAGCCTTGTACATCTTTCGACGAGTTTCACCGCAAGAGGGTCAGACATCGACAATTGGGTGACTTCTTTCCGAATAGCACGAGTTCGACTCCATAAAAAGTTGTACCAAGAAGCTTTTTCGACTTCGGTTTTGGGCAGCTCATTGAGAAACTGAAAAAAAAACGGGAGATTCATTATGAATTTGGAGAAAGCAGCTTGCATTGTGCAATAAGTGTGACATAGTCTGGTTCATCATTTTCTCAGAACGAAGCTCATGCGGCAGAGACTTTTCCTGATCAGCAGCGGAACGTGCGTACTCCTGCAAAACCGAGATTCTGAAATATTTAACAAAGAATTAAATACTTTAATCATCATTTCATGAATCGGTTCGCCCGTTTCTTCATCGCATTCAAACTCTGCGACTCGATTTTGAGTGATGCGCACATATCGTTCTTTTTCAGAGCATAATTCTTCACATCGCGCAATTCGCGCGATCAGTTTTGGATTTACCTAAACAAAATTGTAAAAATAACAAACCATACTAATATAGGCTATGATGTTATACTTCTCTTAACTGGCATAGAAGTTTATCTCGTTCATCAAGAACAATGTACTTTTCGTAATCACCGGGACATTCGCGGCCTTGCAATTCAGTTAATTTTCTAAAAACTTTTTGGAAAATGTTTAAAAGCGGAACATACCTAAGAATTTTTGATTCCTCTTGATTTTGTTCTTTTTGATCAGGAGAAAAACTTCGAGGTGCCGGAGAAATTCGAGATTTTAAGTCATGTAGCCTTGGGGGAACTTTAAATTTTACACTTTCTTCCGCGACCGCTGTAACCCCAAACGGTTGCTTTGGAAGAACTGAAGCGAGCCGAACTCCAAACATTGATACAGGTTTCGAAGAGGAATCAGTTTCGTCAACTTCTAAATTTCCAGCATTACTTTCTTCCGTAACATTTAGCGTACGTTTACGATTCAATTTAAATCTCCCTGTGGATGGAAAATTTGAAATATCCTTCCGCTTTGATCCAGCTACAATTTCAGCAAAAGACAGTTTCGGTAGAGTTTCAGAGCTGTTTGAAACTAAATTTTTTTAAGTTGTATTTTTTATTTTCGAAAATAAACCTGCTTTAGAATTATCGTCGTCATTACTCTTCTTATTGTTGAATGAAAATTGAACTGAGCTCATTCACTGAAATTAGTTTTAATAAATTGGATAGGTAAATTAACTTCATCATAAGAATCTTCGAATTTTTCAATTTAAAAATTACTCCGTGTGGACTACAAATTCCAACTACAAAACTCCAATTTACGGCCGCGCTTACTTTAGCGGCAGCGGAAATTTAAAATTTCGCTTCATTGCTTTTCAATATTTATATCTGCTTCAATTGACTAATCTGGGGCGGAAAATTCGAATTCGGGGAAAATGTAATTCTACGAACTCGAAAATTTACGCACTGACTGCTATAACTTCGCGGATGCTAAAGTGAGACACCATGGCACATAGTCAATAATATTATTTTAAATTTCGATCAGTCGTTTCTACTACGTGAATACGTCCATGAAATATTTTTATATATCTTAGTCGTAAAAAGGTAAATCGAAGTTGAATCATTATTTTTTCATGTAAATAGTTGTTTAGTGGATCTTTTCATGCAGTAAAAAAGTGTTTTTTTAATTACACGTTTTTTTTAATATAGGATTATAAAGAATGCACATTTATGTGTTTATTATTTTAAAAATATTTAATGTATGTATTATTTTCAAGTGTCGTATTAATTGTTGCGTAAACTCCAACTACTAAAAATTATCCAATTAAATTTTACGTTGGAAACGTGACACTATACTGGATGCCACGACGTTTGTCGTCAATAGTTGGTTTTGTTTTGCAAAAGAATTACCAAAACTATCAATGCTCATACCTTCATCACTTTTTTCGTATGTATTTATGTTCATTCTTCATATAATTTTTTACATTAATTCTTAACCGGGACATTTCTGGAAAAGGAAAACGTATCGGATTCGGTTCTAAAATCGACCCAATCTATGAGAAGGTTATAAACAATCCGATTGGTAACGGTTTAGATGTTTCATATCCAATTTAAATTTTTTTATCCCGAGTTTTTTAATCGAATTGTTCAATTCATAAAAGTTTTGTTTTATTTTATTATAGATTCGTTTTCTTAACCAATAATCCGGTTGAGGATGGCGACAAATTTTGTTCCATTGTTTTCTGTCTATAAGAGCGTTGGCTAGAGTTGCGCTATGTCCGTCAACAAATCACTGAATAAAATTAAATACCAATTCTTTTGACTCCACGCCTTTCTCTTCGCATGGGAAACCCCCATTTAACATTTCTTTCTCGTGTTTAATCCAACTACTCAATAGCTCTTCACATTAAACTGAAAATTACATTTTCTTCATATTTAAAACTCGAAAAGATGCATATGCCTATTCACCACTTCAACTAGTTGACTTGTCTACCATTTTCAAGGTTAACTACTGTTTCAATTGGCAAAACGCCAACTTTCAAAAATGCGTTTGCGCGCGAGACGATGGACGGCGTGAAGAGGCTCGTGTTGTGTGTCGTGTAGAAGTAAAAGTAGGGCTTGAGGTCGATATCGCGATTTTTCCCAATTGTGTGTTCCGAAACCAGTTGTGTAATCTAGTCCCTTTTAAGCTTTTCCACGTGCTTTTCATCTTTTCGATTTATATTAGTTCTAAAATAAATTCGCTTTCAATAGTAAATCAAGAATCAACTCAAATTTTTTTTCATACAAAAATCAAAAGAAAAATGAATGGTAATCCTTTGACCGAAGAAAGGATTATGGCTGTGCGGTCAACTCTTTTATTTTTCGTAAAGATTCAAATCTGTCCTTCAAGTTGCCTTTCTTTAAAGAAAATAGTTGTTCCTACGAGTAGAAAAACAACTTTCTTAATTTCGAAATGCCTTATACTCAATCAAAGCTTTGACAATAGACTTCTGGTTCCATTCATGAAATGTATTATTTTACACAAAAGTGTATTTTTTTAAAATTACATTTCATGAATAAAACTTTAAGAAATATTTTAAAAAATTATAAGAAATCGCTAAGTTTTCTGTTATCAACGAATTTGAAAATTCCGACTTTGTCATCGATCAAAGATGAGTTTTCATTTCAAATTGATGCGCATCTGTCAACTCGATGGATATTGAAAAACCCGTTCTAGAATAGAAGATTTCTCGCAAAATCATACGCATATCAATTGTAAATAGTTGCGCGGTGCACTACGAAGTTGTAAGCCAACAGATGTTGACCGGCCTTCATTTCCGCTCTCAACAACCACCCTCAACGAACTTTCGTGTGTTTTCAGTTTTTTTGTCGCCATCCCGTCATTCGCTGCCCGTATCAAAACCAGTTATTTGCCCATTTTTGTTCAAAAATGCAAATTGATTTTGACTCGGTGTTGGCACAATATCTCTCTTCATTCTATTCATTCGTTTTTATATTTGTCAATGATTTTTTTATTCACTATTCGAAATCAATTTTCCGTGGAAATTTGAGACGTTCAGAACACTCAATTGGCCACTTTCCTTATAATTTTGTTGGTGACAGTATCATATTTGCCCGCCTAGCGCGATTGGAAACTAAACAAATACTAGGTTTGGTTATTTTTTTTTGACAGAAGACAAAAACCACAATAACTACGTCCCGTAATGTACATCTTATCTATTAGTAGGCGATAGCTGAACTATCTATTAGTAATTAAAAAAACACTACGTACTAAACATGTTGAGTCTTTTTTTAATCGTCCTATGTTCCATTCACATTTACTTTCAAAAAATCAAACGACCATAAAACTTCTTCCTCTTTTTCTCGAAAAAAAAATCTAATTGATCTAGTTCGTTCTGTATTTGATGTCCGCCCACGGTTACATCAAATTGTTGCTTATTACTGGACTGAATGTTCTTGCTGATCGTCTGACCAAACAACACCCATTACATTTTCGAATGCATTTGGAAGTTTTGCTCTTTTTATTGTCGCTCACGTGATCTTTTACCAACCATTCTCTCATTTCAGAAACGAAAATGCCTAACTGCCCACGTTGTCAGAAACCAGTTTACTTTGGTATGTTGGCCAACTCAAAGGCTATCTTTAATTAAATATTCAGCTGAACGTGTTACCTCTATCGGATTCGACTGGCACCGTCCGTGCTTGCGTTGCGAGAACGATGCTTGCAAGAAAACACTGGCGGCTGGAAGCCACTCCGAGGTAAATATCAGAAATATAAATATTAAAAAAAAAAACGAATTAATCTAAAGAAAAGTAAATTATTAAAATTGAAAAATTAATTTTTCCAATCCCTTAAAATCATTATTAAAATTCAGCGTGAGGGAAAGCCATACTGTAATCGTTGCTACGGAGCTCTCTTCGGTCCACGCGGATACGGACACGGTGGCGTCGAATCGCACACTTTTCATCAAGGACAAACCGGACAGGTTCATTAATTATTCTCTATATTTTTGTTTTTTGTTTATTCCTAACTATTGAATGGTTATGTTATTTAATTGGTTCGAAATTTTACGATTTTGCAGGTTTAAGGCACAACGACGAACACAATTCGAACCGCATACCATTATGAATTCGCGCAACAATGTACCGAATCGGCATATTGTGACCTACTATTAACAGTTATTATATACGTATTTTCTTAATTCTTTTTCCCCGAAAGAATTTCCTAGATCGTACACCCCGTTTCCTACTATTTTAATAAGTGCGCTATTAATTTTAATAAAGATTGCATTGTCAATGAAGCCTAAAAGTTGGAAAAAACATTTCAAGACTACTGATAATGCGATGGGAATTGTCTGATAATCCGCATATTCTTAATAATCCGCATGAGTGAGAGACATTCATTCTCAATTATTGTGCACCAGGCCTAATATCGATTTATTTGTGTTTTAATGCCCCGAAACCGTTACCGTACAAGGAGACGAGGCGAGACTACATGGAAAGAAAGATTTACCGTTTGGAAACATAATCGAAGGAAACCAGGTGATTATAGATGCATTATTTTTTTATTTTAATATGACAATGATAAACGAAATTTTAGAAATTGGCTTTGGGCCAAGTTGTCTCGAGACAATGAAAAGTATTAATTCGCGGAATTTCGCGTCGGATCGGGTGGATTCAGAAGCGGAATATTCTCTGGTCCAATTACTTTTGATTTATGACGGAATTCGAAAATACCGATAAACTCTAGTCCTTCCTACCAGAGCTGCACGGAATTCCGTTTTCCGTACCATTTTCCTTTTCCGCGTTCCGTCCAAAAAAATGTGTTCCGTATTCCGTTAAAAAAATTTATTCCGACTTCCGTATTCCGTGTTCCGCTTGAAATATCTCCCAATACCTAGCATGTGTAGCGAATCTAATAAGATTTATAGCACAGCCGAAGAAATATGTTCGACAAAAAGAAGGTCCTTGTCGAATGAGCATGTAGAAAATCTCATATTCTGCACTGTCAATTTCAAAGTATTCGAGTTAGAATAACTTTGTGTTTTTGTGGAAATTAATTCTTCTGTTTTGTATGCTGATTTTGAGATATTTATTGACCACATCTTTCGCGTTTAATTTCTGTTGCTTATAAGCTTTTTTATAAGTCGAGGTTTTAATCTGCCGAAAATCTCAAAACCCATTCAAATGACGCAAAACATCGATTCAAAAGTGAATTGCAATTTTAGGATGGCTCGAATTGGTTATTTACGGAGTGTTGTTGAATGTTGTTGGAGCTGCACTACTTCTCATTAAAGCTCAACTCGATAAGGATGTTGTAAAAGCCGCAGTAGATCAAAAGTTTCGCGACGCAGGAATAAAAATAAATTCAACAATAACTGAGGAGCATGAAGATACACCTGAGCCGAGCTCTGTGCTAATGGTTTATTTGATCAGTTTGATTATTGATTTAAAATTATTTCCAGGTTCTCATAACAATGGGCGGTCGAATGGCAAATGTTATCGGAACAATGAAATTGTACAAGGTTAATTCAACAAATCGAAATTCGATTATAAACATTTTTGAAGGGACTCGGAAAATATCTGTCGGATCGGAAACGCAAAAAATTTCAAAGTACAACGGAAAAGTTTCAAAACGGCGAAGGAGAAACCGAATGCACCGAACTTCTCGCCGATTGTTGCCAAGTGTTTTGAGTTTTCATTAGCATTTCATAAACGGGTTGTACAAAAGCTATGCTGCTCCAAACTCGAGAATTTTCACAACAACTTGTTTGTTGTCATCGGCGATAGCTGAGCGACAAGCGCTAACAATTCGCCGATTTGGTTCGCCAACTAAAAATGGCAATAATTTCAAACAAATGATTTAAAAAAAAACATACCACGAAGCTTTGCAGCGTTTTCGATAATTTTGTGAAGTCGTCGAAGAGATTTCACGCATCGTTCATTGTTGTTCCATCTTAAAAGAATAAAATTTAATTGTCGAATCGAGCACATACTATAGTAAAGATACGAAAACTATATATTATTAGAAGGGACGAATTTATGGGGGTGCGAAGATCAAAAATGGCTAACGCGTTTGATCATTCAAATTTGTAGTCGGTCTTCAACAAGAATTCACCTCAATAAAGCAGCTTGTCTTGCAGCTGATTCCATTTGCTTTAATCTCAAATAGAATTTTCTAGCTTCCGGACTGAAATATATCGGTTTCAGTTTTGTTTTAATCCGATCTCGTTACATGTTGTCAATTGTAATTGAGTCCTCTGCTCGAATCAATGTCTCTTTCACTGTAGACTGTCTTTCTTGCAATTCAGCAGTGAGACGATCACGCAATTCCGTCATCGAGTCAATTTCCGACAGAATCTCGTCAGCTTCTTTAAACTCATTGGCGAATTGAGCATGTGATTCAACGTTGCTGATTTGGAAATAAGCGGCAAGGTGTTGAATTATGTTTCCAGTAGTTTCAATGCAATCATGATAAATCACCATCTAATACTTTTTGTTAGTAGAAAAATTAGAAATATTTGAAGCAACCTTGTTTTCTTGAACATCGTATCGAAAACAGAGACAAATTCCTTTCTTTGGTGCCAAACCAATGAATCTGAAAACAATTGGATTTTAAGGAACATTTTAAATAATTACTTTAACTCAGCTTTCTTCAGATCCGGATCAAAAGCTTCTGTCTTCTCATCAACCACAAAGCATTCATGAACCCAATCGAAAAACTAAAAGTATTCTATTTTATTAATTGAAATACATATATTTTTTTTAAAACTTTGCCCGGTTTTGCTTTAAACTCAAATTCAACAAAACATGTCGGTTCGTTCCAAAATGGTGGATTCGATGTTAACGTAAACCGAGCAAAACGAGGGATCAGTCGAGCCATTTCAAAAACATGTAACTTGTATCTGCAAATCTTGAATGTACTCGTCTGAAATGAAAAAAAGCATACGCATCGACATGCCCCAAAAATGATTTGATATGCATATCATTCGGTTGATCTTTTTCTGGGACCAATGGTATAACAACCCGATCACCCTGCTTATCGGCCGTTGGAATCCTAGAGTTTTCGATATTTTCATTTCAAGAAAAATCTAATTCTGTAACTTACCAGATGTACGATTCTCCTTCAAAAAGTCCTTCCGCAAAAATGATAACCGCACGAACGAAGATTTTATGGGAGGCCTCGATAACTAAGTTAAGTGTAAGCTCATCATAGTTCACTGAAGGAAAATTGCATCGTTGAACATTGGAATATTCGTCTAAACATACCAACGTAGAGGCAGTTGACAGTTGTATCGATAGGAATCCTTTGATCTCTTTCTTTATCGGCATCCGTTAATTGCTCTTCGGCTTCATAATTGGATAATTCCATCTGTAAATTTATATTTATTAATGTCAGATCTACATAGATTTTACCATTAAATTGTGCTTCTTTTGCCCGAATTCACGAATTAATTCCTGCATAGAATCAACGGGTTCTTTTCGCTGTTGCAATTTGTAGCCATGAACTTTTCCATCAGCCAGTATTATTGTGATCTCGGAGTCTTCACATCGCTCCTTTCTCGAAATCGTCGCAGCAGAGACCGCACCCGAAAGTGATTGGTCTTTTGACGAAATATCTCCGTTGCTTACGAATCGCATGTCAATCTGATATTTTACACATGGAAGCAGATGGTTAAAAATTGATGGTACCTTTCCATGTTTCCATACGCAAGTCATCAAATTATCATCAGGAAACCGAAACATCGCCGATATATTGTTCTTGGATTTGATACGCCATGTTCGTTCTTGATTTCGATAGACCCCCACCGTTCCATTCGCAAGTGCATATCCGAACGCATTGCTAAACAACATTATTAAACGTCTATCCATCTTTTGTGATATAATTACTTGGATACGGTAACCAAACTTAATACGGCATCAGTTTCCATCATTTCCCATCTCATCAAATCGTTTTTAAAAACTCGAATCTCGTAATCGGGCGAACCAATGATGAGTTCGTTTTCTCCGTCGTTGTCATAATCACAAATGCACATAGTAGTAACAACATCACCTAAATTTTTATATCATAAGAACTATTTCGAAAACAGTATACCAGTTACTGTCCAGTAACAATTTCCACCATCTTTGTCAAAACCCCAAATACAACAATTTCCGCCACAATAAATTGCCGGTGGGTTTTCAGCCACTTTTCCTACTGCGAAACAGTTTACACCATCAGGAACCTCGTTTCGGAAAATTGTTTGATTATTGTGAACGTCGTAACAAATCACGTGCGAATCAGTTCCAATCAATAAATAATCGTATCCAGGCCCAAACGGAGCTGCAGCTATGCATCGGATTGTTTCAGCAATATTGAGCGCGGTTTCAGAATCTAAAATGTGGGACTTCGATAAAAACGTGCCCATTATCAGTTGTTTAATGCTGATTCACATTAAAACAAACTGGTATGAACATCTCGTTTTTTTGTTGTTTAAATATACCTTTGACTACTATTTTGTTTGAGGTTGTCACTGCTAGCAAACAATCCGGTCCATTTGGTTCCAAAACAGCCGAAAGGACACAGTTTGGCAAAATTCGATGATTTAGTGAATATGAAAATGTTAAACATAGTTCATATTCATTTGGTGGGGCTTCTTCTACCACTGGTTCCCGTGAGGAAACGTTATCGTCGGACATAATAAATGACCAATGTCACTCTGTTTGGATATTTGCTGCTGTGTTGGTAACCATAGAAACGAGAATCGCATTCCATTTCTGAACGTGCTTAAGTTAACTAGAATTATACTTCCGTTTTTTTTTTGAAACTATATCAGCCATAGATAAAAGGTAAAAGAATTCAAAGACAAAGGAAAATAATTGAAATCGTTCATTTTTTTTGAAGTAATCAATAAAAGTAATCATTTTTTTTTTACTTCAAGTTTCATTTTACTAGTTTTTTAAGCCAAAATGTGAACATTTTTTCTCATTTTATTGCATTATTTTCCTCAAAATTATCCAAAGTGTAATCCATAAACCACAAAAACCAAATTTTTCGAACATCCAGCAGCAAACGATTTTCGCAAATCTGCTCTACTGAGACGTTGGTCTCGCAGCGAACTTTTATTTTACTACATGTTCCTTTAGTGTATTTGAATTCTTTTCTTGTCCTTTTCAATTTTTACACGTTTTTTCGATTTTTCACTTGTTGCAATTTAATTTTTTCATTTAAACTAGTGACTAATTTTTAGTTCTGTGTATTAAAACGAAATGTTTGTTTAGCCTTCAGCACTGTCGTTTGATATTATATTATTTTCATAATTTAGGTAAATTTCGTAATGGCCCGAAAAGACAGCGAAAGCAGTTGCTCCAGTGAGGATAGTCATACTCAAGAAGATTATACTCTTGCCAACGATGCTGTGACGACTAAATATAATGTTGCTGCTGATATTACCAATGCTGCTCTGAAGGTATTATTCCGTGTTGAGTTTTAAAATGGATGTAGGTATTTTAGGAAGTTATTGCTGCCGTTAAAGAAGGTGCAACTGTTGGAGAACTTTGTGACTTAGGTGATAAGATCATTTTGGAGAAGACTTCGAAAATGTATAAAAAGGAGAAAAAATTGACCAAGGTTCGATGAATGATAAACACGATTTTTAAGTAAACGTTTGAAGGGTATTTCTATGCCAACTTGCATCTCTGTGGACAACTGCATTTGCCATTTCTCCCCACTACGATCAGAGGCTCCGGTTACATTGAAAAATGGCCAAGTTGTCAAGATTGACCTCGGAACACATATTGACGGTTTCATCGCAACTGCTGCTCACACTGTTGTTGTTGGAGCTTCTAAGGATAACAATGTTACCGGACCTATTGCAAATCTTCTCAAAGGAACATACGATGCTCTCGAAGTTGCCATTAGATCCCTCCGTCCTGATACCTTGAACATGGATATTACCAAAAACATCGATAAAGTTGCTACCGATTATGGACTCACTCCAATTGAAAATATGGTTTCTCATCAACTTGAGAGAAACGAAATTGATGGTGAAAAACAAATCATTCAAAATCCAGGGGAGAAACAACGGTCTGAACTGGAAAAGGTAAATAACGCACAATCTTGCATTAAGAAAAATTTTAATTTAAGTTTAAAATTGACAAACACGAAGCATATGCTATTGATATTCTTTTTTCGACTGGAAAGGGTAAAGCCAAGGATATGGACACACGAACCACAGTTTTCAAGAAGAATGAAGCCGTGCAATATCAATTGAAAATGAAGGCGTCTCGGGTTTTCTTCACAGAATTAAACAAACAGGTTTTTAAATTTTGAAGATAAACATTTACGATCATTTTTCAGCATGGGCCGATGCCATTTTCTCTTCGTGGATTTGATGAAGAAACGAAAGCGAAACTTGGAGTTGTCGAGTGCGAGAAGTATGGTCTTCTGACACCATATCCAGTATGAGAAGAGCTTTAAATTTGTAAAAAATTACCACATTTTTATTTTAGGTTTTATATGAAGCTAAAGGGGATTTCGTTGCCCAATTTAAAGCCACTGTTTTGGTAATGCCAAACGGTCTATTGAAGATTACAGGACTTCCATTCGACTCTGATGTTTACCAAGCTGATGCTTCATTGAAGGTATTAGAAACAACAAAAACTATCTTCCAATGCATATTTTGCAGGATCCGGAATTGATTGCTATTTTAAAGTCTGCCTTGAAGCCGAAAAAGAAGAAGGAGACAAAGAAAGAGGGAGAACCCGCTGCCGCCAAAAAGGCTTAAATACATTTCTCCATAATTTTTTAAATCGTCTCCCTGCAATCGATCTTAAAGTATGCATTCGGTGTTATTTATATTTCTGGTATCAAAATTATCCGCGATTTTCAACCATTCTGCTTGTTAATTTTTGTCAAGTAAGTGGTTTGATTTATCGTTGTTTTTTTTACAAAAATTTTGATAATTTATGATTAAGAGGAATTAACAACGAATCACTAATACTTTTCGTTCCATTGCGCCCCCTGGTAGACTCAAATTTATGTTTGAAACTCGCTGTTAAAAGTTAAGAATTTTCTCTTGTTGAGCGATTTTTGTTGTTTAGTTGTTTGTTCCTTCCCCACACACCTACCTTTTATTTAGGAATTCCGGTTGATTCAATTTGGGAAAATTATCACCTCGGTTTTTTCTTCAATTTGAAGGGATATTTGTCGGTGAATTTTCGGTATGATTCCTTCACTTGAAACCACTGTTCTTATTTATCATATACATTGTTTATTATGTGGTCTATAAATTCGTTAATAATTGTGTTTTTTTATACGAAATAACAAACATAATTAAAAAAAAAATAACTGTTGTATAACCATACTTCACGACCATGTAAACATGCGCAAAATTCCGGAAAAAAATAGAGCAATACGTGATTTGTGACCGTATTGAAGTGGGCACAATGAGATAAGAGCGAGATGTGCATACATGCAAATAACGACTGGTCTGGTCCTCAGATATACTATAAAAGATGAACTACAATTCACGAGAAGCTACCGAATCATGCAGTTTTTGGCTTCTCTCGCACTATTCGTCGGCGCTGTGGCTGCTCAATGCCCGAATTGCGCAATTCCGATTCCATGTTTGTCGCCGCCATGCGGTCCTCCACCGCCGGTAAGACAGTCAGCACTTAGCTGCTTTGATGTTGATGTTAAGATTGTGATCCGTGCACCAGCTCCTCCACCGTTCTGTAGCTGTGGCCCACCACCGCCATGTTTCCAAGCACCATGTATGGCGCCATTGCCTCCATGCATCTCGTGTGCACCACCACGACCAACGATTGTTGTTGCGGCTCCACCAACGCCGCCATGTGTCGGATGTGCTCCCACTCCGGTTAGTAATTGAAGAACGATTCATTGTTGAATACTAGATTACAGATCTTCTTGCCTCCACCACCACCACCGCTTCTTTTCGGATCAATCTCATGCTGTTCACCGAATAGTAAGTTCCAGTCGTCTGGGAGCCCAATGACTCGAACTGGCTATGAAAAAATTCCAGACTACTCCTGCTGCGGAAGCTTGTTCCATCGCAGGATTTTCTCGAAGCGAAGCATCGACGTCGAGGCTACCTCAACGACTACTGAGAAACCTTAAAAGGAATCAATGTCGACACACTTGTTTGTATATCATGACAGCATTCGCATATTTATTACATTTTTCACTTTGCGATAAACCCATTTTTCATATTACCATAGCAAAAAACATACATAGTTGTTACTATAATTAGAATCTTTAAGAAGAGGTTACGTTTCAGACAATTTTTTTATTTCCTCTTCTACTATCACGCAAAATGTATGCTATTTTTTGTTATTATTCCGACAACTGTTGAAAAGCTGAAACTTTATCAATCAACGGTCGTGCACAAATTAGAAAACAATTTCAGTAGACTCTTATTAGAATCTTTCGGAACATCTTTTGAAACAATTCCATCGAAGTTGAATATACGCGTAAAATCTGCTCAGACAACAAGGCGTGCATAGCCTATCAGCCGATAGTAGAGGGAGGGGGGAGTGGAAATTTCCAATTAAAGCGTGCTGAAATTTTGGACAAACTCTTCACCATTTACTCGAGTATGATGGAGATGAATCCTAATCTGGAGCTCAGAAAGTATTTTTTTCGGTTGAGATCAATTTTGTGAGAAATGAGTGATCGATGAACCTTTTGAAGAGCGGCATGTGTTGAACATTTTTTGCCAGTCTCTCTCTCTCTCTCTCTCTCTCTCCTTATTGAAAAAAATCGTCGTGTTTCACATTATTTTGATAAGCGCCGAATCGAAGAATCCTATGGCGAAAATTTGTTGCATGTCGAAAAAAAGGATATTGCTGTTTTAAGAATTATGTGTGTAAAAATGGAAAGGTAAATAGTATAATTATTAAACCACGTTAAATTGAAGATCCACTGAAAATTTCAATAATTTCAAAAATTAGAAATACGAATTTTGAAATATTAAAACGAAACTTTGAGTTGTCGACTGTGTGAGAGAGAGGGAGGGAGAGAGATAGTGAGATTGTGAAAATGCATATTTTAAAAATTATTTTTAAAAAAGCGGATTGTCATGAGTCGCTCTTGTAAAGTATTTTTTAAAATTGATGGCTAATTAATGGATTTACTGAGATACTTTGAGCATGGAATGTTGAAAAGTTTTTATAACAGTTTTGTGAAACGAATAGTACATTTTCATTCCAGATTTTCGGAAGATAACATTTGATGAGGCACTGATAACTTATCGAGTGACGTCCGCCATCATTTAAAACTTTAAAGAAGATACGGTAGAACTAGGCATTTCCACGAAAAAAAGCGAGTTAGCCATTTCACTGCGTCTCCGTGTCTCTCAACGTGCCTCATCCTCTACGTCCCTAACATTATTGGCTGGGCCTATCTCTATACTCTCTTGTAATTGTGCACTCTCTGCTTACTCTGTCGTCATCCTAGGCCACCAATCGCACCGCAAAGGCCTGCAGTTGAGGCCCCTTCGTCGCCCGCCTCTCGTTTCACCTTTCTTCATCTTTTCACATATACTTCTGCTTGTGAGTGCAATGTGGCCGCCGACTGAAAATATTTGCCAATATAGGTTTGTTTCGACGGTATTGATTCGAAAATTCAATCGATAACTGACTTCAGCTACTTGGATCACAACAATCTGAGTCCGCATGTTCTCCATGAGCATTACCATCATAATCACTATCCGCATACATCCCAAAACAATTATGAATGTTTCCAGGTACCATTCCAAGTGTTTTAAACATGTATTTCATTTCATGCTATGACTCAAACCGAGAGCTCTTCCGAAATAATCGAAATTCAACTTTGTTGGATTTTGGTTTTAATCATTAATAATCAGATCAAAGTCACATAAATTTATTGAAAAAAAGTAATATTGGAGAAAATGAGGAATAATAGTTTTTAGTTTTTTGCACTGTCCCATTAGTTATCACATTATGTAGCCATCAATCTAGCAGACATAAAATTAATCGATCGATACCAAACATATTTTCGAATCACTTTTGGAAATGTTTCGAGACATTTATAATTTTGTTTCACATGAATTTCAAATTTGCAAGAATTTTTCCATTTTGTAAGCAATTATTTTCAGACGCTTTCTTGTCCATCAGATCTTCCTGTCGAAACCTCGTTCAACAATTATACAGATCTAAATAACTATTGGTGTCCTCCAGAAGATCATTGTGCTCATAAACGATGCCAAGCTCATTGGCACGAAAAGTGATTTCTGATGAAAGTGTGCGGATTCAATATTAATTCAATTTGCAGCATTCCGGAAGGACAATCAAAGATCTTCGAAGAAATCTCGAAGGAATGCGAGCATTTCCTCAAACAGGCCGACTGCGAAAAATGCAAAATAAGGTGAGAAACATTATTGACGTCTTCCATTGATTCCCTTGGATTTTCAGGCACCAAGACGGAGGCGAAGAGGCGATTCCGATTGACGATCTCGTTGAAATTGTGATGCAAACCGTCGACAATATAAAAGATCAAGTGTCGCCGAAAAATTCATCGGTTGACAAGAAACGTGAACAAAACAAAGTTGCTGCCGCTCGGTATCGCGACAAGCAAAAAGCCAGGTGATTAATTTGAAAAAAAAACACCGAACTGTCTGGTTTTTAGGTCAAAACCCCCCATTTTATTCCAATAGAAAAAGAACAATAAACAAACTTATTGAGTGTATATCTAAAATGGAACTAATTTCAGAATAAAAATAATGAAAAGTTGTATTTAATTTTGGCATTTTCTCATTAATCGAAAATTCCAACAAATTTGCTTTTGGTTTTTTTGCAATCAAAGTATCTCATCTCCTAATCGATAACGATATCAACGAAAAGTAATCATTTCAATCGGCTTATCGCATCATTTTAGTGTAGATCCGCTCCGCTCGAAAATTTCGATTTTCAGATAGTGAAACATTCTTTTAAAAATTTGTCAAAATATTTGATTTGAAACTGAAAATGATGCGAATCTTAAAATAAATGAGTCTTAGTTTTAGATGGAAGGGACTTTTGGAAAGCCGCGAAAAAGAAGAAAAACGAAATGTCGAGCTGAAATCGAAAGTCAAAAAGCTTGAAGAAGAAGTTGATGCCTTGCGAAAGAAGTTTTTGATGACAATAACTCAATAGAAAAATCGGCGAGAAAAAAAAGCAAATTGTGACGCATAATTCGCCATTTTGTGTTTGTATTTATGCATTGAAAAAACCAACCATAACCGAATAGATTTGTTTAAAAAAAGTAGGAAAATGTAGGGCGAATATTCTATGATTACTTTCGAGTGACTGCAATCACCCGACACAATCAATTGTTTGATTTTGATGCTGAAAAAAATATATAGAAGAATCAGTTTTGAATTGCGCGTATCATAAAAATAACGAATCTCGAGCGAAGAACACGTTTTCTCCGCCTATTCTGAATGTCGAACATCGATTTTTGACGAGATGGGCAAGAAGGAAAAGAAGACGATTTCATATATATATATATATATCTATATTTATATGTGTGTGTGTGTTTTTTTGCTTTTCTTTCCCATTTTTTTTCATTTATTTTTGTGTTCGTTTCTTAAGCAAACATCACTATTTCATTTGTTAGATTTATTCTCTAGTTTTTCAATGAAATTTTTCGTCACCGTCTCCGTATTTGTATCATCTTGTTTTATATAAACTAAATGTCTGACGGTGGGCAGGTTTTTGGAGAGAGCGGACACCCGAAGATTTTGCGATTCAGATCAAATTCTTTCATGTGTAATTTGTCATTGAACGTTTTTGCTTTTTCCAATAAAAAAATGGGCAAGCTGAACGGCTGACGGGATGATCAACGCGAATAAATGGAAAGTTGACGAACACGACCGAACCATACTCCTTCCAGGGACCGGAGGCTTTTGTAACCAAACACTTGTGTTGTTGGAAAAATCCCTAAAGAAAAGTCTTTGTATTAAAACATTCTATTTTCCCGAAATTCGAATTGATTTTGCTTGCTCGGAAACATGGAAAAATTTCTGAAACTTGTCGTTTCAGAATCATTCAAATAGAATTCTTTTTGCTATGGCCGTTTGGGGCAATTATTACCGCGCAATTATCGTGCTCATCGGATTTCTGTGCCTCGTATCGGTTTGCTCGAACTACATCATTATCAATTTCACCTTTATTTGTATGAAACAAGATTTGAATGATGCTGTTGAAAACAATGGGGTTCGTTTTTCGAAAAAAAAAAAGGAATTTCTTTAAAAAATTGAACGAATCATATATTTTCAGACTCTGAAAAGCATTTACGATTATACAAGTGATGAGAAAAAATTGATATTATGGGCTGTCGCTGCTGGAACAATCGTCGGAACATTCCCAATAAACGTGTTGTACGTGCACTTTGGAGCCAAGTATTCCTGCAATTTGAAAGCTTCGAGTTTCATTCCAATTCTCAGATTGCCATTTTTCTTGGCGGGAGTCCTCTCGGCAACCACAACTGCTTTAACACCTTGGGCAGCTCATGCAAATTTCCATTTTCTGCTTTTTCTTCGATTCTTACAAGGCGTCGCTTATTCTGCCGATTTTGCCGCAATTGGAGTCATCATCGCAAAATGGGCTCCTTTGAAGGAAACTGCAATATTCATTGCGATTTTGACATCCTTTTCCTCAATTGCTTCAATAATCACTAATGGAGTAAGCGGAGTGGTAAGAATTGTGCTATCGAAATATTGAAAGCATTTTCAGAATAATTCTAGATATGTGAGTCGTCGTTGGGATGGAAATGGTCGTTCTATTTCCATGCGATTGCTTGCCTAGTTGTATTCACAATTTGGCTCATCATCTATGAGGATAATCCGGCGATCCATAGGAATGTCTCAAAAAAGGAATTGAGCAAGATTCAGAAGAACAAATCGGCTGCTCATTTGGAAGAAAAACCGCAAGTGCCTTATAAGGCGATCATTACGAGTCCGACTATCCTTTGCGTTTGGTTGTGTGCATTTACCGAGCTATCATCGCTGATTCTGATAACCACTTATGCTCCAATTTACTTCAGATTCGTCCTAAAATTTCCGGTAGGTTCCATTTTGGTATTAAAAAATTCGGTTGAGGAGAAATGGGGCGTAGAAATGTGAGAAAATGTAAATAACAAAAAAATCGAGTAGGAGCCGAACTATCTAAACAAATCTGATCTGAACAATATCCAAACGGATCGGGTTTATTCCGGAGCCGAATTTTGTAAGATCCGATTTGTAATTTTTCGGATCCGATTAGTTTTGAGTTACGAGAAGAAATAATTTTCGATTTTTATGCGTATCTAACATATTCCAAATTATAGATGGAATTCGCATTGAAAAATTTAGCATTTTTGAATTGAAACTATTTATTTGATCTAAATTTGGGACAGTTGTCTGAATTCGTACAACTTGTGAACGAATTAGTTCCTCGTTTTATTATTGACGTTTTGGCGATAATTTGCTGCAGAAACACCAGATCTCTTCCATTCCGTTGTTGTTTCAAATCGTTACTATTCCCATCCAACTGCTTCACTTCACCCGAATTTGATTTCAGATTAAACAGATCGGTCTTTATGTCGGAATAATTGCTGCTGTCCATTTGCCACTTCGTTTTGTTTGCGCATTTTTGAGTGATAAAACAAAGTATTTTCATTTGTTGGTTTTCACTGATCATTGTGGAAAGGTTTTAGATGTATGTCGGAACGAGCCAAAATCTTGATCTTCAACACAATCGCCGTCGGATTTGTTGGAGCATCGTTCAGTCTTTTCGGCTATATTCCCGAAGAGAATCGAGTGGCCGCGGTTTTTGTGCTGGCGATTCTTGAATGTTTCATGAGTTTCAATTGCGGCGGATTTTACAAATGCGGCACCCTCCATGCTCGTCAATTCTCGCACGTTGTTATCTCGGCGATTCAATTCACCAAATGCGTCGCTCTTTTCACCGGACCCGCGTTGGTCGCGCATTTCGTTGATGATGAGTCGAATCAGAAACAGTGGACGCATGTCTTTAATGTTGTCGCTGTGTTTATGATAGTGGTGAGTGTGGTTTGTCTACATTTACTGCATATAGTGATCTGCACCATGGTGGTGTAGCGCCTTGGTACATCACATCACCTATTCTCGAATATTCGGATACCGATCTGGCGCATATCATTAACCGATTTGATGGATAGGCTGATGGAGTCGACCGATCGGTTCCCGAGCAGTTCAAATCTCGGTGGAACATTTGTATCTGTTTTTCGAATTCCGATCTTTCAGGCGAATATCCTCTCATTATTCTTGTTTACTGATAAGCCAGCAAAATGGACAGATACCATGGGAAGTGTGGAGTATAAAGCAAGATCATCATCATGTGAATAATATGCTTTGCGTGTTGCGTTTATTTCGCCATTTCTCCTTTATAAATCAAACCGCAACTGATTTTTCTTTTTGTTTCGATTCCATCGTCTTTTTTCTCCTATCTTAAACGTCTATTTCCGCGCGAAAACAACGGAAATCATGTCCCAGGAGTCATAAATTATAGTCTAATAGTGTTGCAGTAGGCCTTGAAGACTCACCAAAAAAAAACACTCACGAGATGCGATGATTTTGTGATCATTATCATACGATTCCTTTTTTTTGAAATATCGATAACCAATATTCTATGATTCTTATGGGCACACTGATCAAACTGTGAGAAATCTTATCAGAAAATTATTCAAAGGAGAGATGAATCGAATGATCTGGTTTAGAGATCAATTCACAGTTCAAAATTATTTCCAACGATTGGATCGAATGAATAAATTACAATGGTTTGATGTTTGAAAATAAAAAATGTTTATTTATCTATTGTAACCGTTGCTCGTACTGTGGAAATTGTCGAAATATCGAAACATTTCGCGAGAGGTCTTGGCGCGATGAATTCAGATGTTTTACCTACGACGACGAATATTTCGACATTAGTGATGTGAATTCTGAAAATGTTTATTTAAATATTTCGATGTTTCGATAGACAAAATTGTTTAAATTTAATGGGTGTTCACTTCTGTATTGTATAAAATGAGAAGTCAAAAGCATTCCGGCACATCAAATTTGACATGAATTTCTGTTATTGCTTTTCAGTTCAAGCTAATTCTTGCTAAATGTTGATTTCTCGCAATTTTTCATCAGGATTATGATTGTTCAATGAATCTCATTAACCTTTATTCTTCAATTTCTCATAAGAAGTTCCACACAATCAGTGATCGTGTTCGACGACGCATTCTACAGTAATTTATGATTGTACGTTTCGATACAGGTCTGCTGTTGTTAGATACAACACACCACTTGACGCCCACTTCTTTTTGAACGCCCAATGAACGGGTGTAGACTAGCCTAGCAATTTCGCTGATTTTTGCCGATTTTCAGGAGAAATGGATCCCGAACAGAACCCGACTCGTCATATCAATGAAAAGGGAATGAGCATCATTGTCACTTCGCTATTCATTGTTGGCGAAATCGCTGGAGCCGGATTAATTGCTCTTCCGACAGCAATGCTCGCTACTGGCATTGTGGCTGGAGTATTTCTTCTATTGGCCGCTTGCATCGTCTGCGGATATACTGCCTTTCTGCTGGCCGACAACTGGACGATGTTGCAGGATTTGTATCCAGAGTAAGTAGGCATATATTGCCGATCGGAATCAATGAATCATTCACAGATATCGAGAACATTGTCGAAAACCATATCCGTCGATGGGACAGCGAGCGGTGGGACCAAAATTTGCGTAGGCCCAACGTCGTTGTAAACGACTCATTTTTTTGAATTTTTAGCCATTTCGTCTCCGCTATTCTCCAGATTACTCAATTCGGAACCGCCGTCGTATTTGTCTTATTGGCCTCGAAGAATTTCGAGAACATTTTGCACGCCAATTTCGGAACTCATATCAGCTTCTGCTACATGATCATTATCGTCGCGATGTCCGTGTTCCCTTTCACACTTCCAAAATCACCCAAGGATTTTTGGTAAGCGTGAAACTGTTTTCCTTTTGACATTTTAAATCAGTGCAAAAATCGATTGAAAGTTTGTATTTTTTGTTGTCGTCGTCTAACGAGAAACCAATCACCGCCCATTAATCTTATATTCTGCAATGTCAAAGATTGCAAAATATTGATTACTCTTAACAAATAGGTAGTTTTGAGTTACGAGACAGAAGAACATCATAATCCTAGAAAGGACAAATCCCATGATAGACAGAAGATTTTATGGATCTATTCATGGAACGTGATTTTTCAAAAAAAAGTATAAAAATACATTATATGTGCGTTTTTTTAAAGCCCTGCATTCGAAAAAAATGTGTAATTTTTAATCTTTTTTGAAAAAATAACTAAATTTGACTTAATTGGTTTATTATAAAGATTTGTGCAAAATTCATTCAGGCTGGTTGTAGTCTTCGCCATGCTGAGCACTTCCATATCCGTGTTTCTCATATTGATCGGATCATACATGGATTCGTCAACGTGCAAACAAGACGTCTATTATCCTCCGCTGAATGTTTCAAAATCGCTGATGTCGTTCGGAACAATCATTTTCGCGTATGGCGGCCACGCGGCGTTTCCAACAATTCAGCATGACATGATAAAACCCGACAACTTCAAGAAATCGATTGTTTTATCGTTTTCATGTAACTCAAAATCAATGGAATTGCATAACGAGAAATGCGTTTGCAGTAACACTTCTCTATTATATTCCCGTTAGTGTTGCTGGCTATTTGGTGTATGGATCATCAATCACTGACTCGATCATTCCGTCTCTTCAAAATGTCACCATCCAAACAGTCGTCAATTTGCTCATCTCTGTTCACGTTGCTCTAGCTCTTACCGTAATCTTCAATCCATTAAATCAAGAACTTGAAGAGATCCTCAACCTTTCTCATGGTTTTGATACTATTTTTTCATCAAAAATTTTCGAGTTCAGATTTCGGAATAAGTCGCGTCGTTTCTCGCGGATTCGTGATGCTGATGGTAGTTTTTGTCGCCGAAACAGTGCCCAATTTTGGGGTTCTGCTTGATCTCGTTGGTGGCTCAACAATCACCATAATGGCTCTTGCTCTACCAGTTATTTTCAATTTTTCGTTGACAACAATAAAAAAGAAACGAGAAATGAAAGGAAAAGAAGCCAACGACGATACGATTACATTAAAAGAGTTTGCAAATATATAGACAACGAAATATTTAATGATTTGAGTAATTCAGAGTGTATGACACAATCCCGAAAGTTAAATTCTTGATTGGAATACTTATCCTACGTGAGTTCTCTAGCATAAACTTTATCAATTTACATTACAATAATCTCAAACTTTCATTTTTTTCAGTTATTGCTTTATTTGGCGGTATTGCTGCGACGTATTCTTCTCTCCAAACCATGTTGCAAAGCGAATTCAGCCCTCCAACATATGCTCGCTTTTGGAGCGAAAAGGCGAGACTGCTCGAAGAGCAGAAAATCACAGCTTTTGAGTATGAGTGTTTTAGACGTGAAACTTATTTAATCGAGTCATTTCAGAAACGGAAAAATTGCCTGCTGCGGAATGTATCGCAACATTTCCGCCCTCGGTCACAATTCTTGCATTCTGACGCCTGCTTTTCTAGAAGCGATTCCAAAGAAGTAATCACATTTCCATAATATTTTTACCGGTTTTTTCGGGTGTACAATTCCAAAACGTTCTTTTTATTTGATAAACAACTCATAATTATTTGAGAATAATTGTTACTATAGAATTCGCATCCAACTCTAGTGTATAAAACTGATCCGGAACGGACACATCGCTGATCGAAATTGAATGAGGTAGAACCTAAATGGAAAACATTGGAAAAATCTTTTGGCATTCACAATTTTTTACGGGATCTCTGTTCAGAATCACAACAGTTTTTGTTCCATCCTTATTCAGGAAAGCAACTCCTTCAATATCGTTGATTTTTTCAGCAATGTAAGTACCTATACGAATAGCTCCTGGCTTAACAAACTTGCTGAAATTTGAATTTGAGATAATTAATAAACGAACAAACCTGAAATGTGCCATCACGTGCCAAATTGGTTGCTTATAATATTCTTGTTTATCCTTATTTATGATGATTGCCGCGTCCACATAATTTTTGACCAAATTCGGTCCTCCGATCATGTCCAAAACCAAATTCCAATCAACAAAACCGGTCACCCAATTGGATATATCTCGAATAAGCGAATTTGCGTATTCTTCAGCACGAGACCATTTTCCAAGCTCGGGTCCAGTTGATCCAATATATCCGGCACATGCTTCAGTCGCCATCAAGAAATAGTCTGGATGGCGGTTGTGGGTTGTGGTGAGGACTGTCGCCGGCTCAATAAAGTCTTCGTACCAGTGAAGGGCGATACCGCTCACATATTTTGCAGCCATTGGATCATTAAGAATCTGTCATTTGGTAGAATTACTAAATCGATGTAATTCTTACCGTATCTGGCCAATGAGGAAGATTGTATCGTTGGTCATCATTGATCATGATCGTTAGGTTCCCAGTCACCGCATTTGCCTGAAGAGCAGGTCCCAAAAGTTTTTTAATAAAATTTCTGAAACCTAAAAATATATTATTTCAAAAAACTGAAACACCTCTCCATTGAAGCGCTGAAATACATCGTTTGCCATTTATAGTTAGGATCGAGACCGCTTGTTGGCTCATTTTGAACAGTTGTCGCCCAAAAGTCAATTCCCAATTTATGATATTCTTCGAAGAATCTGATTCAAAAATCGAAAACTGGCTTATCTGAGCAACTTACTTAACAAAATAGTTTGCCCATGTGTTATAATACTTTCCATTTTGATCTCCGAGCAGTTTGCCTCCACCGATCATTCTCCCATTCGTTTTCATCCATCCTGGAGCACTCCAAGGTGTTGCAAAAAGTTTAAGAGCGTTTTTTGATGCGGCTCGAGCTTTTTTGATGTACGGGATTTTGTATTTAACATCCTCATCGGCCAATTTAAAGTTAGTAAGCTCAAAATCAAGATCTGTGTCGTCATAACTGTATTCTCGAACAGAAAAGTCACAGCTTGCCATCGGCACTCTTCCGTACACATAGCCAAGCCCTTCTTCTCCGTAATATTGATTAATAATCTGATCTGCCATATTAGATCCAATATTTTCCAAGTTTATCCCAACGGCATCAGTGAATGCACCTCCAAATCCCATGATTGTTTGGAATTGTTCCGACGCATTAAATGTGAGTTTTACTTTCGCTAAAATATTAGCAGAATTAAAAATCTAGATATTATAACGAAAGGCTCTTTTAAGAATTCAAAATACACACCATGAGTTGTCTTTTTCGCTTCATGCTCACTCCTTTTCAACCGTTTTCCTGTTTTCGAGCTTGTGTAAACCACCGATTTTCCGGAAACAACTGTTCCAAGTGGTTCAATCGTATCGCAATATGTCGCATTACAAACACAAATCGGACCATGTGCTTCTTCTCTTAAAACACATGGCGAGAAACTACCTAGAAATTTGAAACAAGTAAACAAATTTGTCACATAAAATTTCATTTATAATCAATTCCATTAAAACCAAACTTACAGGTAACTGTGACAATGAGAAACAACACGAATAACGTATAAATTCGCATTTTAACACACACAACTGATACCAATTTCGTGCAATATATATTGCTGATAAGTCGCTAACTATGAGCATAACTAATCTTTGATAAGCGTTTCATATAATTAACGAAAATGTTATTTAGACAATCATTTTTGCAAGCAGACAGCGTGTGCAACAAATTGTTTCTCGCAGTCGATTCCACGCGGCGATGTTTCGGATGAGTTGAAACATCTGAAAAATCACAGAAGACATTTCGTGATAAAAACCACGTGTTCCGCAGTTTTTATTATCAATTACAAATTGATTTCGGCAAATTTTAGATAATAAAACTACACTAGAAATCATGAAACGATAGTGAATGTTTAATCTTTTATAAGAAATCAGGTGATTTTCAAACGAGAAATAATACTTCAAAGCCTCTCGTATGAGGTATCCGCATTGATGTGCGAGGGCAGAATGAAGACATGGGCAGCCGATATTGATTCTTCCATCAGGGTAAACGGAATCTTCAATAACACCAGTCCGATTATTCAGTGGTTCATTATCTTACCAGGTTCCTCAAATGGTTCAAAATATTTACGGTATTTCATTGGAACTGATTTAAAAAATTCAACTCTTGGAAGTATTATTGAAGAATCTTTTGGCATTCTCTGTTCAATTCAATAGATTTTCAATCAAATAGTAACGATAAATATTAGGGCGAATAATTATCACGTAATTAAAAAAAAACAAAATTATTCCCAAAATTTGAAACAATATTTATGAAATTAATATTTTAATCAGTAGGCTTCGGCTGCTCGGCCATCAGTCGTCGCATCTGTTCTCTCCGTTCCGCTGAAATTTAAGAATTACTTTCGTTATAAAAATGTGTTAAAACAGCATTTCATCGTCGTATAGGGTGAAATTAACATGTGAAACGTATGAGAACAGTATACATACAATTTTACATTTTTTTACTTCATGTTTTTCAACGGATAAATGCTAATCATGGGCGGTCTGCACAATACGATTTCGGTGGGAAATTGTATCTCCTAGACATACGGTATCCTGCATAAATCACATTGTGTACCGCTCTGGTAAATGATTCCTAGTCGTATACGAAAAAAGCGAATTTCTTCATCGTATAAGATAAAATTAAAATCGTATACGTTAATGGTAATCGTATAAGTTAATGTGAATCGTATAGGATCGTATACGATTCTGATGAATGGTTTGTAATCGTATACGAAACATCCGCATTTCCTCGTCGTATACGTTATTGCAAGGATCGTATACGATTTGGATTTTATCACAGTAGTGTAACCACCACAATGATACACTGCGGACATGCATTAAAATTGACGTCTAAATTCGAAAAACAATTTTCGAAAATTTTCGAATTTTTTCATATTCGATTTTTATGCGTATATTGCGTTTTAATATATATACTTTCCAAAAAAATCGTGCATTTTACTGCCCACGCTCTAAGAAATCCTTATTTCCTTTGTAGATATGTCGCAAAATTCAAAATTATTTGCATATCGAAAGCGATATCGTTACACCACACGAGAAATCATGGAAAACATATATAGGGAATATCGGAACGAGACGGAAACAGGTGATAACAACAGAAAAAAATGAAGAAAATAACTATTTTCAGAAAATAGAGATACTTCAACCTTAACATCAGGTATAACTAAAAGTAAAAACAGAGCAAGATTTAATTTCTATAGATTCTGTAGAATCGTCTGAAGATGAACTCACTTGCGCGGAAGAAGATTTTGTGTCAATGTCGAGCTGTGACAACTTGCAGACAGTCATTACGTCGAGAGGTTGTTACCGTTTTTGCATATTTTTGAAATTATTTCGCTTTAGGCCAATGGGAAGCATTATCTTCGCGAGATTTACTGTTGATTCACTTTTTTTTGACTTATACTAGCTCAAAAACAGGTTGGTTGAAGAGTTTTTAACCATTATCATAATTTTCAGCGATCATTCGTTATTTTGAAATGGAAGAAAATCGAAATGAAGTTGAAATAAAGAAAATTTTGCTGGAAAATGCCAAGCAGACAATTATCAATGTGTGTGGAAACTGTGGAAATGACAATGAAAAGTAATTTACGTGTGTTGATATTTTTTAAAATTGTTTTTGGAGAAATTCAATAGCAAATAACATGATATTCAGATGTACTTGCGCGATTGGTTATGTAAATGCCGAATTATGTTTTTCCGATTTAACGGAAAGATTTCAATCATTTATACAATTGAATTCTAAGAAAATATTGCAAACTCGAAATAAAATTTTTCAAGATGAGCCATGCTCGTCTCCAATGGCTGAAGGGATTCTAAAGAAACGACTTCTAAAAGAAATCGAAAACGATAACCAAAGAGTCATTGTACATTTCATGTGTACATTTGATGGCGTAAAGCTGAGGAGAAATGAAAGGCAAACCATTTCGATAAATTTATTTTAAAAGAATGTAGTTTTAGTCGAAAGTGCTGGCCTTTTTCTATTCAATGTTTGGATTTCGAAGATAACGATCGTGCCCGAACTAGCTCGATTATAGTATCGTCTATTTATCTAAGTAAGGTGGACCCGTCTTCATACATTCACGATCGAATCGTAAAGTGGGTGATCAACAGCTTTTCGACGCCGTACCATCATAATGGGATTTGGTATCAAGGAGCTCTTGTTGCTGGCTCGCATGACGATCCCGTGAGTTGATTTTTTTTCCTTTAAAAATTCCCATTTGTAGGCTAGAAGAAAGGTATATGGCTTAAAGGGTCATTCGTCAAAGGGGGCCTGTGTATTCTGTTTAAACCAATCAACTTTCGTGAAAATCAATGATGAGAGCGTCAAAGGTCTGTTACTTTTATGATTCTAAAACAACTAAATGTAGACCGTCACGAGTATGGGGTCCGAGTACCTCTTAATTTGGAAGACGGATTAACGGATTGTGGTGAGAAATAAAGGTTCTCTATTTTGCTTGCCAATTTCTAACCTTATTGGCTACGCCATCACAGTTCCTGACAATGGAATCACGACTGTTTTACCATTTTCATTCAGACCTATGCTATCTTGAATAAAGTATTTATTGATCATTCAGTGATATATTAGAGTTTATCCGTTAGTCACGGTTAACTTATCTAATTTCAGTTAATACACACTTTTTTCCGATTATAATTTTGTTAAGGATGTCAAAGCGCACGCAGTCATTTGTAAAGCAAATAATTGAAGCGAACGCCTCAAGAAGAGAAATTAAAGAAACTCGTCCAAAATCCAAAGCAACATCGCATACCAATACCAAACGCAATTTGGTTTTACGACAAACTGGATTGCAAACGGTAAAAATGCTTGAATGGTTAAAAAAAATAGTGTTCATATTAAGGCTGTCGTTGACGGAGAGCTCATCGAGGAAGATGTCGATGAAAATGAGCTGTACTTCGAAGACTATCGTCAAAACGAGCTGGATTTTGGAAGCATCGAAGGCATTCAGGTTGACGATATGCCAAACGACCAACCAGCAAGGAAGCGTAAAATTGTGGTGGGATTTTACATCTTTTTCCTGTTTTCGAATCTTCATTATTTTTAAAGAATGGTTTATGCCCATTAGAACTTGGCGAGGATCTGTATCATTCGACTCCGGAGGAATTGATCGACTTGATAGTAATTCAAATTTTAACATTCCACTTTAACGCAAATTTACAGAAGACTGTACATACCAATCTCTCTGGAACGTTTCAGTTCGATCATACGAACGTGGATCAATTATGTTCTTCGTCCGATGATCATTTGAGGACAATTGCCTTTGCCATGAAAGGAATCATGTTCACGGTATGTTTTATTTATTGTTCAATCATTCCAAATGTAATGGTACCAGATTTCGCAAAAAAAAGCAGTAAAATCATCAAAAGCCGTAAAAAAATATCAGAACTCGTCAAAACCGGCAAAAACCATTATAATTATGGTTACCGCTGTTTGAGTTTTTTGCGAAATCTGCATAGACAATAGAAACTATAGAAACCCTATTCTTCCAGATAGAAACTTTATCCCAAAAATTCGCGGCAAAGCCAAACAAAAACAATGTGAGTATTTTTTTAAATTTTGCTATTCTCTAAATTTAGATCGACGTGATCGCCGTATACAACCCTGAAGCTCTTAAAGACGCAGAAATAATTATTCGATCACTGGATGGAAATGGTGGGTTTTTTGTGTTTCGAAAGCTTTGAATTTGTATTAAATCTTTTAACAGGAGACATCAACGTGGCCCAAATATTTTTGGAAATTCCGTTCATGAAGGCAGCTCTGAAGCATGTGATAAATACTACTGTCAACAGATTTGTCGATAAGGTATCTTACAATTATTTAAAGTTGCAAAAAAATACCTTCAGACAATTCCGAATAACGATCGTGTGAATTATTCAACATCGTTTAAGCCAACGCCGCCGCACGCAACGCTTCCAGTTCGGTTTGTCAACACAGCGATTGGTATGCTCAAATAGCGCGAAAAATGTTTAAAATATGTTTAAATTAATTTCAGCTGTTTTACAAAAGACGGTTACCATCGCTGGAATGGCTGACGAAACGGCGAATTCTACAATCTCCTATTTGGTACACGGTCATATGACCTATCTCCTGTGAGTTTTCACTTTTTTAGTGGGCCTATGCAGATTTTGAAAAGAAACGCAGTAAAAACCTTTTAAAGAAACTCGACAACATTATAAAGATTCGGCTAAACTAGTCTTAATCAGATTTTTTGCGTTTTTCTCCAAAATCTGCACATGCTGAAGACTGCCTCATGATTAATCATTCAAATGAACTTAATTCAGAAACAATTCACGATCGAAAGCGCGAGCAGTGGAAAAAAATGGTTGATGCGCCAACCAAAATTAATTTATTTATTCTTTTTTCTTTTTCATTTTTTTGTCTTTCATATTTTTTTTAATAAACAGGTATAGAAATCTTTACATCATATAAAAACGTTAAAATGCCAAACGAGTAGTGTAAAGTGAAATGGTATACGAAAAAAAATCTCAATCGAATACGAAAAAATCTCAATCGAATACGAAAAAATCCCAGTCGAATACGAAAAAATCCCAATCGAATACGAAGAAATCGTTACCGTATATGAAGAATTATAGTCGTATACGAAGAAATCACAATCATATACGAAGAATTATAATCGTATACGAAGAAATGCCAATCGTATATTAAGAAATCCCAATCGTATTTGGCCGCGTTTGAAGAGCGATATCAGCGTATACGATTGAGCTTTCTTCGTATACGACTCGGAATCATTTACCAGAGCGGCACATCCCATAATTGGATATGCTTGAAAAACACGATGTTCGCATACCAGCCATTAGTATATTAGAGGTACCTGGCATATTCTGCATACAAGCTGCCCAATCTACGAATTGATTCGGACACTTTTCAGTGGCATCTTTTGTTTCATCCTCTTTCATACAAAGATATAGTTTTCGAAAATAATATCCACATCTAGAAAAACAGATTGCTTGGATGCAGGTTAAATGGAAAGATAATAATTTTACCTATGAGCAACAAGTGATCCACCTGCCATACATGGGCATTGCCAATTAATGCTTCCATCTGGATTTCTCGGCCCTAAAATACACTCATCTTTTAAAATTTATTCACGTTCCTTACCTACTGTTGCATATTTCTTAATGTCCGAATATTTTTCAAGATTTTTATCCTTCAATGGACTTTCGTATTCTTTTTTGTTTAAAACCATAAACAAATCCATCTTCTTTAATAATTAATAATAAGCGTAAAAATTAAATGTAAATATATGTATGGACTGCCCACGAGTCTATTCGCGTAATAATTCAACTTAATATTGCAATTTATTTGAAAATAATAAATACATGATTCAGAGTTACAAGAAATAATAATCATAAGAGATCCATGTTGTGCGGGTAAGTAATTTCATTATCGTCAACTTATGGGCATTTTTTGTCGACGATCATCTTTCCAGTTTCTTCATATTCTGATTTACTGACCCACATTTGTTGAAAAGTTCCCTAAAATGAATATTTCAATGAAATAATAATCGGTATGACTAACCAATGATCCAAGTATTGATCCACCAATCCACGCTCCGAACTTTCTTTCCGCGGTAGTCGGAGCAGCAGCCACACGTAATTTAATAGTCTAAAAGAAAAACTTTTATCAAATAAAATATTGGAATCACTTACAGGAGGGCATTTCATCGCAAGAGCATGGTTTAATCTTTCTGTAAAACCGAGAATCAACGAGTTTCCTCCAGTAACCGTGACATTTGAGAACAGAGTCTAAAAAATACTATTTTTGCAACATCCACAAAAACTACTTTTACCGGTCGGATATCAATATCAGCCATATTTGCGGACATAGCTGCCATATGTGCAACATTCATAAGTCCTTCTTTCTTAATATCTCCACGAAGGTAGTTCAAGTCGAAAAGACATTCCGGAAGCTTAATTCGCTCAGCCAGAAACTCCTAAAGATTGAAATATTGGAAACTTAAATCGTTTTTGTTAAGACTTTGTGGAATCCATTTGGGAATGCGTATGGTGTCGACGGTAGTTTGTCAGCATATTCCAAGTCAATTGTTTGATCACAGAGTTGAAGTATCGATGCTGACATATCCTCGAGAATCTAAAATTAAATTAACTTTCAACGTTGGATTATCATAATATAATACTTGTTTCTTCATGAATTTGTCATAACTTTCGGTTACTTCCGGTAGATTCTTCTTCATCGCCCATTTGGGTTTTTCGCCCTCGTTCACAATTTCTTTGCTTGCAATTTTATAAGTAGGAACAACTTCAATTTTTTGCTCGTTTAGCATATGTTCAAGCTGTTGGCAAATTACATCTCCCCCCAATGGGCATTTAACGACGGCTAAAAACTATAACTAGATTTGCATTTCGAAAAAAATTACCGTGAACTACAGCATAACCGTCATAAACTGGTACCACAGAAGTTTGTGTAGCTCCGCTGTCCACCATCAATCCATGAGTTCGACCTTGAGCGAAGCTAAATAAAAATACTGGTGGATAAAATATAATAAAGCGTATTTACCACGAAAGAACAACATTTTTCGATAAATAGTATGCAGGGACTTGAAATTTTTCAAACATGAGTTCCGTCAATTTCTCTCTTTTTGCACGTTCATTCCAAGCACTTTCCGTAAACAGAGCTGGATGTTCCTCTGGTTTACTATACAGAACATTTTCATATGAATATTCCAGAATCTTTTCAAAAAGTTCCCAATCTTCGACTGTAAAAAAATGGATTGAATTGTTGAAAATACAAAAATTTTTACTCATTCCATCTTTCATGAAATTCTCAATTGTAGTTCTTGCACGTGGTACAGTCAGTTTCGTCGTGCCGATGAAGAAGTTTTTTTCCCGTTTAACTTGAACATTCGACGTATTTGACTAGAAATAAATACATTTCATTTTAATTCAATTACATCATACTTACCTCGCTGTTTTCCTTCATTTCAACATCAGCGTCGGGAAGCGGCTCTTGAACTGCAATGAATGATGGGATGTCGCCCTAAAACAAATACTAAAAATTAATTTCTTAAATTATAATTGATTACCTTTGGAAATTCTTCTCCAGCAAATCCAACTCGAAATGTTTGTGCTCCAGCGTCAAAAACAAGACCGCTAACCTCATCTTTAATTTTTTTGTTTCATTAAAATCTAACAAAAACATTTATTACCTCCTCCATATACTGAGCCACTCATTATTTCAAATTACAAAACAAAATGCCTGAAACTAAATACTTATTCAAAAAGAAAAACCACGAACATTTAATTTAATTTTTTTTTGAAATTTTGCAACGCTGACCCAAGCGAGTAACACTGACTTTATTTCGGTGCGTTACTCGCAAAATGTGCCAATGCACAAGAGATTAGCGCAATGCTCGTGTTCATTAACATATTTTTATGGCGCAGAATTTTATTGATGTTTCTCTCTTTTATTTATGGGCTTAGCGGCATGCAAAATGGTCGTGATAGTGATTGTTATTTTTAGCGTCAAACTGGAAATATGCTATGTATTCGCATCAGGTAAAATTCGACAATTTGACAAATTCGACAATTTTGCAAGCCCTGAGAACCATTCTTATATATGAGTCATTCATAATTGATAGTCTTTAGAAACAATGTCGTTATTGCAATGGAAGCTGGACTACAGCCACTCCTCAAAGTCATGCCGTACATCGGAACCTAACTTCAATCCGCCTGGGTTTTACAGTTCTGCCACTTCATCGATTCAACATAGTGTAAGATACATTGTTGACGACGGCGGAAAATTTTCTAAATTAAAAAAAAACGATGACAATGGCCTTGGAGAAAACTTAAGAGTGTAGATTTACTGTCCTAGGTATAAGGATAGGCAAAAACCGCAATGAGAATTATCTTTTTTTTAATTTCGCCAATTTTTCACAGTCGCGCGAAAATATTTATTATTACAAGAAAAACGACATAAGTTAGAAAACTTTTGTGAATAAACTATTATGAAAGATACATTTCAGATAGAAGCAGAAAAGGCCGGCGATCAACATGAGCATTTAGCGAAAAAGCGTGCTTGGGACATGGCAATCGGTCCAATCAAAAGTCTTCCGATGAATATGTTCATGATGTATATGGCAGGAGGAAGTGTATCGATTTTCCCAATTATGATGGTCGGCATGATGCTCTGGCGTCCGATAAAAGCTCTTTTTGCTGTTAATGCGACATTCAAACCACTCGAGGTAATTTTTGCCTAATAGCAAATTATTATTAACTGAAATATTATAGGGAACAGGAACTGGTTCCATGTTAATTCACAAAATCGTGTTTTGTCTCGGAAATCTTGGAGCGATTGGATTGGCGATTTACAAAGTTCACACAATGGGTCTTCTACCGAATACCCCATCCGATTGGCTAGAATTCATTCCACAAGCGACCCGGATGCAATATTCTGTTGTCACTGACACATTTGTATAATTAATAACTGTACGAGTAAATTTAATTTTATGTTTTATTTAATTCCATTAAAAACATAATTTCCTTCATTTCAAATTATTTAAAAAATACCACTATGCTATAATTCGTCAATTCTTACTAAGGGTTTATCAAAATAGGGTGGAAAGTTATGTTTAGAATTATATATTACGCAAACTTTCATAATAATGTGCAAAAAAATTTTGTTAATCGAAAAAGCAGGTTTTTGAAAATAATAGTAAACTAAAAGCTAGAAGTGGAAAACTCAGGGTGGAAATTAAATAAAACCCGTTGGTTGAAAAGTCTGGGCGGTTTGTGGACCGAAAATATTCAGAATGTCGGACTTATAGACTTTCAGCTGGCTCTTATCGGGAAAGTCCTGTAATCCACACGACCAATATATGTTGTAAAACGGCGCGGCCATGTGGCCCCATAAGGTCCGTGTTAATGTGCAAAACTAGTTAATTGTTAACCTGGTCATCTGGCCAAAAAAACGGATCAGTTCGCAAAATGAAAGCAAGAAGTTGTAACGTCGACACGATCGTAAAACATCCAATAAACATTTTTAGCAGTTTAAACCGTCAAAAGAATTATTCCCTCATTCGCGAGTATTTTCGATCTTGACTATTATTTATTTTGGTTTTAAACCTGCTATAATCGCTGTTTTCCTCTTTAATTTTTCCATTTTTTAAACACACAGGTTTTTTTTTACCATATTTTTATTAGACGATGTCGTTGTTTGGGCTTTTTCTGGTAACTCAAAACCAATCGGATCCGACAAAATTCGACTCCGGAATTAACCTTATCCGATTGGTAATTCTACGGATAAGATTGGAAAATTGTCAAATCCGATTCGAATTGAAATATTGGAACAAAACAGATTCGAATCAAATTACCAATCACATACGACAATTTTACAATCTTATCCGTAGAATTACCAATCGGATAATGTTGATTCCGGAGCCGAATTTTGTCGGATCGGATTGGTTCTGAGTTACCCGACTTCTTGATTGTCGCATCCGCATTCGTATTCGTACTCCTCATCATTATCATCCTCGCCGTCATGGCTGAACAGAAGCCTTTCTTATTCAAAAATGGTTTTCTTTTTCAATACCAATTGAATCGTTCTTTAGCACTATTTCAAACACGCAACGCGGTCGCATTGCGTGTTTGAAATAGTGAAAAAAAAGAGGAAAACAGCGATAATATCATGTTTAAAACCAAAATAAATAATAATTAAGATCGAAAATAGTGGAATAATATTTTTTGGCAGTTTAAACTGCTAAAAATTTTGGTTGGATATATAGTCGACTTCCGGAGACTGCTCTACGCTGGTAGATTTACGTGCATGCGGCTTGAAAAGGTCTCGCCACGTGTCAGTGCTTATTTTGCTGTTTTCACGTGAACTGCTTCATTTTTTAATGAGTTTGGCATTTCTTGGAGTTTCTAACAATATTCGATTAAAAAATTATCGAACCGGTCCATAAAATTTGAAATAACCTGTTGGTCCTGGCGAGACCATTACGAAAAACGCATTCCCGTAAATCTACCCGCGTACAGCAGTCGCCGGATGCCGACTATAACACATTTTTTTACGAATCCACGGACCAGTTTAAAAGTTCACGAACTGGTTAACTGGTTAACCAAATTTACCGGTTAATTCAATCAAAGGTTAACCGGTTAATTTTCGAAACCAGTTAATTGTTTAACTAGTTTTGCAAAAAAAATGGTCAACCGGTTTTTTCGATAAATAGTTAACTCTAAATAAGTATTAGACCGAGTTATCCATTTAACCGCCTTAACCCGTTATCTCGAACCCGTTTTACACTATGGTCCGTGTTTAAATTGCCGCCACCGCTATTAGACCAAGAGTCCAAAGTCTAGTGTTTTCCTTACTCTTATGAGGTATATACATTCTTATTGTTTGTGGCCCCAGTCGCAGGAATTCTATAATGAGAAGGAAGGTTTAATTTTAAAGTTGTGCGACTCGTCTCTGAAAAAATCATTTGATTTATGAAAAGCAGAGAAGAAGAATTGCGATTAGTGACGAACGCAAAATCCATTCGATGGAATGAATCGCTTAAATCAAATGCCTGAAATGAACAGAAAATCCAACAAGGTACGCGGTTCCCTTAATCTTATTTGGATGAAACAACCTTATTTTGGATCGCTCCTTTAATACTGTATTGTCGGCATCGCACGACTGCAGAAAATTGGCTAAATGCCAAAATGACAATGTTAGTAGTCTTGGTGCAAAAGTAATTGTGTAGATTTACGGGCCTATGCATAAGGATACGTTAAAGGCGCACACCGCCCACCAAGACATTTTTTGGAATTTAGCCAATTTTCCACAGTCGTGCGTCGTCGACAATACGTAGTTTGCAATTTGTTGAAATGTCCCTCGGTGGGAAGTCTCTGATTTTAATGACCGGAGGAGCTCCTGAATAACTCTCTGAAACATAAGAATGTGTTAATGACGCACACTGGGCCTCTCCAGAAATGTTTTGTCGTCTTATACACTTGTAAAAAAAGAACGCCTTGGGCCGAATTAGTGTCAGTTTGATTCGCTGGTTGTAAGTTGTACGGTGCCCGAATTTTTGCTGGTTAAATCGAAATTTAAATTATCGCCCCAAAACAATGAGCCCTTGAAATGCCATTGCCATCAACCCCCAATTTTCAACCCCTACCCCTGATTTTCCACCCCCAAAATTTAACTCCCATTTTTATTTTTCTACCACCCCCTAATTTCCACCCCCAGAGTTTAGCCTCCATTTTAATTTTCTTATTACCGGTCAATGTTAATTGACTCAAATTTTTGACTTGAGCATTCAAAATTTCAGAAAATGATCCTAAGTGAACATTGTTTCAGAAAATGGAAAATCAGGGGTAGGGGTTGAAAATTGGGGATTAATGGCAATGGGCCACTCGAAAAACTCATCGGACCAGCTTGCGTGTTTCGTCAAAGCCGAAGAAACCCACTGATTCGCAGGACGAATTTGCCGAGACGGTCCACAATTGTAATAACAAATATACCTTCTGAGATAAAGAAAATGTGTTTCCTACGAATTAAGCCACAAAATCATACATAAAGCAAGATATGCAAACATCAGAAAATGACCTTTCTCATTTTAAAAACAACGAGATTATTAGCAAGGTGTATTGGTATTTCAAAATGTAAATGGGCAGCCTATAATTAGGGTTCAAACATCCCTGGAATAGCTTAGCTTCATAATCACTTCGCTAGAAAATTCTAGTTGTTTAGAATGATCTGGCATTGGTCTGATACTTTGAATATCTTCTATTCGACTCCGCTTTCGGTTATTTCAATTATTCTCAATGTTCTATTGATCTACATTGTTGTTAAATATTCGCCAAACGCAATGAAATCTTACTCGTAAGTATTCAAATTTTAAAAGATTTAAAAGTAATTTTGGCGAATTTTCAGAATTCTTATAATATTTGAAGCAATCTATGATATTTTTGCAGCGTTTTGCATTTTTATGATTATTCCGAGGCAAGTAATTATCGCGATTTATTAAAAAGAAAGGCAATTGTACTTGAAATGTTAAATATTTTATTTCAATTTCAATTTTTATCACATTTTCAATATTTTTGTAATCGTTTCAGATTTCGAAATTCGGGGTTTTCAATGCTTATTATATTTCACGGACCATGTCAATTATTTTTCTCCGATCGTAACGTCCAATCGAATTTCTGCCTCTTTTGTATAAAAAAACCAGTTACTAAAGAAAATTGTGAATTTTGATGTTTTCAGTCGATTGTGGGGCCATTTACAGCATCCTCGGTGTCCAACTCATAGTGTTTTATTCACTCTATTTCCGGCAGCAATCGGTTTTCAATCCATTCAAAATTTTTCGAAAATCCGTGGTTTTTTCATACACAATGGCAGTATTTGCTTTCGTTTCAATAATGACTGTATGAAAAAAAAACGAACTGTTGGTTATTTCGTATTAAGGTAATCACTTTTGTCGAAAATCTCTATCCTCTTGATGTAATGGACGCGGTCGCTGAAAAATTGAAGCCAGGAATTGTGGATTCAGGATGGTCGTTTGGGTCTGTAGTCGATTTATTTCAAATTTCGCAAATTCGTAAGAACTGTTCATATGTTCAAAAATATTGAGCTGTAAATTTCAGCTCCCAATGCCTCAACGAATATCTTAAATCCAACAATCGTTATATATGGGCTGATATGCCGTTATCGAGTGTATAAGGCAATGAGAAATGACGCTAGCATGAGTGCGCAAATAAAGCATCTCCATAAGGGATTAATGAATGTAAATTGACAATTTGGAATTCATTCGATAGTTTTCTTAAAGGTTCTTTTGGCGCAAGTCTTCGCTTCAGCGGTTGCATTCTTTTCTTGCGTTCTTTACGCCGCTTCTCTCTACTATGATTTCGATCAATCCACTCTGTCAGAAAACACAATTATGTTTCCAGCAATTCTAAATCTCGTCGTTTCCCCAATTGTAACATTTTATTTTGTACGTCCTTACAGGTAACTTAATAGATAGTTAAATTCTTGTTAATCAAAAAAAAATTCAGGGAAAAAATTGCTAAAATTTTTTATTTGCCTTTCTTGATTAATACAACTGTCAACTCTGTGGACACAACACAAGGTTTAACATAGCCATGTTCTACTTATGGAACCACTCATTAAATTTATTTTTTAATAGTTGCAACCAGTGTATCTACCCGGGACAGGATTTCCCGGGATCCCGGGAATTTCGTTTCCCGGGTTTATTCGGGAAATCCCGGGACTCCAATCCCGGGTCTCGTCCCGGTTTCGTCCCGCAACTACCCGGGATCCCGGTATCTCGGGATCCCGGGATGAGCGGGTTCCCGGGAAACCCGGGACAATCCCGGGACAATCCCGGGAAAGTCTGCAAACACCGCGCGCGCAAACGCACACTCTTCGAATATTGCGTATATATACTCGCTCAGCGATTCAATCGGAACGAACAGCGGTTGTTTTTGGGCGAACCCAAAAACGATGAACGGCCTTCCCTCGGGGTCACACTGGTCGTCCCAAAATGTTCCGCGGGTTAACCCAAACGACGGGTGTACGCGCGGAGTGTTGTAATCACCCTTGTTTTAGCAGCTCATAAATTTTATTGGGTAATGCGCGTTTTATTTAAATAACATATTTATTCGAACCTTTCCAAAATCAATAGGTAACAAATAATGCAAATATCGATATTTAAAATAAAAACGTTGACAAAAAAAGAGGAAAGATTACAATAAAACATGAATAATTTAACATTTAGGATAACAAAAAAAAACAAGGACACTCTGCTAATTCGTCGAATACTAATGAATGATCGAATGTAAAAAATTTAGAATCAAATTCGTATTGCTCGTTTCACAATCGAACTACATTCCAATTGACTTCTAATGGAAATCGATTGATCATTTAAGATATTGCGTTGAATCGAAACAGATGAATTCTATTCGATTCGACGAATGAGCAGAGCAAAAAAAAATTGGGATTAAAGCAAATCACCGTTATGTTCAATGTCGTTGTTGGCTTCATCCTCATCGACGTCTTCTTCATCCGAAATCGGTGTCGGCGAATGGCGGAAGTCGTTCGATGTTTTCTTAATAAAAAAAAGTTTTAGTTATTTCATGACTCTAGAAAACTGTGATTTCTATTACCTTTTCTTTCCTTTTTAATGCGTTTGGATCCTGTTCGAATCGTTTGCGCACAACTCCATTTTGATCTTGGGTTTCCACAATTTTTTTGTTCCGAAGATCATTACTGAATATATATAGCTTATTTCTATATATAAAGTGTTACAAAAAACTTACAAAACTCGGTGAGCATTGAAATAAATAAAGTCCACCATATTTGCCACATCCATAATCAGCTTCTCATAATGTTGACTTATTTCCGCTTTATTGTCTCCCAATCTTGCTGCCAACCTGAAAAAAGTAAAATAAAAGATTAATGGTTAATATACTAACCTCGCATTTTCATTTTGAAGATCTTCTACTGAATATCCAGGGAATTGCAATTTTACTGGATATCCGTAGCTTTCCAGAATGAAGTCTGAATTAGGTTCCATTTGGTATTGACTCTTTGATGATTACCTCTGATAGCGTCAATAACGTCCTCAGGGACTGGTTTCAGCCCTTCTTGCATTCGTTGACCGGGGCGTTTCGCAATCGAATAGCTTTGGTGCGCTGTTGGAGAGTCCATTATCTAGAAAATTATTTTTTTTAAAGTCACGCGGCTATACTTACAATAAGAATTAAATTTCTAAGACACTGCGCGATCTCTCGTTGTATACTTGTTTGAACAATCTTCATATTCCGCAAATCGAGGAATGCATGCTTCTGAATAATTATTTTTTATTTCTTTAGTTTGGAAAATCTCTTGTGCAAAAGATACATGTTCTGATTACATTTCATTTATCCTTATCGAACAAATATACAAACCAATCCGCATTAACTACATGTGAAAACATACTTTAAATGGCCAGTTTCCTTTGAATTCGCGCGTTATATATTTGAACTGAGGCTTGTAGTTCATTTCGTCTGACGATTTCTTGATGGGTGCATGCCTTTTATTCATCATCGCCAACTGAATATGTGCAGTTATATAGCATCGCGTTAGTTTTTTTGTATTTATATCTGGTTAACTTACATATAGATTATTTGCCAGCATATAAATTTCCATTGACAATGGTTTTATTACTGATCCATCAAACTTGGGTTCAACGTTGTACCGTGCAAGAGTTGTCGTCATGTCCTCAAAAAGCGAAATATGTTACGTGAATGATGTAGTTTTGTGGTATGGTTTAAACAGTTGAATGTTTTTAAAAACATTCTACATACATTATATAAAAACGAAAAAAAAACGACCGGAGAGCTCAATATATCATAGAACCTACGTCGTAAGCTGCTTTGCTGAGCATTTTCTGGGTTAAATAAACGTGAAGAACGCATCCCGCGATTCCGTGATCAAACTCATTTCGGTTGAACGCGTGCCGGATGTTGGCTTTAAAAAATTAAGTTTATTTCCCTTTTGTTTATGAGAATATTAGTGTGAAAAAAATTGTCGAAATAGCAAGTTTTGTGACAACCTCATAGTAATAATAATTTTACCGAAACAAGATTTGTTAGTGTCGATAGTTCGACAGTAGTCATATTCCGCTTTACTCAATTGGATGCTCCCTACAAAATAAATTTTACAAGTTGCGATGTATTATTGGATGGAATAACTGACCAAATGAATAAGCTTGTGCGGGCGGGCGACTGACCAGTTGACTAAATGAATGAGCTTGCGCGGGTTGACGGTCGACCAGCTGACCGAATGAATGAGCTTGTGCAGGCGGGCGACTGTCCAGTTGACCAAATGAATGAGCTTGTGCGGGTTGACGGCCGACCATCTGATGGTTTTGTTGTGGCTGCCTTTCTGGAACAGACTGATTGTGCGCCCGATATCGTTGAACTGGATTGGTTGCTCGTATCATTGGTGAGTAAGGATGAGCCGCTGTATGATGTGATCGTTGCGGCGTTTGCGAGACGTTAGCTGAAAACGTATTTAAGATGAACTTTTGAGCGAAGAAGGCTGTTAAAATAGAAATATTAAACTTTTTTAGAGAAAAACGCTTCTTTGGAAAATTTTGCATACTAGAAATAAAATATGCGGGTACATTAGTTGATTGATTGCATGTTGCCTATTTAATTTTTCACAGTTTACTCACATCTTTGTGGTTGGTCAATCGACTCGTCATACAGATACTCTTCTGGGTAGTCAAACTCCTGAGTAGATGGTATCATTCTGAAATTCATTGTTTAAATACATAAAATGTCTAATCAGATATGTGAAATGGAGGAAACCATAAAGAAATAATCAAAAAAAGTTTAATGTTCACAGATAAGATGTTTATTCGCCCAATATTTAACAGGCAGTCATTACGTATTGAATTGATTCATATGTAAAAAAAATACACTTTTTAATAAAACGATCAATAGGTAAAATACAAGTTTCGCGTTTCTTAATTATCTTTCTACACCACGAAGATTCGTTTTTCAATAGCAGAGCAACATCCTCATTTCTAGAGTTCGAATTCACAGCATCATTGTACAGGTTCTCAGCCACATTTATCGTCTCATATTCCAGTACGAGTAGCATGATTCGATCTGATGTTTGTGCTACAGCTTCTAATGTTCCATATTCGATTCCGAATTCCGATTCGTAGCAAATTACAGTGCTCTTGTTGTTATTTCTCCAGCTGTTTGAGGATAAGAGATCTTGATGAAATACCACTCGAGACCTGTAATTTGAATATATGTGAAATTCTTTAATCATAGCTTAATACCATAAGTTGATATATATCAATCCAGGAAACATTTTTTTTATCCGAGCTTCTTTCTCATCGCCATTTCTGATTCTATACAGTTCGAGCGCAGTCGTAGAATTATCTAATTGAATTAAATTTTCCTCGCTAAACAATTTATTGTATGAGAGTAAAATCAAATTGCACCTACCTCTTATTTATTCTTGTATCAATATTCAACAGGAAGCGCTTCCCGAGTTCTTGTATTGATGTATTGGATTGCGAAAGATTTTTTGATATTAAATTGTGGCATTTTTCGAAATATGAAGTAGAAGTAGAAGATAAATTTCCATTTCTTCTGATGTTTTCAACCATGTGTTCAAAGAGCAACTGAAATTGAAGGAGAATGGTTGAAGTTATAATAAAATCATAATCGTATTCGGAAAAAATCATTTTAAGACCAATTTAACACATATATCTTTCAAAAAACTACTATATCCACATTTTTCCTTGATAGCGTTATAAAATTTTTTTCCCACCTTCCGGTATGAATGTAACCTACATGCATTTTAAGCGTATATTTCTCCTTATTTAGAGTTCCCATTGCTGTTTTAAGGAAAGAGCTGAGATCATCCATATTTTGTAAGTCAATCTCCGTTTTGGCCTCCAAACAGAGTTCGACGTAATTGATAAATGCAGAAAAGAAAATGCGGGTGTCGACGGTGTAAACGGGTAACAGCGACAATATATTGAAGAGAATCCTTGATGTCTATAACGCATAATTTAATTTCTGTGTGGTCTCTCTAGAGCTTGGATAAATTAACATAATTGTTTTTAGCAGATCCGCTTGATACATAAAGTAAATACACCTGAGCTCTCCGCACAACAATTTTTTAAAGGCATATAAAGAAGCGAAAAAATAGTACCTGTCTAATCTGAGCTCCTGTGGCTGAAGAGAGTTTTCGGATATCTGCCATCTCACAATTAATTCCCGGTGGTAGCTTTGCGTTGAAAATCGATTCTTGAATTTTTACGACGTTTCTCGGCAGAATTCTTAACTTTGGCAGAGATGACGTTGATGTTATTTGGTTGCTACATAATAGATTTACTATTGTATTTTTAACAACACCTTCACTAAGCAGGTGTAATTCATCGAATGCCATGTCTTGAGGACCAACCATACGAGACAAAAAACCTATAATGTTCGGCGTTAAAAAAAAAAAAAACGTATAAATTACATTGAGCGCCGTTTCTCTCCATTAGACGGTGAATATCTTCTTTTGTACGTGGTTCTGACCTCTCGCTCGAATAAAAAGCAACCGCTGATCGCCCAACTCTAGTACCTGTAATTGTGCATAATGCACATCCTTCGAGCTTCTGCCAATTCGGAAGTGTATACATCAAACGAGCAGCCTAAAATAATATTTCAGTTTGCTTCAAATCGCAGTACATTTCAAACTTTCAAATCGCAATACATTTTAGCTGGTTGAAAATCGATGTAGTAGATTTCATTATTATTGTCAATACGAATGGGTTCAAATCGAATCTCATCAAGTTCATTTATTAGCCTAAATATGAATTATATAATATGAAAATATTCATTCTTCATTTGGTCGGACTAGTTTAATACCTGCTCATGATAATATCACAATTCGTGTGATTTAAGCTGTTTGGTCCTGTTATTAAGGCTGCAAGAATAACAGAATCGACCTTTTCTTTTGATTTTCTTCCAACTCCTTCTAAACGAACGTATATTGGTGTTATTTCGTTTCTAAATTTTCAAGTAATTGCAAAAAGGAACAAGAAAATTTAGGGGAATACCTATTATGGTTAACTGGTCGAAACCCGTCCACCGCCAACGAAATAGGAATAGTCAAATGACTATTCTCAAAAGACTCGAAACTTTCGATATTATCATGATAACACCGCGATCGGTGAAATGAAGAATAATCTCGAATTGTTTCCTTAAGAAAATAAAACAAATTCGATTAAAAATATCACGATTATAATGTTGCAATAAAATATTACCACTGTATTTCTGTGATGGTAGCTGTGGGTTGATAGTAATTCACCAAATTGATTACTCGTAACTAGATCTAATTGTGGGCGAACACAGTATGAAACAATTTTTAAAGCTTCTGTCTTCGTTCCTTTTTTCATATGTTTTCTGAAAGTATTTTATATTCGTGGAGTGCTATATTCATACCTGAAATTTACACAGATATTGTTTTGACAAGAATTTGAAGCTCCAATTGACACCAGACATTCGTTGCAGAAAACAGAAACTCTAGGTTTATACTTCGATAAGAAAACATTTTCATTTGTCTCATTTAAATCATTAATCTAAAATCATGCATCGTGAATTTTTCTCTTAGCTTAGTTTTACCGTTAAGTTATAGCTACAAATAAAATGTGCCGCTAGCAGCACGGCTTCAATGCACGACTTCGATAAACAAAATGGATTGAGCAATTGATTAACCTTTGCAATGGCGTCATATCGTTGCGATATCTCATCATTCTGAGTGTTGAACCCCATATCATTCATTGAGTAGTTGACCGAGTCTGGCAGTGAACAATTCGAATCGTCTTTCATAAACGGCGGCTGAATTAGCAGCGACTTTTCGAAATTATGATTGTTTTCATTGCAAAATTCTTCCTTCATATCCATGAAGAACGCTGGTCTTGTGACACGTATGCCAAGATTTCTCAGCATTGTCTCTAGAAAAATGTGTTTATTATTCCATGCTTGCTAGGCTATATCTTCAGTCTCATATTTTACGGCACACTGGAAGAAGTGGAACGATCGAAGTCGAATGGTTAATGAATGAACAGCAAAAACATTATTAATGAATGAAAAATGATTATTTAGAAAATGAATCGTCTCATTAACGAATGGTTTTTAATTCGCGAATGAACGATTTTCGATGGTTAATGAATGGTTTTTTATTATTTTATGGTAAATAAATGGTTTTTTACTGTTTGATTGACGAAAAACCATTCATTTTTTGTTCCGCAATCATCGTTTTCACTTCTGCCAGTGAGTATTTAACATTATTTGACATACCATTTTCTTCAAACGTTGGCCTTCTTCTTTTCATTCCAATTGTTGCGTTACCGTGGATGACTGCGCTAGAACTAAAATTAATTTTTCTTTACATAATGATGAAAATTATATAGAAATTGAGTAAACGTTAAAAATTTTCAATAATTCCAGTACGACACTCCAATTACAAACTGCCCTCCGTTTAGAGTTTGGGCTAAACCGTGGACGACTTTTGTTTTGACCGAGTTCAATGTTTCCCGTGTTTGCCCCAAATTGTTCCGCGGGTTATCCCAAACCCAAAAACAACCGCTGTTCGTCCCGATTGAATCGCTGAGCGTTTTTTTTAAATGAATTTTCTTATTTTAAAAAGATTCCAATGCTTAGAAAATGGCGTAGGAAGTCCCTATTTGGAATTTTTAAAATTTGGCAGAAAAATGAGTACAATTGAAATGTACAAATAACGATTTTTCCAAATTAGCAAGAATTTTATACGAAATAATGGTTTTAAACTTTTTTCAATAGACTTTTTTCAACGAAAAAATTTATTGAAGATCGATCAAGTAAACAATAAATTATAATAATAAATAATATCGCTGATTCGATCTGAAAAGACTGACTGAAAAGATTCGATTTGAATATGTCGCGAATCAGAATGACAAAGAAAATAAGAAAACTCATAAAATTTCGAAAAAAAACGACAATACGCAATATTCGGGGAAATTAAGTTTCAATGAGTCCCGGGTCTCGGTAAAATTTTCCCGGGAATTTCCCGGGAACCCGGAAATTCCCGGGAAACTTCGTCCCGGGTAGACACACTGGTTGCAACAACTCATGAGCGAGAAATTTATCCACTTGTCGGATACTGCGTTTTGTACGCAACGCGCGAGTTACCGTAATTCTCGCAGTGACTTTATCGTAAATTTCGCATTTTCATTTTTTTCGCTCAATTTTCGTTTATTTTTTAATTTTTTTTTTCTAATAAAATCTGTAAAAGCCGGCTCTTGAACTACAAGCAAATGTAAAAAAAAACTACAAGCAGATGTTGAAGTTTAATTCTGGATAAATTTTAAAAAATAAGAAGTTTGAAAGGAACAGAAAAGATTTGAAAAATGAAAAGTTGATATCTCAGTAGACGCTGTGGCAGTACACGTCTAAAGGGCCGAGGGAGGGGAGAGAGCCTGAGGCTCTCCAAATTTTTAGTGTTTTTTTCCAACTTTTAACTCACAACTGTCAACAAATTTTACGCCAGTTCGCCTTGATTAAAGGCGAATATACGCTGAGTAAAGAGTGCGATTTTGGGGAAGAACACGATTAAACCCATGGACGCATCGAGAAAGCGTCAAAAGTTCCCCTCGAATTATTTAAATTCGAATTTAACTCGGTGAAAATTGGCGGGCCCCGCGCGGGTGAAAACAACGGTTTGCGGGTCCCGCGCGGGCGAAAATTGAGGGGCAAACACATTCGTCGAGCGGGGCCCTCATATCACCGTCGCGGGGCCCTCATATCACCGTTGCGGGGCCCTCATATCACCGTTGCGGGGCCCTCATATCCCCGGTGCGGGGCCCTCATATCACCGTCGTGGGGCCCTCATATCACCGTCGCGGAGACCTCATATTACCGTCGCGGGGCCCTCGTGTTTCACCCGCGCGAGGCCCTTATATCACCTTTGCGTGGCCAAAAATTCTAGATACGATTCATATTACAATTAATTAACAATTATATACTTAATGAAATATTTATTAAACGAAAAAACAAATTACACTTAAACATTCCTATGCATCCACATGGCTTGAATTTCAGCTCTTGAATTTTGGAGAATAATGTTCCTGAAAAACCATAAATAGAGTATTGAAATATAGGAATTATAATATGATATAGTCGGCGTCCGCCGACTGCTGTACACGGGTAGATTCATGAAGATGCTCGTTTATCTTGGGGCAAGAAAATGCGAAACTCATCAAGAAAAAATAAACCGTTCATGCGAAAACAGCGAAATAAGCATTCACACGTGGCGAGACTTTTTCAAGGCGCATGCGCGTAAATCTACCCGCGTGCAGCAGTCGACGGACGCCGACAAAATAGACTATATGATAATTCTATAGTGAACCATACATTCATTGCCAATGTTATGAACAATGAAAAGGAACTTACTCAATAGTACTTCTGAAGGTCCATGGTGAGGCTCCATTTCCTTGCCAACCCAACTATAAACATAAATTATGTTACATAATATTATATATTTTATATACAGTGCGTTGCAGAATTACAAAGCCACCCCCGAATTAGAGTGCCGCGCAGGTTTCGATATTTTGAGACTAGGCAGTGTTAAAATCGTGTTCAGCATGAAAAATTACCTATATGTACCAATTTTTATGTTAGTATCTTAAAAAGTAACCGTGTAGTGGTCATAATTCTGCAACGCACGGTATTTAATTTTTTTGCATTTCCTTACTAAATGTAAATCTTCTTCTTCTTTGGTTCGACATTGCGCTTGGAGCATATTACCATATATATGACTGAAATAATTAAATTTAGAAGTAAGAAAAAACTAATTAAAAAAATTAGACACTTGCTAATTAATTCGACGAGTTAAATGTGATTGGAACGAACAATTTGAAACGATTGAAACAAAATACGATAAACAACGGGCACGTGTTAACGGCGGAGTGTCGTACACTGTGTTTCCACTAAAAAAAATTTCTGTGAACGAGATTAGTCTAGAAATTCTCAATAAGAAAAATTGGTCTATTATTCGAAAAAAACAATAATAAATATATTGATAAAAAAAAACTAAAATAAATAAAATATTCCAAACGCAAAATGTCTTGTTTCCCAATCGAATTCGACCACATCCGAAAGGAATACGGTCGTGATGATTCAAACACTTTGAACAATGTTTTAATTGATACACAACATGTTTAATTCTTTTGCAAACTTGTTTTTGGAAAACTGTAATACGCTGATATATTGCGGTTGCCGCAAATGGCCCGCGCGGGCCCGTCGCATTTGATGGCCTCGCGAGAGTCCTTAGAGAGTCCCGCTTACGGCCCGCAGTTGCCCCTCAGAACCCCGCATTATTTTCACCCGCGCGGGCCCCTCTATTCCCATTGAACGCAAATCACCCACGCGAGCCCTTCTGAGATATTCACCGGCGCGGGGCCCGCAAATATGACCCGCGCGGGACCAAATAGCCGTTTGGGCCCGCGCGGGGCATAATTTGGAGTCGCGCTGGCACCGCGCGGGTCCAACCACCCATTTCCACCCGCGCGGGGCCCGCCAATTTTCACCGAGAAATTCGAATTGGAGTAAGAATTGACATATATATATATATATATATATATAATATATATATATATATATATATATATATATATATATATATATATATATATATATATATATGGAGTTCATCTCCAGTTGGAATCCCGATTGATCGGCGTTTAACACACGGGAATTAGTAAAAATTTTTCTTTCCGTGTTTGCTTCCTCGACAAACTTCTTGCCCGTCTTCTCAAGTTCATCGCGATCCCGATGGCGAACTTTGGCAACAAACTTCGTCACTTTTCTGGATGAGATACCAAATCCGCGTTTCCATTTGTTAAGCCAAGATTTCGAGGCGGAGAATTCCATGGTCATGCAATGCTTCTTCATTATATCAGCGACGAAAAATCGGAGCGTATTATCGTGGATCATGCGTCCTTGCGCCATGTGGTGTTTCACAACATCTCCAAGTTCAACAGATATGATTTTGAGGTTGTTGCGCCTATCTTCTAGCATGAATCCTACAGAATACAATCAGAAAACGATCTTTTTCGACTTCATTTACCGTTTTTCTCAATTTGTCGAAGCTTCTCAAGATGGTTTTCGCTCTTTATGAACCGGAATAATGCTCCCATTGTGCTCAAAGGTGGGCGAATTTTGCTTCCATTTTTGTTGGTCCCTTTTTTTGAGCCATAATACTTCAAGGCGTCATCAATTCGGCTTTTCGGGATTAAATTATCTCCGAACATTACAGCGTTTGGTTCATCGGCTTCTACGCCGTAAATATCAGCTTTTTCGATAATTTCGTCATCAGCGACATAATCTAAATTTCTTATATTCCGACATCATTCAAATTCTTCAAAACACTTTCATCTCTGTCGTCTGATTCGAAATCATCGATAAAGCATTCCATTTCGATTGTTACTTCTCCTTTGTCTACTGATTCTAATAAATCCAAAATTGCTTCGGCAAACACAAGTTCTCCACTCGAAATTTGTGGACATTTCGGAAGGCGTCAATGCTTCGCAATTACATAATCCAAGACTTTTTCAGACATTTTAGTGCTAAAAAACAAAAAAAAACCAAAAAAAATTGAAAATAAATGAAGTTCCCATTTTTACAGTCTCATTTTCCGTTCGAGACAACTGTTCATTTCACAAAATTAAACCTTTAAGCCATTACAAAAACTTGTATAAATTTTCTCACAAATTAATTGCAAAAGAGTTGGCGAGAAGAGGGAACGAACCAACACCCCACTTCTTGTTAACCCGATCACTTACCATCTAGAAATCTGAAAAATCGTTCTTTATTTGAATGATATTATCGACTTCCGCTCCACGGGTATTTCCACATTTGAATTCAATGCAAAATAATCCGTTAGTTTGTTCGAGACCAAAACCATCATAATGTGGCATAATTTTTTAATGAATATTTAGTATGAAAAGTGTCAAATAGACATCAATTTCGTTTTTACGGAACCAATTGAACAGCAGTTCGAAATGATACCGTACTCAAATTGTTGCTATAATTAAATTAGAATATTGAATATCAAAAATTGTGTAAAAAATGTTGAGCGTTTTGCAAGTTGTGCGATATTTGTAATTACTATTCGCAGCGGGCTACTCAAATGTTTTCCTTGATGATTCATTTTAAAAGCGACAGATTTCGCTTCTTTCTTTCCGTCAATTTCAAAACCCTCCATTTTTTTTGCTTTGGTCACAAATATTTGCCGTCTTTATTTGTTGTGAAGATCGAGTTGATTGCAACTGTTGAACGGATTAACATGGTCTGTATCATATTCCGAAGACGAAATTCTTTACCATCAGCTCCGTATTTATCTCTTGTTTCTTTGTCTTTTTGATTTTGGATTTCTTGTTGTCGTTTATAATATTCGTCTCTTTCCTTTTGATACTTCTGGGGCAAACGATACCTCACTACCGATTTCTCACTCCACTACCGATTTTTCACTACCGAAATTATAGTTTTTTCACTACCGATTTTGAACCACCGTTTTTTCACTACCAAATTTTCTTATAGTCATTCTTCTTGATTTTATTAATAATCTACTTCATTTCAGAAAAAAACGAGTTAAAAAATCTTTTTTTCATCTTTTTTATTAATATATATATATATTTAAAAAAGAGCTAAATTAATTTAATCTTTAAACGAATGAAAATTAATTTTTAAAAACACTTTACAAGGAACAACAAAAATATTTCAAAAATTAAAAAAATTTCAAAAAATTAAAAAGGGGGAACAACAATTTTTATTTATATATTGAATTTTCCTAAATGCATTGCTAACTTGGAATACAAACTTTTCCGTGTTGAAAATAATGTGAACAATATCTATAAAATATTGTTAGAAATAACCTTGTTAATCACACGAATAGAAAAAAATTAAAAACAATGCAGTTAGGTTGATATTCATAGCTGCGGACGGACGAAAATTTTGAAATATTGTTTGTACCTTGTAAAGTATTTTTTAAATTAATTTTCACTCGTTTAAAGATAAAACTTAGCTATTTTCTTAATATTTAATAAAAAAGATTTTCTTTAAACTCGTTTTTTCTGAAATGAAGTGGATTATTGATGAAATCAAGAAGAATGAGTATAAGAAAATCGGTAGTGAAAAATCGGTAGTGAGGAATCACTGGCCTTCATTCTGCGTGCTATTTTCCGTATTTTTCGAAAATTTCAAAGAGGAAATGTGTAACGGATTGAAGAAGGAGGAAAAAAGAAACAATTATTGGTATAATTACTTCTAATTCGGCAATATAAGTCTATTTTTCGTTATTTGTATACCAATTGTTATGTGAAATTGTAATATTTGTGTTAATTTGATTCAGACATCGCTCGATGACGCTTCTCATGAATTTTTAATGTTGATTAAACAAAATACTTCTATCGTTTGCCCAGAATGAAAAATAAAAAATTACAGTACCGACTTCGCGCCGTGACCTGCGCAACTTTTCGCATGCGCCTTTGAAAATAAATAGCGGAGAATTACGATATATCGCGTCATTTTTCTAATTTTCGACGTTCGTGCACAGGGAATTCAAATGAGAAAAATTGATTTTTTTTTTCAAAATTTTTTTTCATTGCATGAATAGGTCCATTAGCACCATTTTCAAATATTCCGAATCGCGCGATCCGCTGAGGTCACTTTTTTAAATTATCAAGAATTTCGACTTTGGACCACCTAATACCGCTTTCAACACTTTTAGCACGTTTTAGTAGCATTTTTTAAAAAATATTATGACCGTGATTATGCCGCTTTGAGCATCTCAAAAGAACACATGAATGCAGTCAGTCATAAAATAAATTTAAAAAAACGGGGTCTTCGCCAAAAATTATATTTGTTTTATACGACATACAAACCATAAAAAAATTAAAATACATATAGTCAGCGTCCGGTGACTTATACACGGGCAATTGGAAATTTTCCACGCTTATCTTTTCAAAGCCGAGCCTGGCAAAAACCGAACATTTAAACTCGCGCGCATAGTCGGCTGGAAATCAACCGCGTTGCATCGCGGTTAGCGTCAACCGTTTTTTATTTTTCGCAATACATATATCAAATGACCGGCCGGACCCAAACGACAAGCCTGAAATTTTCACATGAACAGTTTTCTATGAGTATGAATACTTAGTATCATTGAAATTAAAAATTAACCAGTTAGTCCGTGCGAGACTATAGCAAAGGCGCATGTGTGTAAATAAAACCGCGAACAGCAGTCGCCGGACGCTGGCGATACGGTATTAGATATTCTATGAAGTGTACGCTGGCAATTAAGCACCGGTAGAATCCCCCCCAAGGGCACAATTTTTGCGTTTCCATTATTTTTTGAATTTAAAAACAAGGCAGGAAGTGAAAAGCAACTTACCTTGGGATTTATCTTGATTTTCACATTTTCAAAAATAAATGACTTACCTGGCTTATCTAAAGGAATATCAATAGGAAAATTAAAAACAATAAACAGCAACAAGGATAAAAACAAAAAAAAAGAACAGAAAATTATCGTCCGAATTGATTCAAATGTAGCATCAATGCTGAATATCGAAAGAATAAACTTTCTTCCTGCAAAGTTTTTAATTTATGCAGAAATTCACGAATTTATGTTGTCAGCGTCGCGCGACTGCGAAAAATTTCCTAATTAACAAAACATTTACAGAGGTTTTGGTGAAAATTAAAAGTGCAGATATACAGTACTGGCCATAATGATGTTCGCCTAGTGTTTTTTGAGCATAACTTGGCTCAAACGCAGCCGATTTGGCTGAAATTTTTACTGTAAACGCTAAACACAGTTGCGCAACCATGGAAACATTAAAACCGCCTCATGTTGAAAAATTAATTTTTTTTTAAATTTTTTTTTGTTTTTTTCGATTTTACCAATTTTTCATTTTTTTCAAACTTTGTCCATAAATTTTTTTTTATTTGAAATTTGAACTTGAAACATGTTTTTAGTAATTTTTCAACCTTCTGGAAAGAAAAATTTCACGGCGGACGTTCAAAAAGCCATCGTTAATGGTCATAAGACTGGGTCGTCCAGAAGCCTTCTGGCTCAGCAGTTCCTGTGCTCCCGAAGAGGAATCTAAAAAGTTTTGCAACGATTAAGACAAAATGTACGATTTTTTAATCATTCTGGACTATTTCTAATCTATTGGGCTGCATTTTTGTTAAGAAATCACATGGTAGACCTTACAAAACAACTAGGCTCCAAGATCGGAACATCTGTCGTGCTTCAAGAGAAGATCCTAGACGGACTTCAGCAGATATCCAGATGCTTGTGGCAACGCCAAATTCTTCCATTCCATCCAGAAGAACAATTAGACGTCGTTTGTTGGAGAATGGACTTCATGGAAGACTCCCGGTGAAGAAACCATTGATCAGTGAGAAGAACCAAAAGACGAGAGTGGCATGGTGCAAGGATCATCTGAACTGGGGACGATGTGAATGGGTCAAACACATTTATAGCGATGAATCGAGGTTCGACTTGTTCGGAAGTGATGAAATCAAGTGGATTCGACGACCTATCGGAGCCAGATTCATGCCAAAGTACCACCTCCGAACGGTGAAGCATCTTGCAGGGTCTGGAGCTGCTTCTCCGACACCGCCATGGGACCGCTCCGACGTGTAAATGGAATCATGGATCGGTACCAGTACAAGGATATCCTGGAAACCACAATGAGACCTTGGGCATTAGCAAACGTCGGACGTGCATTCGTTTTCCAGCAAGACAACGACCCTGAGAGCATGTCTGGACATGTAAAGAATTGGTTCCAACGTCGCCGAGTTGATGTTCTTGCGTGGCCATCACAGATTTCTGACCATAATTCGATCGAACATCTCTGGGAAGAACTGGAGCACAGGGTTAGAGGGCTCCGAGCATCAATCGCCGACGAGAAGTTCGCTCAACTCGAAGCCGCATGGAGTGCCATTCCGATGCAGTGATCCGCACCCTCTTGGACTCGATGCCTCGCAGATGTCAAGCGGTTATTGATGCCAATGGATTCGCAACAAAGTATTGATAAATTTAAAACCGGTATTCTACACATTTGTAATGTTTTCGTGTTCCTGAGACATTCAAATCACATTGTGTCATTTTTTCCATTTTCTGCATTTTTATGAAATTTGTGATTTTTCGAAAAAAAAAACTTTTCTGCAGTATGCGATATCATTCAAACGCATTTTCAACGCGTTTTAAAGATATGGTAAAAATGTCAGCCCGATCGGCTGCGTTTGAGCCAAGTTATGCTCAAAAAACACTAGGCGAACATCATTATGGCCAGTACTGTACATGCTTAAGTATAAGGATAGGTTAAAGAAGCACACCGCGACTACAACAACCCGATTGAAATCAAGTAAAAAGCCATCTAAATGATTGAAATCAAGTAAAAAGCCATCTAAATATCTATGACGGAGAAATCGGACAATCCAATCAGACCGTATCATTGCAAGTATTCTGATAAGTCATAACAATATCTTAACCATAAAAAGAATGAAAATGTTCATTACAAAAAATATTGCTTCCTCATCAATAGTAGATCTGGTTACCAAAAAATATATCTTTATTTTTAACCCTATGCATGTGAACTAATTTAATATGCAATTTGAAAACTAATTTGCGCTAATTAACCAGATTTGGGACGGAAACACAACCGTTCCAAAACAATATTTAAATTTTTGAAATTACCTCAGACAAGAATATGTACTTGAAATTTCTTATGTTTTCCTCTATTCCTGAAATTATAAGAATTGATAATAGTTAGTTAAATAGTGGTCGAAGAGTAGAGTATCACCTGGAGCTGACATGCGTGAGTCCTTCCGAATGACTATTGCGATTCGAAACGAAATTCTAATATGCTCTATTAATGAGAGAGAGAGAAAAAAGAGAGAAATGATTGTTTTCACTCAACCAGTCGATAATGGCTAGTGTGTGATGATCTCGTTTATCTTCTGATCTGAAATAATACATTCATTTTGAATGCACGGGAATATAACGTCACTGTTTGTGCAATTCAATTTAATTAGATCCGCTCACATGATCCATTCAGTTTTGAAAATTTTCGATCTGAAACAGAATATTGAAGAGATGATTAATTAACTAAAAGAAAATGTCACTGTTTCAATGTTTGCCATTCATGTTCTCCATCCTCCTTGTCTTGGTCCATCCATTGCATTGCACAATGCCGATGAAAAATTCAAATTATTGAGTTAGTATTAAAATAATTTCATTTTGATTCCTACTAACGTTTTCAGTGTATTATTGTTTAATTTATTATGTTTCGATTTTAAGAAAAAAGTTGACACCTTCAAAAATGGGTGGCCAATTTCCCGTTCCCTTCATCGAATAGTTCCGACGCCACTCCACCGTGTGCGCCTAGACTTCCCCAGGCATTTCCCTCCTGAGTCGGACCCTATGGGTCACCGAAGCGGGGCGTTGGTCCGCGTCTCGTGGCACGAGAAGCGCGGCACCCGTGCGGGCTCTCTCAAATCCGATTCAACGAATATTCTCGAGACACGCTCACAGCGGTTCGGAACCTTCGATATTGGGACAAACGAAAATCGCAACTTTCAAAATTATTCTTAACTTTAACGAAAAAATTCGTTAAAAAAGAAAAACCTATTTAAAAAAACAACATAAAATAATAAATAAGACTTACACGACTGTTCATTAGCAACGTATCGGCGAATGAAGAGCACAACTGAAACGGCGTAAATATTTTGTCATTTTCTGTAAAATAATAAAATAAATCTACAATTTAAGAAATTTGATAAAATTTCACAACGATCACCATGAAAATGAAAACGAAATTAAAACATGACGACAATAAAAAACGTGGCGCGGGTTTTGATTACTGTAGTAAACTCTTACGTAAACAATTAAATAGACGTCATTTTGCGGAATTTCTTCAATTTTTTTTCAAAATTAAACTTGTTCTAACAAATTTCTTTCGTTCTCTTAATAATTTGACCCTCTTTTTGATTAATTAGTTAAAATCTCGTATTTACCTTCTTAATAATGTAGTTATTTTTAGATCATCCAAGAAACGAACGACACAAAGCACTGACGAAAATGGGAAATTAAAAATGAATGAAAATAAAGCCATGTTGGTTTTGATATTTTAAATATTCACGTGAAATAGTTTTTGAAGGTTTTGGTTTTGGGAAACGATTTAATCGGGTATTCGAAATGTTGGCCATTTTCTTGTTTTTAAGCTAAAAACTTTTTTAAAGGTAAATATTATCGGCGTCAAACGACTAAAGGGAGGCGGAGCCTTCAAATTCGCGAAATCAGTATAGATTTAAATTTTTCGTCGGCTGAATATTAAATGCGCGTACATAGCCAATAACTTTTTAAATCTCGTCAAGTCGTTTGGCTGTGCGGCAATCGAAAATTTCGGCAAACTGGCAATTCGGCAAGTTGCCGAAAATAAAAATTTCGGCTATTCAATTTTCTCAACGATAATTCGAAATATGAATACCGCATTTTCACGGGATCTCAAATTATTCGATGGACATTCCGTTTTAATTCGCCGATTTTTTTCTGACATCAAATTGCCCAAAATAAAAATTTCGGCAATTCGGCAATCGTCATTTCCGTTGCCCCACAGCCCTGGTTTGAACCATTTTCATCCACTGTCAATACGTTTTTTGTCTTTTCCCAGTCGCAGTGTTCTTTGATTCTTGGCGGAATCAATGATTTGAAAATGCGGAATTGGAAAAATCGGCTGAATGCGAAATTCTGGCCAACATTTTGAATTTTTCACCTCAGTGAATATATACAATGTTCTTCGAGACACGAAAAATAATTAGAATATTTGCTGTGTCATATATATATATATATATATATATATATATATATATATATATATATATAAATTAATAAAATATATGAATTAAAAACACAAAATTACGAGAAATACAAAGATCGCCCTAAGGATTTCGAAATCTGCAAATGTGCGTCAAATGACATGTGTGGCAAACACGGGATTTGACCCTAATTTTCAGAACTTGTGGTGTTCGTAATACAACTTGATTACGAAGTGGAATAAACATTTTTGCGGAATGTGGAATACGGAATTCCGTCCAACTCTGGGGGGGGGGTCCCAGGGGATCGAAATTTGAAATTTTTGAAAAGGAGGTCTGAAATTGATAATTTTTGCTCTAGGTGGTCCGAATTTGACATTATTTTTGATTAGCCTGCAGTTTTTGACAGTGATTATTTCGAACTATATGAATAGAGAGAAAAATTAGCAATTCCAGTTGTTGGGAATCAGTTGTTGGGGAACAGAATTGTTCTATTGCTCTTTTGATTTTCCGAAACTCGAATACTTTGGGGTAAACTGGAAGTTTTATCCAGTATTGCTCTAAACAAATTAAGTTTCTTGTAGATTTCCTATCTTCCAAATGTTAATTTAAGAGTTGATTCCCTTAATTGCCATTCTACTAACAGTCTTGTCTAAAGCATATAATTGTCATAGGGGTAAAAGTGGTCTATATTTTTTGTATTCGAAGAAATATGGGGCCTTCTTGTTTTGTACCTCCTAGTTTGGTTAGAAAGAAAAAATGTGATTCAGATCGAATAAATGTTTTTTTCTAAACAACTTGCTTGATGATTCCTGCCAAACTAACCATGACTTCTCATGGATTTCTTTTAATACAAGAATTTTTGGCCACTTCATCCCTGTGACAACGACATCTGAATTTATTTTAGACATATATAGTAATACATTTGAGCCAAAAAAGTAACACTGTTCATTTTTGCTCTCCTGTAGAAGACCGAAAGACGTGACGCGTTTTGACCCCCCATAGCTGATTCCGCTTTGATTTACCGCTCTTGTTGCTCCACCATCGGCCGTGCAACAATCTTTATGACTTAAAATTAATTTATATGGTTTAGAAAATCTGTTAGAATGCAAAATTCGTTAAAATGTCTCGTTCGGTCTAAGCATGATACTCGTAAACTTGTAAAAAAGGAGAATACATTTAAATGATTCTATCAATTTTAGAAAATTATTCGATGGCATCCTCAGCATTTATTTTTATTAGATTTTATTTTCCAACATTGTGTTCCGTTAATTTTGTTCAAAATATTTCGCTTAACATAAAATTAAAAACCCGATTGCTGAAACAAATAGAAATGCAAAAAAAAAATGGCGTAAAAACACGATTGAATTGATCTCGTTTCAAAATAAATATCGAACAGATCGCTGTCATTTCTCATTTATTATTTATATTTTCTAATTGGAAATCTATTCAAAAAAAAATAACGATTTCAAGTTCATCTTATCATGGTTGAAAATTCGACGACTGATGTTCCACGATTCGAGGTGATATCGTTTAAATAGGAAATCGAAAAAGAAAAATGACGAATCTAGGAAACTTCAACATTTGCGCGACTAAAACGACTGAAAAAAGTGTCAGCGATTTCATTGTTTCAGGTATTTTTTCAAGTATATTTGAGTAAATGCCCAATTTTATTCAGAATATTCATGCTCAAGATTTCGCTTATAACAAAAAACACGTAAATTGCGATTATCGGGTTTATGATTTGAACAATCGAGTGGTAATATTCGCAAAATCAAATTATATATTATTTTAAGTGATGATCTCAGATATTCTACGTGTGCAGCTCAACAACCCAAATCAACAGAGGAGGACCATTTTCATTGAAATTTCTCAACAAAGACCAGAAGGACGTTTCGGAGTTTCTGCGAGCGGAGCCCCGAAGAAAAATCAACTATTTGCCGTGTTTGTCGACTTTGTATCAAACGAGAGACGAAATCGAAATACTCGACAACAGTGGGAAATGCATTGGCACATCGTTGCTCATTGAAAGCTTTTGGCAAGGGATTCAAGTAAATTTTGATGATGGAAAAGCATTGGCGAAACGAAAGCGAGTTTCAGATCATAATGCGAGATGCACAAGACAATATTTGCATGACAGCACGCTTAAATAAGGAAAATATTCTTTATGTTCGGGTCTCGTTTGGATTATACTCAGTTTGTTTCAATTTTTAGATCCAAGGATCAAAAGGACAATTCATGGGTGAAATTCGCCAAAAAATCATATCATCTGGCGATGCTCATCATCACTACAAGGGTCTCACATGTTGGTGTAAGACGATGAATGCGGAAAGTTGAATGGAATACGTCGAATTTCAGTTCCCCATCCGATTCCAGTTTATCATAAATTGCACATTCTTTCGGCCGCATTTCTTCTTGAAATCGACTTTTTCTCGGACAAAGCAATTCGCCGAATCCCTTTTCATGATCCCGAAATTGAGTGTAACTCGAACTTCTTGTTAAAGCCTTCAGTGTTTCGAATAATTCAGATCTTATTCCTATCATCAAAACTCCGCCATATCATGAACGCGTACGAAGGGAGCATCGGAAGAAACACGCTAAACCGCATGAAGTGATTGCTGAAGGTGAAAAAGAATCGAAGGACGAGGCCGACGAGAAGAGAGGCGGTAAGATTTGGCCGATTTGAAATATTCGTGATTTTTCGTAGAGGTGATGCCATTTATTGCTCATATTAGAGGAATATTGAGCTCGACGACGACAAATTCAACCGCAGCAGAAACAACGGAAATCGAAAAGTGAATGAAATAGAAAATTTGAACACATAAAATGTATTCCATATTTAGAGAAAAACCTCACGTGGAAGGTGAAAAGGAACCTTGTGCTGGATCAAATATTATATTTGGTTGGTGGCAATACTAAAAATGCCTGACAACGATTGATTTTCAAGGAATGGATCGAGAAGCTTTTCGAAAAGCAACCGTTCGAGTTGTTGATTATGTTATGCGACAAGATGAAACCCTTCGAGAGCAGCGATGTGCTCCAGCTACTCGGCCTGGTTATCTTCGTGCTTTGCTTCCCACGAGACCTCCGGACCATCCAGATGATCTCGATGATATTCTCGAGGATTATCATAAGCTTATTGTGCCTGGTAATTCTCAACAATCATTTTCGAATGGCAAAATTACGTGTTCGTCTTCAGGACTTGTTCAATCGTGTCATCCGAAATTCTTTGGTTCGTTCCCATCGGGCAACTTTTTCCCTTGTTTAATCGCTGAACTACTTGCTCCACACACCGAAGACCATGGCGGTGGAAGTGTTGCATCTCCAGCATTAATGGAACTAGAAGTTATAATGATGGATTGGCTCGGCGAGACGATGGGTTTGCCCAAAGAGCTGCTGTTCTTTCCCGACTGCTCGAGAGGCGGTGGCTGCATGCAGGTGCGCACTTTTACACAAACTTATCCATTCGATCCATCGTCCGTGAACGGTAAAAATGAGCAAAGGTGTCACCACACCGAGCCGCTTTTGCTCATTTTTACCGAAACATAAAGCCTGAGTTCGAGTCCCCGCAACGGAATAGAATTTTGCCAACGTTTTCCCGTAGGTATGCCAATCTGATGCGAATTTAACAACAATGATAGCGGCAAGGAATGCAGCTATTTCGAAATACAAAAAGGACCAGAATGAGTCTTCTGAACTTATTGGCAAACTCGTCGCCTATACATCTCCGGAGGTATGTATGCATGTTCAATAGCTTTTTTTTGCGTTCACGTTTGCGCGCAATTTTCCCTCTCCATCCATTTGCCGTTCCTTTCACAGCGTCGTGTGGTCGCGTGGTGTAGTGGTTATCACATCTGTCTTACACACAGAAGGTCGGCGGTTCGATCCCGCCCGCGATCAGGCTCTTTCGAAACATTTTGCAGGCACATCCCTCAATTACAAAAGCTGCAAAATCAGCCATGGTTACTTTACGTGTTTTACCGACTGACGAGAAAATGAGTTTGCGAGGAACTGTGTTACAACTGGCAATAGCGGTTAAAATCAATCAAGTGTCCCATTATGTGATTGTGTTCGTATTTCAGAAGGATCGACGCGACGGTCTTATCCCATTCTTTGTAGCAGCAACATTCGGAACATCGACGACTTGCTCATTCGACAATGTTGCCGAAATTGGGCCAGTTTGTCGAGATGCTGGCGTCTGGCTCCATGTCGATGGGTCTTATGCGGGTAGCGGAATGATGTGTCAAGAGACACGTCATCTGATGAAAGGATTAGTCTACGCCGATTCGTTCATCACAACCCCGAGCAAACTTGTGTTATCCGTCTGCGATGTCTGCTGTCTTTGGTATTAATAAAGGACGAGATTATAACGGAACTGCTAATATCAGGGTTCGCGATCGAGTGCAACTAGAATCGGCATGTGATAGCGACAACTTCTCGTCGCAACCTAGTGCATTCTGCACAGGATTGCCTTTGAGTCGTCGGTACGGAGCACTCCGCCTCTGGTTTGTTCTGAGGATAAGTGGAGTTGAGCAAATTCAGCGACAAATTCGAGAAGTGTTTATCATTTAATTGCACTTTTGATTCCATTATTTTCAGCATATTCGACTTGGAAAATTCTTTGAAACTCTTCTACTTGGCAATAAACGATTTGTGATCTGCAATAGCGTTCTCTTTGGAATCATTTGCTTCCGCTCAATATTTTCTGACAATTTCAACAAAGTTCTACTCCATCGGTTGAATGAATCAGCAAAACTTCATTTGGTTGGTTGGAAATCTCGACTAAAAAAAATTAAATGCATTTTTAGTCTGGTTGCCAAGTTAACGGCGCATTCTGTTTGAGACTATGCATCAACACACCGAGGACAACCGAGGAAGATCTCGAAGCTTCATTCAAAGTGATTTGCAATCACCTCGACCAGATCATGCGTAGAAAATATTTTTGCGTTCTTTTTTTTCTAATTTCTTTCCAAATATTTCCAGCCTATCAAACAACAATTTCCCAAATGACTTGCGACGAACTCGATACTTATCTCAAGATTCCGAAGCGAGGAAAACCGCGGAAAACTCAAAGCACGATCAGCAGTCTCTCTGAAACCGCCAGCAACATCCGAGTGAACACTGTGAAACCATCTGCGGACAAATGTGCACGGATGAAGATGTTCAGAAATTCGAAATCGAGCGAGGCTTCGATGAAATGAAACACATTGATTAAATCGGATTTATTTGCTTATAGCCTTGAATAATTAGAAAAAATTAAAGCAGCAGCAAAAACAAACTGAAAATTGATTGAAACGAAATAGACAAACAATAAATATGTACATATACGTGCAATCCATGAGTAGTAGTATTCGAGTAATTTTGAAATTGAGATATTCGAAGAAAAAATTGAAATTTAAAAAATGACAAAAAAAAAACAGTTGAGGTAAATACATAATCATGTTGAAACACATAGTTATTAACTACCCCGCGACCATTCTCAAGTCTCGTCAAAAACTGTTAGGCGATTGTGGCAATCGTCGATGTCGGCTTGTCCTCGATGACACCTTTGAGTTCAGCAATGATGTGGTGAATCTCACGACCGTTCGTCTCCGGAAGACGCATCAACAAATAAACGAGGGCCATCGATGAGGGAATTGCGAAGAGAAGAACGAACGAAAAGGCGCCGAGCGACATGAAAAGCGGAATCGTCGAGAAGTTGGTGACGACGACCAGACAACTATGGATTGAATATACCAAACAGAACATCATTGAACGGTTGGCGAGCGGTGAGAGCTCGGGAGGAATCGACCAGATAACAGGTCCAACTCCAATTCTGAAACAGTAAACGTAATAAAAAATAAAGCTGAATGTTGGAAAAGAACCAACCCATAAGACATAATAAATCCAAAGCATGCTCCAATTGCAACTGTTTGATAATGCATTTGCTCAGCAGCGGCGAAAATGCACATGAAGACGACAGTTCCCGATCCGCAGCTCAACAACAGAATCCTCCTCGGAATTCGGTCAATGACCATTGTCGAACAGATCGATGAGATTGTCAAGACCACCATCATCAAGCTCGAAGACATTTGAGAAGAATTGCTGAAAATGCCACATTCGATGCAGTAGAAAAACAAAGATATCCTACATATCGACGCCCATATCTGTGAAAAAGAAGGTGCTGCTTTGAAGGATTGGATAGAATGGAAGGGTGAGGATAGCTGCTGAAACGGACAGCTGCATTGCTCTTCTCAGATGAGGCGTTTTCAAGATGTTCTGTAAATATTCAATGTCACTATCTCAATTCAGAATGTTCCCTACCAAAACAGACGTTTCGCTTTTCTCTTCAGTCTCTGCACTCTCCGGCGCGTTTTCCTTGCTGTGTTGTTCCATGGAATCCAACAAAAGTGTCTGATCAGGAAGATGTCCTTGGAAGAATCTCAACGATCGCAGAGCGGCAAGTCGATCTTTTCTGAACCGAAACGAATCTATTCGCATTTATCTGTTCTGATGACTCACTTGGCAAGAAGCAAGAATTTTGGTGTGTCCGGCATCCAGCAGGCGAATATTGTTGAGAGAACTCCAGGAATGACAGGTACGAAGAGCAAGACGGTGAGAGAATGCCCCAAAAGAGCCTCGTGTCCGAGGAGCATGCCGAGCAAGCACATCATCGAATAGCCGGTGGAATAGAGAGAAGACATGGTACCACGTAGGGATGATGGTGAGATCTCTTGAAGGTAAAGAATCAGTGCTGCATCACTGAGCGGCGAGAATACGGCGGCAATCAGTCTTCCTCCAACCAACACTTCTGAGTACGGTGTTAGGCTAGCAATCATCTGAAGAAGGCCAGCGACTGCCATCATCACGACAGAGATCGCAAAAGCGACTTTCCTTCCATAGGTGTCACAAATGAACGGGCTGCTCATGGCTCCGACAACTTGGAACAAATACCAAGCAGAATTGATTCCTGATTTCAACATCGACACTTCTTCATGATCGAGTGGTCGGAAGCGTTCGGTGAACGAGTCGTTGAGGTATTCGTTGAGTTTGTGCACCGCCGTATTAACAGACGTATGCGAGAATCCCGAGGGGAAGTTGGTCATCGCGGTGAGAAGCGAGCAAATCGCCAGCAATCGCATGCCGTTCCATGAGAACAATGGCGGCCCCGCGGTCATTTTGACGAATTGAGACGAGTTCGAGAATTGGTCGCGGGGTAGTTAGTCGATGGAATCGAATGACTTCGACTTCTGACAAGAGGCGAAGTTTATTGAATTGGCGAGGCGGCAGATTCTGAAATTTTCTAGTGATTTTTGAGTTCCTTCATCAATGAATACTGACTGAAAAAAAAAGACTTACTTTCGTTTGGGCGAAGCCACAAACTCTGCCTGCTACTGATCGACTCTTCTTCCGTGTGGTTTCGGTTGTTTCCGTGTTGAGAGCGGGAAAGGCGTGCGCGCGAACGACGACGTGTCAAAAGAGCTCTGCAGACAAAACCGTTCATAATGGAAAGCGGACTAGTAGTACAAAATGGAAACAAAAATGACGACGAGCTGTTTCGCGAATAGTAATAACGGTATGAATCATGCAAGAATAAGGGGGAGTGAATGAAGAGGAAATGTTTCGACAATGAAGGTTGGACGGGCTGGGGCTGAGGCGGAGGAGGGGAGGGGATGAGGAATGAATGAATGAATTTGCGAGAAGAATGCCAAAATATATGCATTGCGCGCCACTGATTTCTGATTTCAAGATCAAATATGCAAATTGATTACGACTCTTGTAGATCAAATCAATCGACACTGCAGAAGTGGTGAATGGATTCGACGTCGGAATGGCCGATATGCGTGCGGACGTGCCAAAAACACCCTAGACTCCGCCCCATTAATCGCTCCTTTGTCCTGGCCGGGTGCATGTGTACCTGTGATGAACCTTGAACAGAGGAGAACACGATTGACCGACTTGGCCAATGTCCAATTTTGGTACGCGACGATATCATATTTTGTGTGTCAAGGATGGATGAATTTGATGCAAAAATGAGTGATTATATGCGCATAATTGAGACATTCCGAAGATTTTTCTCGACAGAACAATTTCCGCCCTAATATTTGCGGAATATCGCATTGTTTCGGCGTATGATCATGAAAAAAATTAATGGAACTAACAATCGAATATTTCGGCCGGGGGCCTCGTCATTCGAATTTTGGAGTTTTGAGAAATTTAAAGTCAGTTACTTAATTTTCTGTTTCAGAAATTGTTTAATTTCTTATTTTCAATTTTTCTGCGATTTTTTTTTGGAATCAATGAAATTTGATAGCAACAATTCCCCCAAGAACGGTTTTCTTAATATAATTTTTCTTTTAGCAAATCCGTTGTGGCGAAGATTCGCACATTCCATGAGCACAACTTTTTCACACATTCAATAAATGTGGTGATTAGTTGTCTCTTAATTGTTTTCGTCCTTGCACCAAACTGCGAGGTCGAACAACTCATCAGAATGGAGACAATCCGTTTGACAATGATGCAAGTCGCGATGTCCAGGAAAAACTAATAGCAATTAGAGCCACGCGACGAGAGCGACCTTCCCGTCTCTATTGTTCATTCGGGTCCCAAACTAATTGTCTCGCAATTTTACAATTCAAACATGAGTATTTGATCTCACACATCATTGGCAACGTGTCAAGAATAACTGTACACATAAGGCACGTTGTTGGAGGTGAATATTCGAGGGGCAACGGGGGGTTTCCCCAAAATCGCGCGCATTGTCGAATCATCTCGAAAAACTTGAAATTTGCATACGATACCTTGATTGATATTATCAGCGATAAGGATATGCTTTGGTTTTTGATTTCTGAGCTGTTACGTATTTTCGAATGTGTAATCAATGGTAAATTAAACCGCGTTTTGGAATGTCAAGAATGTTCAATCAATGGTCCTTCCATATGCAACAGGGCTGTGCGGCAATGGAATTGCCGATTGCCGAATTGCCGAATTGCCGAATTGCCGAAGAGAATTTTCGATCGGAAAATTGCCGAGTTGCCGGATTGCCGAAATTTGTATTTTCGGCAATTTGATATAAAAAAATCGGCGAAACAAAAATCAATGTCCATTGAATAATTTGGGATACCGTGAAAATTCGGTATTTATATTTCGAATTATCGTTGAAAACATTTAATAGCCGAAATTTTGATTTTCGGCAAATTGCCGAATTACCGAAATTTCCGATTGCCGCACAGCCCTGATCTGCAATTACAGTACCTCAATGAGGACAAGAGTTATTTCTGTAACGGATACGATTCATTGAGTTTTGTTCTTCATTTGAAACGCTGAAATAGACGAACCTAGATTTCATTTTTTTTGCGTCAAAATTTTCAATTTTCCCTCGTGCTCGCCTCATTTTTTCGAAACATTATTTATTTTTGGCGGCATGAAAAAAGAAAAACAGAACGAAAATTTTACAAGTTCATCAAATCCGAATTTCAATCTCAAAAAGCGTAACGAATTTATCGTTCAAGTTTTATCGATTATCTGATGTTTTCAGAGCTAGAACTACGAGAAAGAAAGCGAAAGAAGGAAATTCAGAATAAACGGAAATGCGAACAATTGTCGAAAGCGTCGCCAAGAGTGATTTGGGAATCGAAACTTGATTATGTCCTAACTGTGATTTCTCTAACAATTGGCATCGGAAATATCATTACATTTCCAGCGAAATGCTACAAGCACGGAGGATGTAACGTTGACAGTTTTAAATATTAATTTATACATTTAACTTATAGTTACATTTCTGTTTGTCTACCTTCTTCTTCTTCTAACATTTGGCGTACCATTTCTGTATCTGGAACTCATTATGGGCCAATATCATCGGTGCACGCCGACAATATTATTTCGAAGATCTGCTCCTGCCTTACAAGGTTTCCGTTTTCGTCGTCCTTAATGATTGAGATCACAGGGGCTGGCTGGATCAGTCTCATATCAGCAGTTTTCACAACGATTCCATATATGCTCGAAGTCGCATTTGTCTTCAAAACGATGTTCGTTTTTTCGGCAATTGGTCACGAGGATAAAGTATGGACAAATTGTAATAACTCATGGAATTCGGACTGTAAAATAATGCAATTGGCGTTTAGTAATATAGGTATTTAGTGTGCTATCTTTACAATGACCAAATTGACGGAGTAAAATATCACGAGCATTCCGACTGCCGATTCACGAAACTCTCAAGTATCAACGATATCAAATCGATTCAACCAAATTTCCAATTCCAAATGTTTGCAACCTTTTTTCCAAATATCTCGATGTTTCATGATTTCAGAGTAGCAATTCAACAACGAACCGAATCATTTATGGAATTTGGAAGTGTGAATTCGAATACTCTCCTCGTTGTTACCTTTCTTTGGGTCATTGTTGCGTTGATTCATAACCGCGGAATCGCTTATTTGGGATCATTCGCTGCTGTATAACATTTATAACTGAACGGTTTGATTTGATGATTCAGATAAGCGTCATCATAACATACTTGATCATTCCGACATTGTTGTTCCGCGCATTTGGCCTGGTAGGCTCCGAGATCGGGATAGCACATTTATTCAAAGAGTTAGATGTTTCTAAACTAGATAGTTCGACGGTAGGATTCAATATTCTTCACACGTCTTTTTTATTGGCGATAATTTCTAGATTTGGATAGATGCTCTTACGCAAGTGACATTCTCATTGGGACTTGGATTCGGTGGCCATGTGACTCTTTCGTCGTTTTCGCAACCCAAACAGAACACGTTCGGCGTCGTTTGCCTCAATGTCTTCCTCGATACACTACTTAGTCTTGTCGCCGCGACCACCGTTTTTTGTGCACTGGGTCACACCGCTCACGCACTTGGAACAAGCGATATTTTCGATTTGGTACCAACGTCAGAAAGTTGGCGAAAATATTTGATAGCCAACACATAATTAATGATAATTAAGCGATGCGCGTTTCGTTTTTCGCGTTTCCTATTGTGATTGAGCAAATGCCTGATATTTGGTTTTGGTCGGTGATGTTCTATTCATCGGTTGGCATTATTGGATTCAGCACAATCACTAGTAAATTCTTCTCAACCGAAAAAAAAACAATCGACACCTAATTGTGAATTCAGTCATGATTCTTTCGATATCAGTGCCGATTGCCGACGTTTTGAATATTCCGACGAAAAGTTACAAACATGATTTGATCGCATTAGGACTAATATTTATCACTTGGCTGATTAACATATTTTTCTCGATGGGCTCGGGAATCTATTGGATAACCATGTTTAGTGATATCTCCCATTTCTGTCAGGGCATCTCCATTTTTACGAACTCTGTTATTCTGGGATACTTTTACGGCGCTGACAATATAATAGATGATGTGAATATTCTCATGGGAAATGCCCACAACTTGTTCAGTAAATATTTTGGATATCAGTCTCCCGTTTGGTATTATTCATGGAAATATTACTGTCCGGTTGTTTCGTTGGTGAGTTTCAGCATGTGAATTGAGAGGAAACACGTCGAATTCGATTCTCTTCACAAATTCGTTTCAGCTATTTTCTGTAATCGCATTTGTTCGACAATTTCCATCGCCGAACGACGATATTCGCTATCCGTATCTCTATGATGTAAAATTATCCGAATGCTCATTATTCATTTTCATGTTCAGACTTTTCAAATCACATTGACAACAATGGTTATCATGTTGATGCCGCTTGGGTTCATTTACACCTATGTTACGTTTCGAGTTTACTTTGAGGATTTTGAGCCAGATAAGGTCTTGAGACGCTCATCAATCATTCAAAATTGCGAAACAATTTAGGAATTTACATTCGAAATGCTGTTTTCCAAGCAGAAACAACTGCGATCGTGGCGACGAATCTCGACGAATTTGCTGTGTGACGACAAAATCGAATATTCTAGAATAATGCAAATTCTTCCTGAAATGGAACCGGGCGATCCGAATGGAACCCTCCGAGCCTTGTATACACAGTTCTTCTTGGTCGCTCAGAATCCACTATTCATGGTTTATATTCCGAAACATTTCTAAAATGAAAATGATCTTAGAATGAAAAACGAAAAGCTACGGAAAAAAAGAAGAAAAAGAAGAGAAAAAAAACGAAACTTCATTTTTGGAGCAAGAATTTCGATGATTTTGGTGATGATAACCGTGGTAAGAAGAAAATTGAACTTCTACCACCCATTTGAAAGAAAATTTCAAGAAATTATTATTGTTGACCATCCGCAGTTTGAAATGTCGAAGGAAACTGACAAAAAATTGGAGAATTTGAAAGTGGAACGATCGCTGGTATCTCGTCCTTCAATATACCACTTTTATACTGAAAAAAAAAACACTTTAGGAACAAACGAAAACTAAGACAGGAAGCTACGAAAAAGAACAAATACCGAAAATGACGCGGAAAAAGCACAATTTGAAAAGAAATAATTCGAGGGCGACTATGAAAATGAGGTCGATGTCGATTGAAAAGACGATGTCAGCATCGAAGGATCGACATTCGAGTGCTGATCATAGACTGTCTGTGGACAAAACCCTCGCATCGGTTTCCGAAATGCAAGCAGAATCAACACAGTCATTCAATTCTGCTAAAATCGATAAAAAATCAACAAATAAATAAAATTTTGTATTTTCCATTTCAACAAATTGTGAATTTACTTACTTTGAATACTTTCAAATCGGTTGATTCTAGCTTCTGCTGCTGCTGCGGACAAAATAAATTTAGATGATTCGACTTTTAAAAGTTTCGATGGTTCGTTCGTCAATCGACCTTTTCTTGAATCTTCCGCGTTTTCACCCTTGGCGTGGGGACCATTCCATGCACTGCTTGGCGATATGGCAGCGCAGTGCCCAGCCCATGAAGCTTCCTTGTCCAGAAGAGCTTTTTTCAGTATTTTGTATGCTTTCGGCACATGGTTCCATTCTTGAGAGCTCGGCACAAGAGCTGCGCGGAATTCCGTCTCCCGTCGTCTTCTCTATCATGCCCAAGAATTTCCACTTCGACTAATTATGAAATTACGTGAAAATTATAATAAATAACGTAAAATCAAAGTATTCTAATGCGACATTTTCCTAATTTCCAAAGCAATGCAAAATGAAATGACAAGTGAAAAACAAAACGAAAATTTTACTGATCCACATGCAGCTTTTAATCTAAAAAGAGGTATTCTTTCAAAATGAAATACACAATGATATGAAGGCAAAACAATAATGGTAATAACTATTCAGAAATTGATCGGAAAGAAAAACAGAGAAAAACAGATCTTTTACGAAAATTGAAACTCGAGAAACTGTCAAAAGCTTCACCTCGAGTCATTTGGGATGAGCAAATCGACTATCTATTATCATGCATTTCGTTTACAATTGGAATTGGTAATATTGTCTCATTTCCTGCGAGATGCTACAAACATGGCGGCTGTGAGAACATCCAAAAGCAATCGATGAAATTTTGGAATTTCAGTTACATTTCTTATAGCCTACTTCATCACAATGCTCACATTCGGAGTTCCCATTTTATATATGGAGATTATTATGGGCCAATATCATAGATGTACACCGATCATAACATTCAGACGATGTGCACCAGCATTGCAAGGAGCTGGATGGTTGGCACTCGTTTCATCCTTGTTCCTTACAATTCCTTATATGATGGATGTCGCACTTATAGTCAAATCAATGTTCATCTATTCTATAGTTGGTCTAAAGGGAAAAGCGTGGTCTAAATGTGACAACCATTGGAATGATGAGAGTATCATACATAATTAAGACATGCTCTTATTAAATTAGAATTTAGTCTGTTTCGATCCATTGGTCAGTAAAAGCGAAGAAGCATTGCAATGCTATTACACTAGCCTATACCATATCAACAGCACGATTAGGTTATCGGCGATAGAGCAATTTCACGAGTTTGAAAATTATATTTCAAAAAAATAGGACACAATGTTTGAATTCTAGAAATGTAATAGATGAATCGTCGGACTCTTTTATGGATTTTAATGAAATAAATTCTAAGACATTTCTGGTTGTTACTTTTTTATGGCTGATGGTTGCATTGATTCACAATAGAGGAATCGCCAAGATGGGAGGATTTGCAGCGGTATTCGGGCTATTTGCATTTAACTAGAAAACCATTATTTTTAGATAAGTGTCATCTTGGTCTATTTATTTATCCCGACATTATTTATTCGATCAATTGGCTTGGAAGGTTCTGAACTTGGATTGGCAAAACTTTTCGGCAACTTTGATTTAGAAAGCCTCGCTTCAACATCAGTAATTTTCTTGCATGATTTTTCATAATAATCTGCGTTGAAGTTGTGGCTTGACGCGCTTGCGCAAGTCGCGTTTTCGCTGGGCGTCGGATTTGGCGGTCACGTCGTGCTCGCCTCATTCGCACCGCCCAAACAGAACACATTTGGAGTCGTCATGTGCGTTATATTCTTGGACGCATTTCTAAGTCTTGTCTCCGCTGCGACAATGTTTGCCGCACTAGGACATCGAGCAAATCATCTCCGAATTGAGAATATTTTCGAAGTGGTTCCTACAACAGAAGGTAGGAAAGAAACACTCTTAAAATGAACGAGTCTCTACTATTTCGTTTTGTTCTCAGTGAATCGGGTTACATTCTATGCGATTCCGATTGTTATAGAACGAATGCCAGATATTTGGTTTTGGGTTGTCATGTTCTATTTGTGCCTCGCATTGATTGGTTTCAGTACGATCTGCTGTAAGTCTGAAATGATTTCTTCTTAAAAACTATCACAAGCAACTTTAGTGATTGTTCTCGCCATATCTGTGCCGATAACAGATTCGCTCAATATTCCAACCAAAAGCTACAAACATGATGTGATTGCACTTATTGCAGTGTTGTGTTTGTGGCTCACGAACACATTAATGAGCTTAAAATCGGGAATTTATTGGATGTCGATGTTCAACGATATCTCTCACTTCAGTCAAGGCTTTACCATTTTGATCATGGTTATCATCATGAGTTGTTATTATGGTGCTGACAACATTATGGACGATTTAAAAATTTTGATGGGAAAGCCAAAGAATGTGTTTAGTCGTTATTTCGGATTCGCTTCACCTATTTGGCAATTTTTATGGAAATTCTATTGCCCTGTTATAGCTTTTGTACGTTAAAATTCATGCAAAATTCATCAGGACAATACGCTTGAATTCAGATTTTTACATGTATTTCATTTTTTCGACAGTATCCCTCGCCTCTAAACGACATTCGTTATCCATATTTATTCGATGTACCTCTCAATCATTTTCTTTTTTCAAACTCGAATAATCGTGTTTAGACAATACAAATAATGCTGACAATTGGCATCATTTGTTTATTGCCTTTAGGATTTTTGTACTCATATGTCTCATTTTTAGTTTACTTCCAAGATTATGAACCCAGCAAGGTTCGAGAATTCACACTGAATTTTATCAAAATTACTAAAACGATCCAGATCTTCACATGGGATGTATTGTTTCTAAAACAGAAACAATTACGATCGTGGAGAAGAATATCGGGAAAAATGTTAGAAGATGATGCCCATGCCTTCGAAGAAATTATGCGGATTCTGCCGGATCGCGAACCTGACGATCCTGATGGAATCTTGAAGGCCTTGTACAAACAGTTCTTCTACATGGCTCAATCTCTTGTTAGTTTTTGTTTGTGAGGAAACTTAAACATATTTTAGAATAAAAGAAAAGCTCATAAACGGAAAAATAAAAAAAGAAAGAAAAAGAAACATGAAAAAAAGAAGCGTTCACATGGTAATTTTATTCTTGATTTAATTAAATTCCATAAAAACGAATTTAGGTTACTCAAAAAAGAGAGGAGATAAAGTAGAATTGCTGAGCGGTAAAATTTTGCTTGATTCTGAAGTTAAACCTTTGACTTTGAACATTGAGAAATCAATGGTAATGCAAAATGGTTGGAATAATTGAATGATGATATTTTCAAGGAAAAAGCAAAAACGACGGGTGCCCGAAGTGATGAGAAACTGAATGCTCCAACTCCTCGGAAATTCATTAAAACGCTTCCTCCGACTCAAATGTTGTCAGTAGAGCAAATTCGGACAAAAACCTCCAGAGATGGCACAATAACGCTGCGTCATGTTAAGAAAAGCGACGCTAAACTCACCGTTGAAAGAACGATTTCGTCTGAATCGTTGAAGAATGAATCGACACAAGAATAAATCTCGCTCAAAATATATAAACCGCGATTTTAGTCAAATGCGACGAGAAAAATGTTTAACAGAAAAAAATATTCGTGATTTAATTTTGTACAATCAACTCTTACAAAAGTGATTCCCAAATTAAAATTCCTGTTGTTTTTTAGTGCGCTTTGTGCGTCTTTAACCAATCCCAATTTTTAGCCCCGTAAATGTACACTTATTTTTTCTTGAAATCCGCTGTCAGTTTTTTTGGCATTTTGCCAATTTTCCGCAGTCCCGCGACGTCAGCAGTACAATTTTTACAGATTTTTTAAAAAATATTTTTGCGACAAATTGAAATCAATCGATATTATAAGACTTTTTTAAGTCGTTCGTTGTTTCGTGTTAAACATCGTTTACCTGACGAAATGAGCGCGTCACATAGAGGCGTTAAAACTATTTTTTTTTCTTCATCGACACAGTAGGCGGAGCTTTGACTCTCTTGTTCTGGCGCCTCGTTTCGCCTCTCGCAAAATCATCTCTTGGGCAGGCAGCATTGATGTTATCTAGCGTGCCTTCGCTCGGTCTTGCAATTTCTGGTCATCAATTTACTTTGCGTCGCTACACAATCTGAAATTATCTTGTTGCTAACACATTAAAGTTCTGGCGAGGTCTAAAAACTTTTGAATTGCCCCTCATCCTCGTTGAGCAAATGTGCTCCATCGCACTGTACTAACGGACGGTTTTGAAAAAGAAAATCCTAAATTTTTTTATTTTTCGATCAAGCTTTTTGTTTTTTGAAATTTTTTTCTCGATATCATTTGTTTGAAAAATTCTCTAAATAAAAATTAAAGCATTTTCTTGTATGATAGCGGGTAACTTTGGTTTTTTTTGAAATAGCTATTTTCAGGTAATATGCTGAGTACTCTTGCCAGAGGCTGCCGCTCGGTTGCGGTTCGCAACTACTCCGCTACACTCGATGCTCATGGAAAAGTTCTTGATGAGCAAAAGCCAATGGATGAGCAAGTCAGCCCGTCGTTCTACAAGGTTGGTGTTAAATACATATTTTCATCATTTTAATTTGCCTTTAGATGGTTGACTACTACTTCAACAAGGGAGCTGACGTTATCGCCCCAAAGCTTGTTGAGGAAATCAAGTCAAACTCCTTGAGTCAGATGGATAAGAAGAACTTGGTTGCTGGAATTTTGGGAGCTATTAAGCCAGTAAACAAAGTTCTCTACATCACGTTCCCAATTCGTCGTGACAACGGCGAGTTCGAGGTTATCGAGGCCTGGCGTGCGCAGCACTCTGAGCACAAAACTCCAACTAAGGGAGGTATCCGTTACTCCATGGATGTCTGCGAGGATGAGGTGAAAGCTTTGTCTGCGCTTATGACCTACAAATGCGCTGTTGTTGACGTTCCATTCGGTGGAGCCAAAGGAGGTGTCAAGATCGATCCAAAGAAGTACACTGACTACGAAATCGAGAAAATTACTCGTCGTATCGCTATCGAATTCGCCAAGAAGGGATTCCTCGGTCCAGGAGTCGATGTTCCAGCCCCAGATATGGGAACTGGAGAGCGCGAAATGGGATGGATCGCTGACACCTACGCTCAAACCGTTGGACATTTGGACAGAGTACGTTATTAATGAGGTTACATTGATAAAATATCATTTTAGGATGCATCTGCATGCATCACTGGAAAACCAATCGTCAGCGGAGGAATTCACGGACGTGTTTCCGCTACTGGAAGAGGAGTCTGGAAAGGACTTGAGGTTTTCACCAACGATGAGGAGTACATGTCCAAGATTGGATTGACCACTGGACTCGAAGGAAAGACTGTTATCATTCAAGGATTCGGTAATGTTGGACTCCATACTCACCGCTACTTGCACCGCGCCGGAGCCAAGATTATCGGAATTCAAGAATGGGACAGTTCCATCTACAACCCAGATGGTATTCACCCGAAAGAACTGGAAGATTGGAAGGATGCCAACGGAACGATCAAAAACTTCCCAGGAGCCAAGAACTTCGACCCATTCACTGACCTCATGTATGAAAAGTGCGATATCTTCGTCCCAGCTGCGTGCGAGAAGTCGATACACAAGGAAAACGCCGCCAAGATTCAGGCTAAAATCATTGCCGAAGCTGCTAATGGACCAACTACCCCAGCTGCCGACAAGATTCTTCTCGCTCGTGGAGATTGCTTGATCATCCCAGATATGTATGTGGTTCATTTTTTTTTCTCCTGATAATTAAAATTTTCAGGTACGTCAACTCTGGTGGTGTCACTGTTTCATACTTCGAGTGGTTGAAGAACTTGAACCACGTCTCTTACGGTCGTCTTACTTTCAAATACGAGGAGGAAACCAATAAGATGCTTTTGGGTTCGTTTCATTTTCTCGATATACTCAACTTTGAGAGAAAATTTCGCGTTTCGTTGTTGTAAATAGTATTGAGAGATGAGTTTTCACAACGTGGCGCGGGCATTTCAATCCGTCTGCGCCTGTTGACCCTAACATACACAAATACCTGCGCCTCTTTGTCAATGTTCCCACGTGGTCTGCAAACTCGAAAAGTCGTAGACTATTTGATTCAAAATGTTCATAGAGCGGCAAAACGAAGCGAGTGTAATTAAAAATTTGCAGCCTCCGTTCAAGAGTCGGTTTCTGGTGCCATTGGAAAGGAGTTCCAAGTTATGCCAAACAAGGAATTCGCCGCTAGAATCGCCGGAGCCAGCGAGAAGGATATCGTTCATTCTGGACTTGAATACACCATGCAGAGATCCGGAGAAGCCATTATCCGTACCGCTCACAAATACAACTTGGGATTGGACATCCGTACCGCGGCTTACGCCAACTCTATCGAGAAAGTCTACAACACCTACAGAACTGCTGGATTCACTTTCACATAAATATCATAACTCTAAAACGTTCAGTAAACTATTCCATGTTTGTTAGCATTTCCTTATTCCGCTAGCTTCTAACCATAGCAATAGTTTCAGTAACTAGCTAGTTTCCGGAATAATGTAATGCTTCAGGCTCGATTGCACTTTTTCTCATCTCAGTAGTATATTTCTTGTTGTTTCCTTCTCACACTAAACTTCCCATCTGGATGTCGACAATATTTAATGGCTGGTTTGAAATTAAAAAAATAATAAAAAACATTTAATAAAAATATTTTGGGCATCTTGAACAACAATTCATAACAAAATGAAAAAAAAAAACAACAAATCCGGAGTTATATGAATGTTAACTTATATCCCATGTGATCAACAGCATCACGAACCCATTGGGGAACTTCGATATTCTTGGATTTCTCTTTTTCGTTAAGAAATTCGGAGTCGATTGGCCCAAACTGATCTTTCAGGAAATTATTGAGAAATTGTTCGACATTATTGGATTCAATCGCGGTCCGAACATCCTTCATCAAATCGAGCTGGTGTTTGATATTGTGCACAGTGACCAAGTGACATCCGACGGTTTCCTGAAACGATTCCCTTATCTTTTGTTTGTTTCCAACTTGTCTGAATCTCTCATCTCTAGCAAGTCACCCCACGTGGGATTGTCAGTTGTCTTCGAAACCGACCGAAAAAATTCGAAAGATCAATCGAGCGACTGATCAGACCATCGTCGGCGTCGTCAAAAACGTTGAAACGAATGATGCAATTTAATTCGAAATTTGCTTATCGCTATGTCAAAGAAAACAATGTTGCGAATTCGATAGAATTTAGGTGAACTGAATAAAATTGTCTGACATCCAAGAAATAATTCATTAAAAAATATCGATTCATCGATTTTTGAGATTCGCTGTTTTTATTTTTCACCCAATAGTGTTTTGGAAATTCATAGGCGGCCGCCACATTCATTTTTAAACAAAGGTGAATGACGCAACATGCCAAAATAGAACCTTCGATTCAAGGGTTTCGTTGAAATTCGATCAACGACGCCGACGTTCCCATAAAACGGAAATTGATAGCGTCGCGTCATCTACGGGGGTTTCCCCCGAAATGTACCCAACGTGACTTTCAGTGGAAACAAAAAGTTGACGGCCAAGATGATATTTGAGGTTTGTAAATAATATCGCATCGAAAATCATATTGTTTGAAAAAAAAGTTGAAGATGAAAAGGCCTTCGATCAAATAAATCTATTCTCAGTAATTGAAAAAATAGTTTTTAATCGGTTTATAGTAAATTATATATAATTTTATAGTAAAATTTTTTCTATAGAAAAAACTTGAAGGTGGCTTTAGAGAATGAAGACTATATATGGATTCTTACAATTTTTCCATCAAGCCAAATTTTTTTAATGAATTTTCGTTAAATCTTTTAATGTTAATCTTAATCTTAATAATTTATATTTCTTGAATATAATCATTTTTGTATAGAATTCTGACCCAACTTATTATCGAAATTACCGCATAATCATCCCCCACTCAAAATTGCAACATTTATTCTGTTATCGTTAATCGTAACATTAAAAATATAACTGATAACACAAATTTTCACTGATTAAAGATTGTTATTGGAAATTTAAATTCTAATAGACCGTCGAAAATAATTATTGATGTCTCCAACAATGATCTACAGATCGAAAAGTGATATCATAATAGAAATGAACGTCACATAGAATAAAACCAGTATGTTCTTGCCATTTCACCATTCTTTCAAACGCATCAAAATTCATAATAATAATGACGATGATGATTTTTTTGTTTTGAACAATCGACGGTTTTTGAGAAAACAACGTCATTCCTTCGTATCACAATTTTCGCAGTATGATGTAAGATTTGCGACGAGAACCGCGACAAACTAAAAATTATCTTTTTTTTGCGAAGAGATAGAGGTGATCTGATGTAATAAAACAATTCGCATTGTAAGAATCTAGAATCGAAGATCCAAACAACGATGTTTGATTAATCTACTTCTACCAATTATGAGAAAAACCAAATTCGAAAAAAGATTTCAAATTTTCCTCAATCTTCAAACATCTCATAATTTCTCAAGTAACTACGAAGTCGAGGCCAAAGTTTCTCGCAATTAGTTGCACTCAAAGACTTCAAACGTATCCTATTAGCACAGTTTGCTCGTTTCCTCAACTGTTTCGATTGTCGATTCTCTAGTTTCTCAGACGCACGTGTCGAGTTCAAACAATCATAGCGAGAGATATTTTACGGTCGTTGAGACGCAAAACAGGAGACGAACCAATGTGTCGACCAGCGGTGATAAAATTAAAATTGTTTCGCTGAAGCTCACGTTCCCAATCGAATAATGTTCGGATGGATCGGATGATTTGAAACACAACAACGTTTGTTATGAAGTTTTGATTAGAATCAGAGAAATTAATGTATTTATGATAAAAGTAGTGTCGGTTTCAAATGATTAATCTATGTTTGGAAATTCTGCATCGCAAAGTCAGTGTAGACCTACGAATTTGAAACTTTAAGTACAGCTAGAAATTAAATGAGCGTACCCAAAATTCAGAATACGCAGATACGCACAGTAAAAAAATCTATAAATTTCTTCAAAGTAGTTGAATTATCATGAAATTTTGAAACAAACTAAAAAAATAAAATTTGAATACGCTTAAAAACTTGAAACCGATTCTGAAATCAAAATTGTTTTCAGAATTTCAGAATTACCATTTTTCTTTTTTTTTTCGATTTTTTCACTATTTTTTACAAAACTTCGAATTTTCAATATTTTGACGTAATTTTCATATTTAGTGGTTTACAGAGGTACTAATATTGTCTAGATCAATGGTTGAAATCATTAACGTCTACAAACACCTTAAAAGGAACCATCATCATTTGCGAGACATTTTGAACTTTGAACCAACCATCATAAAAAATAATAAATAAATAAAAAATAATAATATAAGTTTGAAATCTATGAGAATATAAAATTCGATATATTTTCTTTTTTCGGAGCAAGCGCGGTAGTCTTAGAGGACGTAAGAATAAAAAAAAAAGAAAATAAACGTAATCAGCCTAAAATCCCAAAACACCGTGGTCTAGCAAAACGCTTCGAATAATTTAAAATAAGAACTTACCTTATTCAATACCGAATGGATGAAAGCTCTCGTGTAAGTTTGACATGTATTGCATTCACAAGCCTCATCAATCGGCTTAAAATCTTCCGCGAATCTTTTCTGATTCAAACTCATAAATCCGCCTTTTCTTACCAAAGCCGTTCCAAATCTCAAACAAATAATTGGTATATCTAAAAATACTCGTTTTGATTACCTTGCTGTCCTTGTTGGATACACACAGTCAAACATGTCAGCTCCAAGAAGAGAGCATATTACGAGATCAACCTGAATCAAATTTTTAATTTGAAAGAAATAAGTCAGATCAACTTACTGGAAATCCGACCCCCATAACATATCTGGGCAAATGTGGCGGAAGAAGAGCACAACATGCTGCCACAACCCTCCAAAACTGCGATTTCTCCTCACCGCCTGACAATCCGCCAATGGCAATTCCAACCTGCAAATTAACTACGTAGGAAAAACAATCCAAATATTAATAAAAAATACTTTCGCACGTTTAGCCATTTCAAGTGCACATTCTTTTCGAAGCTCAAGATCTAAGCCACCCTGAAAAATCATTTTAAAGTTAATTTATATGTTTTTTTAACGTTAATTTATATGTTTTAAAATTGTTAATTTGAGAGCGAATTTATCATATTTCAGCATGCGCCTTTGAATACTGTCGTTTTCAAGGCAAAAAATATTAGATCAAATTGAATATGTTCATAAAGCAATAAAAGAAAATTAAAGAAAAATTACCTGAAGGATTGGGAAGAGAGCTTGATCGTCTCGCGTGTGGGCTTTTTTACATCTATCAAGCCAACTAAAATTTAAATAAACGGAAAATCAATGTTTTATTATGATTTACCGTATACTCCTGTACATAGCTTCTTTAACAATATCGCCCGTAGTCAAAACATGAATAACGTGATCCAATTGCATCATAATATCCGCTCCAAGAGCCTAAAATCTATCATTTGAGAACTAAAACTTCAATTTTGCGACTTGTTGAATTTCAATCGATTTTTCTGGTGGCAGAGCCATCATTTCTCCAGTATGCGGACTTTCGAAGTTAACACCATTTTCATCAATTGTCATCAATTTGCTTAACGAGACCATCTTAAAATCCGGGAAAACATCATGAAACATGGGTAAAATGCTAATATTCACCTGGAATCCACCCGAATCAGTAAGAATTGATCTATTCCAGTTCATCATTTTATGCAAACCGCCAGCTTTTTTGACTCGTTCATGTCCTGGTCGATGCCCCAAATGATATGTGTTGCAAAGCAGAATTCGACAATCCATATCGACAAGTTGCTCAGGAATTAAACCCTGCAATTTGGCGACACATTTGTTTGCTGTCAAAATATTTCGTATGAATGAACCATCTATAGTAGTTGTTTATAATCACCTACTTAATAGAAAAAGAGTTATTTAAAAAATAGATTTTTCAAAAATGTTGAAGATGGACGAATTGGGCAAATTTGAACGATCAAACGTTTTTTAGCTATTTATTAATTTTCTCATGCGCCTTTGATGATTACTGTAATTTTCAATGCATTGCATACTCGACCAAATCCAAAATGATTATGAGACCATGGCGCCAAAATTTAAATAATAAGCAACGCCCCCCTAAATTCAATCGTCCTCGACAATAATTGTTTCACAAATATTGAAGTAAGAAAAACGTTTTTTTTAATATTGCAAATCTAATTTTCATAATTTCTGACATTTTATAACGTAATGGTTTTTTATTTTTAAATGTAAAAGTGCTTAAAATAAAAACCTTCATAGTTCCTTGCGTTCCCACAGGCATGAAAACTGGAGTTTCGACAATTGAATGTGGCAAGCGAAGACGTCCACGGCGAGCAAATCCAGCTTTCGCTAGCACATCATATCTCATTTCTTCCTGACAAGTTGGGAGATTCTCTTCGCTCATCCCTCTAATTTGATGATTGCCATATTATTTCCAATAACTTGAATAACTATAAGTAGAGCACGGAAATGAAACCAAAAAAACTTGAATTTTATCAGAGATAGCAACAAGCTCCTGAATAAATGTTCATTATTTTTCCGAATGAAATAATTATACATGAAACTGCTAAAAACCTTACTGTACATTCAACTAGTTTCTTGGGAAATGGCATTTTTTCGTGTCGGGAAAATACATTTTGACTACTATGCGTTATATAATACGGCAATTGAAATAAATTTATTGGCTGTCATTCGTTGGAATCGGGATTCCTTCCTTTTCCTGGGTAAGCGCTGCTGATGGATCGCAAACTTCAAGAATCGCGCGACCCTCAACCTCAGACATTGACAACTGTTTGAGCACCTGAAATATGATTTTAATATGTGGTAAGTATATTTTTAAAGTGATTTTTTTACCGCAGATGCTTGTTCAACCGGGTAGACACGATAATCGGGAGCTTCAATCTGGCCTCCGGCAATAAGATTGACTAAATTTTTTAGTTGCTCGATACTTCCTCTGAAATTCAAGAACATTGTAAGTAGGATTGAAAGTTTATTTTTGAACCTTGTGACTCCCATAAGAGCTAAACGATTCTTGGCAACATGCTTTATTGGGAGCTGAACATCAAGACCAGACAATCCTCCAACGAACAACACTCCTCCCTTAAAGATTATGACATGAATCAGACAGCTGTGAGAAAGAACCTTTGGGAAAATTTTTTCTTGTCCAAATATTCGGAAATTTGTTTTTTTTTTTTGCAGTTTAAATATAAAACGCATTTAAGGTTTCATTATTCGTAGGATTCAAAAAATCTCATGTTTTGTTCGAATTCAATCTCTTGTCGATATCGTGACTGCGGAAGATTGGCTGAATTCCAAAAAAACAAAACTGTAGATTTATGGTATAAAAGTATAAGGATAGATTAAAGGGGCTCTTCTCAAATTTTTGGCATCTAGTCGATATTCCACAGTCGAGCGACTTTAACAATATCGCATGTTAACAATGTTGATAATGATATCATTTGATTAAAATTATGTTTTTCCTTGAAGAATTTCTACTTCTATGGTAACTCAAAGCCAATCCGATCAAAATTTGGCACCGGAATAAACAAAAATCGACTAGCAATTCTACGGATAAGATTGTAAAATTGGCGAATTTTTGAATATTTTAGAATACGATTGATTATTGCTTGGTTTATATTCGGAATGTATAGAATTGTCAATTTCACCGAAACGCATAAACCCATTGATAACGAAATGGAACAATTCACTCAATTATTACAAGATAGTAAAATCAAGATTTTTTTTTCAAAAACTGACCTCAGCAAGGCATTTCAATGAACGAGTAACTGTTCTTGGCGAAGTAACGAAATCGAAAACAACGTTTACGCCAGTACGAGCAACATCTTTAGTACGCATAATTAAATACTCCTCAAATTCTGAATAATAAGATAAAAATGGTTTCAATATATTCAAAATGAATACCAGAATCATCCCAATGTACAACGAAATCCGCTCCATTTCTTTCAGCCAACGAAAGGCGTTCTTCTTTGGCATCGGCGACCATTAAGCGAATCTTCCTTTAATCGATATTGATTAAAATATCATGCTCAAAAAATATTTACTTTTCATTATTGATCGATAGGAAGTGTTTTGCCAACTTCAACAGCCACAATCCCAATCCTCCAGCGCCGACAATAAGAATATTGCAAAAGCCTTTCGATTGGGCAAATGCCTCAACAATTGGTCTAGCTTGAAGAACAGCAGAAAGAGCCCATGTAGCACCAGCGGGAAGAATTGAAGCCACATGCATAGAAAGCGAGTCCGGGATTTTGACAAGAAAATGAAGAGTTGGCACGGCGACGTAGTCTGCGTAGCCGTTGCTGCACATTTCGTCAGTAGGCCACACAATAACCTGAGATGTTTAGTTTGTATTTCTAATTCTAAACTTTGATACTTTATCTCCAATTTTTAAACCGTATTCACTCGGCGAACAGGAATCTCCAAAAGCTTCAACGATGCCAGAAACTTCATATCCAGGGAAGAGACTCGTATCTTTGATTCCGTTTGTTATTCTTGCTTGCTTTGTGTTAGAGACTTCGCGGTCCGTAAGGCACACACCAGCATAGCAAACCTTTAAATATATTTTGTAAAAAAATATTATATTTTTTAAATTCTTATTTTTTACCTTTACGCGAGCTCCTTTTGGTGGAACATCGGGAATTGGCTCCTCATCAAAAAACTTGACCTCGCGAAGATCTTTTGGCGATCCCAATGAAATGCGTCGATTTGTTGAAGGCATTTTCACTGAAAACAATCCATATTCCAAAAAAGATTATGCATTAAAGTTAAATTCTCTTTCAAAACACAGTGGAAAAGTTTACGTGCCAAAAAAGAAAAAAAGGACGAGGGGTTTCGCTGGGAACAAGATGGGCGAAAAAACACTGAGCAGAAACGAAGGATAGCATGTGGGAATTGAAGAGAGTGCGAAAGAAACAGACGACAAAATCAGACGACAAAATGCGGCCGCTATGCATTCGCTGTCAGTGAAAAATCGACAAGAAAGTAAAAGCATAACGAAGAAACGGAAATGCTCATCCAATAGATTTAATAAAACGTTTATTGAATCCCTAGCCACCAAATATTTGTCTTGAAACCAATGTGAACAGTTTCTCATTTTATTAGATTTTTTGCAGATCATGATTATCAGCAATTGCTAACGAATTCTTGAAAAATCAGCAAAAAAATGAATATTATTTTAATATTATAATACAGCTAAGCGCGTTTATTGCCGATTTCAAACGGCTTTGTCGACTATTTAAAGTTTAAAAAATCGAAATTTATGGCTCTGTGACGTGTTTCTCAAGGCAAAAAGTGCCGCTGAGATGTGCGTGTCTTCGTACTCGTGCATTTTAGCGTCCGCACATTCAATTTTTCTCAGCGCCTAGCGCATATTTTCTCACTGATTTCGCTACATTAAATTTCTCGCCACAAATTAATAATTAAAAACCGACAATACAACTTTAATTCAACCGCCATTTTTTCCGTTTTTATCGTTAATATTATCTTCACACGGCGCGCGCGCCGTAGCACTAGTGTGGCCTAAAATATTGTCATGAAAAAATTAGTTTCGGCCACGGCCACATTAGTTACTTTAATTAATGCATTAATTAAAAAAATATATTTTCGGCGCAATCTGCATTGGGTTTAAAGTTTTTCGATGGTTTTTGTCAGTTAAAAAATATTTTTTTTACGAAACTCCAAAGCATCATGATGATACTATGCAGATTTCTCTGAAATTTTTGAGTGCCGGCCATTTTTTCTAGGCCACCAGCACTACGACGAGATGTTATCGCATTTTTTTCAGGCTGGTAATTCAGATTTAAATTAAAAAAAAACACGGCAATCCTTGCGGGTGAAACTGTAGTGATTCCTGCGTTTGTGAGTTTAGGGCGTTCGTGCGGACGGGCAGTTTTTTTTTTAATTTTCTAATATCATTTTTTCAGATTTCAGTGTGAAATTCGCACTTCTTCGAAAATTTCCATTTGAACGCATCCTGAAATATAATTCGTATTTATCATTCTACCAAATGAGGTGCGATGAGCATTTTTTATTACATTTATAGATCATTTCCATTCTTATAGGTTATGTCAATGAAATTATAATTTAAATCAACCTGTAAGCTTCCACTATAGTCACCAAAAAATGTTTTCGCATAATACCTGGATAAGAAATGGTTTCGTAAAAATTAAAACTTCGATTAAAAAAATTGAATAAAAGAATGACCGCGGACTCTTTGGACGAACGCGGACGGATGGCAGCCGTCCACTCAATCGTCCGTCCGAATGGATGACATATAGGAAGGACCTTTACTATAGAATTGAGACCCGCAACATTTTACTCTGCAAAATTTTATGCAGCTCGAGGTAAAGAACGAGACTGTTGACCGTTCTCAATATTTTTAGTATTTTAATAAGCGTCTTATTATTTTATATTCACGAAACAAATAATTTTAAAAAATCAGCGATTATTCCTGTGTGTCATCTAATTTCGAAATAATCTCAGAATCCATTGTGCTTTCAACTTTCAACTTTCGAACGCTTCGATCGTTTGTATTATCTCGGGCGTCTGGGTTTTGGCTATCTGACTTTTTAGTCTTTGACCTTTTCTTTAGTTTTCGTATCCCCTTTTGCTGTGTATATTTGAAACTGCTTGCCACACTTCCAGGTTTTTCCTTTAATAAATCATGCGTTTAAAACGAAACTCAGACGTCGAAACTACCGCTGAAAGATCGTACACTAAGTCCAATTTATCATTTAAATTGGAAAATGGAGGCGTGCCAATAATCAATACTGTAAAAACGTTTAGAATCTATAATACCATCGAAAAATAAAAAAACCTTCATCGAATATTGGTTTCTGCTTTTTCATTTTTTTCTTCGTTTTTTTCTTTGGATCTGTATTATTTCTTTTTGACTTCTAAATATAATTGGAAATCAACAACAATTAATTCAAACATACTGCAATATATGGGTTCTGTGCGACGAAAAAGAACTGTTTGTAGAGAGCCTTCAAGAATCCTGTCGGATCACCTGGTTCCCGATCTGGCAATATTGATAGCAACCGGTTATACTCTTCCTCGTCATCGTTGATCATCTTTTCCGACAATCTTCGCCATGATCTGAGTTGTCGCTGTTTCGAAAACAATATTTCTGTTTTAAACTCCTTAATTGATTCTTTATAGGTTATTTGACAAAATATCACTTTATTCGGTTCAAAATCTTCAAAATACACGCGAAAAGTGTAGTACGCATAAAAAGACCCACAAGGAAGAAGAAGTAAAACCGCCAAAATCATGGAAAATTCAATGGTCTGAAATGAGACTTTTCAAAATGAGCTAGTTTTTTGTCAATTAAGAATGATAGACATACATCATAAAGATATGGATATCGAATATCGTCTAATTGTGACGGAAATTCGCGAACAAATACAACAATAGTGAATGCCTAGAAATCATAATTTCAATTGAAATTGGCTTAAAAACGCGAATAGCTCACCAAGGCTACAATTGGACAGTAATATTTCCAACTGAAATACCAAACAGGAGATGCGTAACCGAAATTTTGAGATATGAAATTTTTCGGCTGACCCATCAAAATGATCAAATCGTCGATGATGTTCTCAGCACCGTAATAATAGCTCAACACAACGACTTGCATGAAAATGGTGGCGCCTTGACAAAAATGGCCGACTTCGGAAATTAAAGAAATCCAGAAGAAGCCTGATTTGAAGCAAAACGGGAGGTTGATAAGCCAACACACAAATATAACACCCAATGCAATCAAATCATGTTTGTAGCTTTTAGTCGGAATGTTGAAGACGTCTGCTATCGGAACCGACATTGCGATTATCATTACTAAAACACACACAGACACATTGAGAAATGACGAAACTAGACAAACTGCAAATTGTGCTGAATCCCAGAAGTCCAACACACAAATACGTAATGACAAACCAAAACCAGACGTCAGGCATATGCTCAACAATATCGGGAATCGCGTAATAAGTGACCCTATGAACTGAAAATGGTTTAAATAGATTCAATATAATTCAGAAGATTCATGCTTTCCGAAGATGGAAGCAATTCAAAAAAGTTGCTCTTATCTAGCTCATGTGCTCGATGTCCCATTGCGCAAAACACGGTGGCCGCAGATATCACACTGAGTGTTGTGTCGAGAAATGTTGTCAAGTAGACGACTCCGAAAGTATTTTGTTTGGGCTGCGAGAACGATGCAAGCACGACATGTCCACCGAATCCGACGCCCAATGAAAATGTGACCTGTGTGAGAGCATCCATCCATAACTAGAAAAACGAACATATTTGGATCTAGAATTATTGTTTAACTAACTGAAGCTGTGAACATTTTTTCTGCTTTGAAATTTGTAAATAAATATTTTAAACCATTTGTTGCCCCATCAAGACTAACTGATCGAAAAAATACGGTTGGTATAAATACGAATGCCATTATAACCGAATACTGAAAATGAGACGATGTTTTGATTCAAACAAAGAAAAAACGATACAGCTGAAAATGTTCCAATTTTCGAAATTCCTCGGTTATGGACCAGTGCTACAATGACCCAAAGTAAACTCATAACCAAAACCGTTTTTATGTTGATTTCTTCAAATTCAAGAAAACTATCGCTGCTCTCATAGATGTGATATCTAAATTCGCATTTGTAAAAAGTGTATCATCAAATTAAAAAAAAAACAACAAACTTTTGAAATTGCACATTGGCTTTAAGCCTCTGTGCCTTACTCAGATCAACATTTCTAGTAAAGAAACAATCATTAAGGGATAAATTGGAATCAACTGCTAAAATTGATTCATGCTCTGGCTCAAAACAAACTAAATATTTAGGAGAGAATATTAGCAAGTAGAGTCTTGATTTTACCGTCAGGATTCCAACTATTTGAGCACTCCAACCAAAATTTTTCTTCAGATCCACTTGTGGCAAAAGAAAACATCGATTTGAAGACGAATGTAACATCGATCATATATGGTAGAGTTACGAAAAAAGCCGACATGAACGTGATCCATCCAGCCCCTAATGTATCTATTTTCAATGCTCCTTTCGTCTGTAGCCGATTATTACCTTGTAAGGCTGGAGCACATCTCCTCAACAAGACCGTTGAAGTGCAACGATGGTATTGGCCCATAATAAGTTCCATGTAAAAAATTGGAATACCAAATGAGAAAAGAATTATAAAATATGCGACCAAATATGTTGCTAAAAACGCATTTTTCCCATTCTCTCAATGGGTTTCTAACCACCGCCATGTTTATAACATTTTGCCGGAAAATTGACGATATTTCCAACTCCAATTGTTAACGAAATGCATGTTGTTAGATAGTCGAGTTGCTCTTCCCAAATAACTCTCGGCGACGATTTTGAATTTTTTTCCATTTTCAGCTTTTGCAGAATTGCCATTTTACGGTCTCGTTCTATTTCATCAGAAACTAAATTTCGATTATTCTATTTAACTAACATTCACAAATTACAATTTTTGAGATTAGTTTTCAGACTCCTCTCTGTAAAATTTTCGTTCGGTTTTTCATCATCCATAATCAAAAAATGAACCGCAATTCGTGTCATTCACGTAAAAATTACGAGATGGGTGGCCAATTTTTTTTATAATTGTCCGTCAAAATTAAAACACCTATTGAAAGTATAGAATTTGCATTTATTTCATATATCAAGTTTGATGTTTGACCACAAAATCTCTAATCAAACCTTCTGAAAAACCAGGTTTTTGCTGTTCATTGAAAGAGAAAAATGAAATGGTAAATGAAAATCAATTGGATTCGAAAATAATTTGTTTTTCACTCGAAATCGAATATAATTTAATCCGTTTCGATTTATTCCAAAATTCAAATTGAATAGGATTTCAAAATTGAGAATGAGAAATAAATCAATCGATTTCGAAGATTTTCGAATCGAAACCAAATTTCCAAATTGAATTCAAACACTTTCTCAATCGAATTTAAACTATTTTTTGATAGAATCAGGTTAGTTTATATTCCATTTTTTTCGAATTCGACTGATTTTTATTTTCCTGAAAATGCTTGATTCCGAAGCCGAATTTCGTTTTGAGTTACCAAAATAAGTTTATACCAATAACAACCACAGTTTCTCCTTCAAAAATCGATAATTATATTTTATTTTTTTTTTTTATTATGTCGAATTTGTCATTTTTACCTACAACATCCTGAGGTAAATGAAAATCAATCAAATAAGAAAAAAATGGAATATAAACTAACCTGATTCTATTGAAAAAGAATTTGAATTCGATTGAGAAAGTGTTTAAATTCGATTTGGAAACTTGGTTGCGATTCGAAAATCTTCGAAATCGATTGATTTATTTCTCACTTTCAAATTTGAAATTGTATTCGATTAGAATTTTGGAATAAATCGAAACAGATTAATTTTTATTCGATTTCGATTGAAAAATACATTATTTTCGAAACCGAGTGATTTTCATTTATTTGATTATAAATGGGAAGCTTTAAAAAAGCGTCAATCACCTACGCACTGGCGAACTTTTCGTGAAAACATCTTAAAATTCCCATATTTTTTCGAATTTTATTTATGAATTTCCCTTTGGTTGAAGAGAAATTCATCAGAAATAATTTGGTACTTATAAATATCGTTTGTTCAAAAAATGTCGATTTCGAAATCGTTAATACGTTTTAATAATCAAACATGGACATATTGCTCATGTTAAACGTATGTTACTAAACGACCACTGCAACTGGGAAATGGAAAAAAATGAATAAAAATAGATACTCCTATCGCCTGAACCAATTTTCATCCACTTTTAATTCAATTTTTATCTGTTCCCCAGTTGCATTTAACAAGCATTTTGGCACATTTTTTTGGCACATTAAAAATATGAATTTTTAAAATGAAATTTCTAAATTGTTAATTTTTTTTAAGTTGTTGCTGAGATTTTATGGAATTTTTATTTGTGTATAATTCGTTTAATTATTTTCAATCAATTTTTTAGTATACGCAGTTCAAGGAGAGACTCAATAAGTAAAGGGGTCGCAGAGCGATGATACAAAATCTTCCGGTTGGCTCCGTTATTTGAAAAAAAAAACAAGAAACAGTTCCGGAATTGTTTTAGAAACATGGACCCCTATCAGAACCGATGGAATCAGTTATATTTAATGAATTCGGAGAATACGTGTTTGCAATGGTAATACGTATGGGAGTTTCTGCATTAATGAAAAAAAAGGAAGCAGAACGTTTAAATATCAAGCTTGGTGATTTCCTTCTTGTTCAAATAGCGTAAGTTTAAAAAAATCTAAATTTTTAAACCTATTTTAGCGACAATTTCGAGGCAAAAAGTGAAATGAGATCAAAGCATGTAATTGTTAATGCGGAGCCTATGAAGCCTCTGGCAGAAGTGGTCAAAGAAGATTACAGAGGAATTCCTTGTATACAAGTAAAAATTAACTTATTTTTATAATATATCTTCAATTCAATTTGTAGATGAAGACAATTGCAAAAATCGCTGGTACGATTCAACACAATGGAAGAAAATATCGAAAATTAGAGAGTGACACATTTGGTTAGTAATTTTTTCATGGCCAGCCTTATTTCGAAACTAATTTATATTATAGGAAATATATACGATTTGAACGGTTTGATTCACCAAAATGAGGGAACGCTTGAAATTTCATTAAAAGTAAGCAATATTATTCGAAATAAATGAATTTTCATATTCAGTGCATCATTTCGCCTGCGGACAAGTTTAAATCAGTATTTGTACCGGTTAAAATTATAAGAACGATTCAAAAGGTTTTGTTTTATTTTCAATACTTTGAAAAACAAGCTTAATATATATATATATATATATATATATATATATATATATATATATATATATATATATATATATATATATAATATAGTCACTCACAATCAAATCAACACCACAGTTCCGGGAGTGGTGCATTTTTGCGGCAGATGTTTGCACAGTTTACTGCACATTTCTATGCAGGAGAAAAATTAGTTTTACTTCTGCATGAAAGTGAAATTGCGGTATTTTTTTTTAGAAATTCTATACCCAAATCGTTCTTTCCGACGTCGCGTATTTGTTTATTTTATGAATTTTCAATTGTGTACGAAGTACTCTGAAATTAGTTTAAATCACTTCACAGGATTTTTATATTCTTATTTAATAAATACATACATATTAGCAGGAATCTAATGATATATAGAGTTGATAAACAAATGAATTAGAAAGTTTTTACGATATAGTTTTAATATGAAAAAATTATTTCCTCATACGCTTTTGCATTTATAGCATCTTGACAAGCCCATGGGTCGAAAGATTGGTTTTTTTCGGTTTTGACAAAACACACAGGTGTTTTCTCCTTTAAAGAGAGAAAAAATTGATAAAAGATAACGCCGAACATGATAAAAGTTTCATTTTCCTCAATGAGCTTTCCGAAAATTTGAAAGTTTTGCATACACGGTCGCACCACTTCCAAAACTACGATGTGGATTTAATTGTGAGTGTATAGTCGATTGCTGTACACGGGTAGATTTACGAGGTGCGCCTATCATCTTGGTCTCGCTGCATGTGAATTTTTATTTTGCTATTTTCACGTGAACTGTTAAATTGTTCTTGATAACTTGGATATTTCCTTGAAAGTCTAATGTCATTGAAATTTAAGTTTGCCACAAATAATTATTAGTAAAGCTTTAGGTCAAGCCTTTTTTGGGCAATATCACAAATTAATCGTGCATATTAAAAGAATACATATAGTAGAAAAACAACCTCATGATGATAATTGTCTTGTTTTTGAGAATTTCTGCGATAAATAAATTTCCGTTTCATAATTTTCAGTTCTAAAGTCTTAATTTAGAGATCAAATAGCACTCGTCGTCATGAACCTGCTCTTCTTCCATCGCCTCTCACACCTACATCTCGAAATGCCCCTACGTTGTTGCGAAATAGAGATTCATCAGATGATGAGTTAGAGGACATCGTGTCTCAAATCTATTCGGAAGACGGTGAAGAAGAGATCCAACGCAAACAAAAGAAGTACAAAGAAAGAGAAATGCTAATCGCTTCGAGAGCCGCATCGAGAGCTGCATCGAGAAATGCGTCGAAATCTGCTTCAAAAGCCGATTCAGAGGAATGGCGCGATGATGTATGTATATACTGAAATAATTTTTGAAAATAACGCGCTAAAAACCATATTGGTGTTTTAATGAGTAATGTGGTTTTTCAGAAGATTAAGGACGATCTGAATTTGACAAACCTGGTTATGTCGGTTAGGTTGCATGACAATATGACGGTGCGTAACCAAATGTAGTGCTTAAACAAATTTTAAACGTTCTTTCATATTAAGGAATCTGATTCGTCTTCAATTGGCAATTACAGCGAAAGTTTGGATAAAGAAGCAGATTCTCAATTCAAAAGGGTAATAATTTCAAATTTTTAGAAAAAAACGTTTGTGGAAAAATATGGTAAATTGCAACTTAAAAACCCGAGTAAAACCACCGAAGTGATTTTGTTTTAATTGCTGCCAACGCCAATTCAACGAATCAGCGTGAATGTGACAATCTGTACATATTTAATATGAAATTTCTCTTGTATACTTTTAGCCCTACCCATTAGAGTTCTGTTCCATGCCCGGCTCCCAGTTTGACATACAGTGCGCGTCATAATGATACGCCACCCCCCAAATTTCGCAGTTTTGAGAAAACCATATAAATTGGTGACAAGAAAATTTCATTTTCAAATTCAGGACCATTGAAAACCTATACACGCGTAATTTCATGAGTGTCCGTTGGTCCGTATCCGCACAGCCGAAAAAGTTGGATTTTCAAGCGCGTCATAATGAGTCATAATGAGACGCCACCCCCTATTTTTTGTCTTTTCTTTCGGTATTTTTGCATGTTTCTCGCTGATTCTTCTGTATTTTGTACAGTTTTTCAACAATCTTATTATTTTATCCATAGAGCGATCGTCCACTTTAGTTTTGGCTTGAAATCGGGCCGAATTCGGGCCTTCGAAAAACTTAGTTTTGTTTAAGTACTAAAACGCAAGAAAAAAGTCTAAATAACCATAAGACAACAAGTTTGAACGCGAGAACACAACATATTCAATAATTAGTAGTCTCTCCATAGTTTTGGATCACTTCACATGTTCGTTTCGCATTCTGTCGGCGAGTTCCTTGAGGTATGCAAGTGATCGACCGTTCCATTGTCAAATTGCGGCCTTCAGCTCATAAAAGGTTCCCATTCTGCTTGGTTTGTGAGCGAACGGAACGTTCAAGAAGCCTTCAGACGTTTTTGACGGGATTGAAGTAGGGGAGCTGGCTGATCCATCCAAAAGTTTGATACCAAAACCAATTGAAAATGCCGTCGCTCTTGTGAATGACTGGATTGTCTTGTTGAAATTTGTGAAACAAATTTTAAAGCAATTTCGTAGTTAGATTTTTGAGAACGTCCGATACCATCCTTAATTGGCTTGACACTCTGATTGAGTTATACCATAATGCCAATTTGAGCTTTCTCCTGTGAGCTAATGTAAGAGATTTTCCGCGGCCGATGATTGTGAGCAGTGTATCTACCCGGGACAGGATTTCCCGGGATCCCGGGAATTTCGTTTCCCGGGTTTATCCGGGAAATCCCGGGACTCCAATCCCGGGTCTCGTCCCGGTTTCGTCCCGCAACTACCCGGGATCCCGGTATCTCGGGATCCCGGGATCCCGGGAAATTCATTTCCCGGGATGAGCGGGTTCCCGGGAAATCCGGGAAATTCCCGGTCTTCCCGGGAAATTCCCGGGAAACCCGGGACAATCCCGGGACAATCCCGGGAAAGTCTGCAAACACCGCGCGCGCAAACGCACACTCTTCGAATATTGCGTATTCTCGTTTCATTTTAATGAATTTTCTTATTTTAAAAAGATTCCAATGCTTAGAAAATGGCGTAGGAAGTCCCTATTTGGAATTTTTAAAATTTGGCAGAAAAATGAGTACAATTGAAATGTGCAAATAACGATTTTTCCAAATTAGCAAGAATTTTATACGAAATAATGGTTTTAAACTTTTTTCAATATACTTTTTTCAACGAAAAAACTTATTGAAGATCGATCAAGTAAACAATAAATTATAATAATAAATAATATCGCTGATTCGATCTGAAAAGACTGACTGAAAAGATTCGATTTGAATATGTCGCGAATCAGAATGACAAAGAAAATAAGAAAACTCATAAAATTTCGAAAAAAAAACGACAATACGCAATATTCGAAGAGTGTGCGTTTGCGCGCGCGGTGTTTGCAGACTTTCCCGGGATTGTCCCGGGATTGTCCCGGGTGTCCCGGGAATTTCCCGGGAAACCCGGGAAATGAATTTCCCGGGATCCCGGGATCCCGCGTTTCCCGGGAAACGAATTTCCCGGGATCCCGGGATCCCGGGAAATTAAGTTTCAATGAGTCCCGGGTCCCGGGAAAATTTTCCCGGGAATTTCCCGGGAACCCGGAAATTCCCGGGAAACTTCGTCCCGGGTAGACACACTGATTGTGAGAAGGACAAGTGAAAATAGTTTATAAGTGAAAAATTATCGGTCAGGCTGTCCGCACACAGAATGCAAGCTTGCCAGCCTTTGATGAGCTGAAGGCCGCAATTTGACAATGGAACGGTCGATCACTTGCATACCTCAAGGAACTCGCCGACAGAATGCGAAACGAACATGTGAAGTGATCCAAAACTATGGAGAGACTACTAATTATTGAATATGTTGTGTTCTCGCGTTCAAACTTGTTGTCTTATGGTTATTTAGACTTTTTTCTTGCGTTTTAGTCCTTAAACAAAACTAAGTTTTTCGAAGGCCCGAATTCGGCCCGATTTCAAGCCAAAACTAAAGTGGACGATCGCTCTATGGATAAAATAATAAGATTGTTGAAAAACTGTACAAAATACAGAAGAATCAGCGAGAAACATGCAAAAATGTCGAAAGAAAAGACAAAAAATAGGGGGTGGCGTCTCATTATGACTCATTATGACGCGCTTGAAAATCCAACTTTTTCGGGCTGTGCGGATACGGACCAACGGACACTCATGAAATTACGCGTGTATAGGTTTTCAATGGTCCTGAATTTGAAAATGAAATTTTCTTGTCACCAATTTATATGGTTTTCTCAAAACTGCGAAATTTGGGGGGTGGCGTATCATTATGACGCGCACTGTACTTGTAACACGCAATGCCCATTGCAGTTTTTTTTTGTTTTCCTTCAGTGAAACTTCTACGCAGAAAAAAAGCGATCGCGAAGTAAATGTCATGTGCATTTTTGGTAAATAAAATGCACACGTCCGCAATTTCATTTTCAGCTTTATGTCGAAATTTACCGTGTGTCATTCCTTAGCTAACCGACCTGAATACATATTTGAGACCAAAAATCTGACATTAAATTACGAATTGCCATAAAAAAAACAAATGATATCGGCTCTTAAATGCCGCATCATCGGCGATTCATTGAAATCTCTATTCACCACCGTTTCTACAGTCCAATATGCTCAATTGCTTAATTCTTTGTAACGAATTAATTTAGAGTTTTCATTATTTTTTTATTTTTTGGTTCCTCTTCGATTTTCAATGATATTTTTATGTTTATTGAGGTTTCACCTTCCCTTAAATTTGAAAAAAACCGCCCTGAAAACATTCAATTTCTCATAAACACCAACACTAATATTTTTTGTTGGTGATAATAACGGTTATTTCCGTAACACAAACCTAATTCAAAATATGTTATTTTTTTAGGAATACGACTCATGTTCAGTAGCAAATAACAGTGAGCATTCTCGGCGTCTGGATAAAGAAACACAGCACCAATTAAGAAAAGTAGGCATTACAAATTCGTGTTTGTAGAAAAATCGGAAAGAATCCCAAAACGATGTGTCGTTATAAAAAATCTCGCGCTACCATGTATTTCATTTATTTGTTTTCTAATAATAAATGTAGGGGCCCCAATGAACGGGCTGTGTCGAGATAAAAGGGAAGATAGGTGATCAAAATCGATATTTCGAATGTTGCAGCTGAGATGCCCATCGTGCAAAGTTTTTGAAATAAAAATATAAATTACCATCACGAAAAACGAGCCTCATAATTGTGGACCAACGCACTTTTTTGAGGCGGTAATTTAGATTCGAATTTAAACAATTCGTATTCCGTATTCTCTATAACCTGTGACGCTAACTCACCGTAAATCGGCGCAGTGTTGTCATTTTTTTTTTGAGAATGTAATATAATACTTCAATTCTTTCATTAATTTTCTAAATTCTCGTAAATATTCACTCTTTTTAAGAATTCTTTGTATTCATGGTACTGTTTTGCTAAATATGTTTTTTTTCCTATTCAGGTAACTAAAAAATTTAAAAAAATCGCAAAATCTAAAAAAATGCGGCAAAATTTTCTTTAAAGATTTTCCAAAAATCTGCATGGTACCCCATAAAAACCTTCCAATTCGCGAAATAAATATAAAAAACCAATGTTTATTATCGAGTGGCTTAAACTTCACAAACAATAACTAAATGTTTATTGGTTTTTTTTTGTTGCCCGCGTTTTAACCGTTTGTCTATTTTTTGTCAAATTTCATTTTTTTCAGGACCACAAAAGGGTTTGTGAAATTGTCAGAGAATTTATCGGACATTCGCGAATTCGCCGTGAAATGAAACTGTTAGATATTGAGCTTTTCGATCAATTGGAAAAGATTGTTAACAAGAAAAATTCGATAACGCCGATTTAATTCGTTATATACAGAATAGCTAAATAATATTAACTGTATATGATTAACATATGTGCATTTATAAAACGATTATTTTGTTTTACATTTATTAATGTTCTCGTTCCATTTTTCTTTTCGTTTCTATCGACTCACATCTCAGCTTTTCTCCTACTTTCTAATTCTCTTCAAAATTGTATGTTTCAAGCTTGGTATTTTTGCGATAAACGATTCTTCTGTGCTCATCTCGTTATTTGTTGTCGCTTCGGTTTCAGTCGTTCCGCTTTCGTTTCTTCTTCTCTTTTTTCACATTTCGTTTTTGTTTCATTTTTTAATTGATTTGCGGTTTCAGATGAAGCAAACGGTTTTCAAGTTGCCGCTCATTATTGGAGTTGCCGGCGGTACATCTTGTGGAAAGGTGCGATTTTTCAAAATTCGGCTGCTAACGTTTCTCTTGAAATGTTAATAAATCCAATGAAAACGTTTTTAATTTTCGCAAAATTATCAATATTGAATCTTCGGTATCTCAGGGTAAGGCAAATCCATTGAATTCGAAAAAAACTTGGTGTAGATTAAAAAATCGATTGATTGATTTCTTATTTTCAATTTTGAAATTGTATTCGATTGAAATGTTCGTGTGCTTCGCAACAGATTCGTTTTCGATTGAAAAGGAAATTATTTTCAAGTTTGATTTTCATTTACCAGGGTTCACTTGATTTTTCGAATTGAAAATTGTTTCCATATCAAACATTATTCAGCTCCTTCGAAAATATTAGCAATTTTTAAAGAAATGCACGCCTGCAAAAACAATTTTCCCGAACATTTTCTTTTTATAAAATATATTAGTTTTTTTTTAGTCTACGATTGTCGACAAAATCCAAGGGCATCTCGACTCGAACAAGAATATACGCAATGGGGTATGTTGAATTCACTTATTAGCAATACTGACTCCTTTCCTTGCAGAAAGTACGAATTGCACATCTCGAGATGCATTCATTCTACAAGGAGCTCGATGAAGAAGCGCGCGAGCTGGTCAAACAGGGAAAATACAATTTCGATCATCCGGACGCAATCGATTTCGAACTTTGTGCCAATACTCTGCAGAAAATGAGAAATGGAGAGACGGTGAAGATTGCAAATTACGATATGGAGACGAGCTCGATGTAAAATTTAAAAAAAAACGGCTGATGAAATTTAATAAACGACAATTTTATAGCAAAGGATACAAAACAATCGAAGCTGTCGATGTGGTTATCATCGAAGGAATTTTGCTCTTGTATGATGAGCAGGTTCGCAAATGTCTCGGGGCGAAGCTCTTCATCGAAGCAAATGCAGAGTCCAGACTAAGAAGAAGACGTAAGGATTTTCTTCGCAAAAAATATATTACGAACAAAGAAAAACTGAGTATATAAAGTACATGTAATTCAGATTTTATGATCACGTTGAAACACAAATACCTATTTTTATTTTAGTGTGACATCAACCATCTAAACCCCGAATTTATATATATCCTTTGCAATTTTGGTATCAATTAAGAAAAGTGAACCACACTTCATTTACATTTAAAAAATGCTCTTCTGTGCTGAGATATTATGTTTGTTTTCAGTTGAGAAATACGTTCACCTTTACAATCGGCCGCCGATTGCGGTGATTCAACAATATACGGATTACGTGAAGCCGGCATTCGAAGAGTTTTGCCGACCGACCAAAAAATATGCGGATGTGATCATCCCACGTGGCGCAGATAATCATGTGGCGATTGCGTTGATTGCTGAAAATCTGCAGGTATCTTCCATTCATAGAAACTAACAGGAAATGTTGACGAACGCAGGAAATGTTTCGCAAAATGGTTGTTTCGACGGATGCGGATCGAAAAGAAGAAAACGAGGAGTCCGCCGAGAGTAGTGAGAATGCGCCAAAGAAAACCGTTTCAAGACCTCACTAATAAAATGTTAAAATATGTTATATGTTCGTGTTTTCATTATTTTTCTCTTCCTTCTTCGTATTCCTGCCGGTTTAGCATTGAACTTAGTTTTCAACAGTATTTGTGTCGAGTTCTTGATTTCACTTGTGCTCTTATTTTGTGTTATTAAGGTATTAATTTACTTATTCACTTCTCTGTCTCACCATGCTTTACCATCGAATTGTTTCTGTTTTCAATCGCATAATTCTTTTTTTTACAATTTTTATTAAGATGTTGTTGCATAATAGACACGTTAAAAGAATGATGAGTTAATGAAGGTCTCGACGAGATCGCGGAAAATCAATAGGTTGGAGATTATGGAATTGTTGATGTCCAATTATTAATAAACAAGCTCGTCGACGGCCGGCATTGGCATTTCCTTGAGATCGATGCGTTGCTTCATCGCGAATTGGAATTGGCATGTGCCTTTGCTTATTAGTTTGACGGTGCGGTTGTGATCGATACTCACAACTTGCTTGATCTGAATTATGGAAATTTGAGAAAACTGATTGTTACTTTTACAATTTTATGCATAAGAGCAAAAAAGCAACTTGACGATTTTTTTTTTGAATTCGTGAAGTTTTTAAATATTTCTCATTAAAAAAGCAAAGTCCAATAATTTTCCTTCTAACAAATTCTGTCCCATATACCATTAAGCATGAATCTAAAAATGAAATAAGTGGTGATTTTGATTATGGGAATATCTGGGATGAACTCGGTAATTTGCAAAGATTTGACAATCGCCAATAAGAAATTAATTGTTATTATTACATTCGCAAAAAAAACTTTTGTGCAGATATTAAATAACTTCAAAAAAACCGAATTTAAAAGTTGTTCAAAGTCTCTTGAAACGTGTGCAAATGTTTCGAAGTTGCGCCATATTTTAATGAATTAAAGTTACCAAGAAGAAAAATTTGCACAAATTTAAACTCGGTTTGTTTAGGAGTTAATGAATATCACCGCTATAGTTGTGAGGTATTGCCGAGAAGCAATGAACATTTTTTGTGGTAAGTTAGTCTAGCAGGTTATCCATAATACTCTGGTAACTCAAAACCAATCGAATTGGACAAAATTCGGCTCTGGAATTAACCTTATCCGATTGGTATTTCTACGAATAATATTGTAAAATTGTCGTATCCGATTGGTTTTTTTTGGGTATTTTCGTATCCGATTGGTAATTTGTCCGATCCGATAAGATTTTCTTCGAATCCGATTGGTAAATATTCGAATACGTTTTGTTTTAATATTTCAATTCGAATCAGATTCGACAAATAACCAATCTTATCCGTAGAATTACCAATCGAATTCGAAAATACCCAAAAAACGAATCGGATACGACAATTTTCCAATATTATTCGTAGAAATACCAATCGGATAAGGTTAATTCCAGAGTCGAATTTTGTCGAATCCGATTGGTCTTGAGTTACCAGAGTACGGTAACCAAATTCCCATTGTTTAACTTCAAATTTAAATTACCGCTACGAAATAATACAATGGTCCACTATTATTCAAGGTGCTCGTTTTTGGTAATAACAATATTTCGAATGAAACCGACATTTCCAAAATAAATCTGTGGGAATTCGGCTACCGTACTCTGGATAACCTGCGAAGCAAACTCACCGTAAATCGGCGCAGTACTCTCGTTTTAGGGAATATATAATACGAATTCATTTTTCGTTGCAAGAATAATTAAAAGTAAATAACGCCGACGCCGCGCGATTTCGGAAAATTGGCTAAATTCCATAAAATGTAAGGTCATATGCGCGCCTTTAACCTATCCTTACGATATAGGTCCGTAAATCTACACTTTTAGCTTTGCGCCGAGGCCTGCCATTGTTTTTTGGCATATAGCCAATTTTCCGCAGTCACGCGATGACGCCAATAGAATTTTTACCTCTTTTCTGCAGTGCGGACTATCGAGTTGTGCTCGGAATACTTCAGCAATTCCTACGCGAATTGGCAACACCAACACGTTGTCCTTTCTTCTGAAATAAAAAAAATTCCCTCGATTTTGTGGTGGTTAAAAGAGGTCGGCGAGGGATCTAAAGTGCCTCCGATTTATAATGCCGCCTATTGTGAATGTGTTTGTCGATACAATTACGCGCATTGTTCACTAATGGCACCGTACTGGCGATTACGGTAGCGAGTCAATCAAACATTACAATTGTACCGGTCAGCTAGCTTACCTTCTAATCGAAATCACGACAGTGCCCGAAAGCTTCGAAACGACAGTATAGCTTCCTCGATAGTTCATTTCTTCAATAATAATTGATGCTTCAGTCATATATCGTGGTGGGACCTAAAATTATGAAACAGTGAAGGAATTCGCTTATCGGAAACATACCGAAACATTGCTATCGACACCCCAAGTGAGAATCTCGGTTTGGCAATTTTCGTTTAAATTGTTGAAATGCATTTCATGTTTGAATCCAGCCTTGAGTTCAGCAATTTCGCCTATAAGATTGTTCCATAGAAATATGAAGAAATTTTAAATCAATTCTTCGATTGAGCTTACATGGCGTTTTGAGAGTCAATTCTGCTTCGGCCCCAATTGTATAACCCTGTTCTCTGGCAACGGAGCACAACGATTCGGTGGTTCTTTCAGTCTTAAAACTGTATTCTTGTGGTCTAAAATAGCCATATTTATTTCATAATTGTAATATCTCAAATATTCTAACCGATTCGTGCTATTCGTGTAAATCGATTTGAACAGAGTGTACGGCTTCGAGCCCGCCGGCTGGAAGTGCGAGTACTGTGGATCCTCATTGATCACGACAAGTTGTTTGCGATTCTGAAAACAAAACTAATTGCAAAAATTCTAGGAACTCTTTTAATTTCGGACGGCTCTTTTATAAAAGCATTCCCATTGCGTTGGTCCCTCTTCCAATCAGCCAGCAGTCCATTTTGAAAATTGTGTTGCTCTTCTCAAAAACGCGATGAGCACACCCGTGGGAATATTTCCGCCATTAATGGATGTATTGGAAGAGGCATAGAGGCACAAAGATGGGTGTAAACTCTATTATAGGTGCCTTCTCTTCAATTTCTCTGTTCTGTCGCACATTCTGCTAATCCTATCGAAAACCGCCGACCGCCAAAAACAACCAAGGACGCAATATTAATTAGAGGGTTTACAAAAGTTAATTACGGTTTTAAAATAGTAAATCTGACCTCATTAATCACACAATATTGACTCGGCAAATGTAATCATATGGGAAAGAAATATTGGATTGATGGTCGACAAAAAACGATATAAATATTCATAGAAATGTGCTGATAGAACAGGAGTTTTCAATTCGCAAAATTTAGCAGATACATTCGGATTAAAATAACGAATTTGAGAAATGAGCTCGAAATATTTTTTTATTTTTAAGCGGTTTATTTTCCACAAATCACATTGAAAAGTTCCTTTCACATCAACCGATCTTTTCCGTTTTTTCTTTCTCGGTCAGCCGCTTATTTTTCGCCGAAAACACATGCCAAAATATGCGCAACTCTTTTCAAATTCGCTGGTCGCCCTTATTTTCTTTTCAATTCTTTTCATGCCCCGAGGCGGCTCATTAGCGTATTTCAAAACTGCGCTGACTAGCTCGGCTCGACATTTTCGAAACCGAATATACATATCGGGTTACCGGCTTGCACGGAATTCATAACAATATTTGATGGAGTATGGGTTCAAAAATGGGGGAATTGTGAGAAGCTTTGCATGTGTCAAATGGGATATCTCAAGTGCTCTTGTCATATCAGCAAATATTGAAAGAACAAATAGACTCTTAGTGTGCCCCTAATATCGTACCTTCTCGCTCCCCCACACAATACATAAGTTTCCCTACCATTTGGCCCGTTTCCATTCCACCTGCGGTAAATACTTGACTTGCGCGAATTCGCGAAGGTCGTCCGCAATTCGGCTCTTTTGTTTTGAATAAAAACTTACAATAAAAAATTCGCAGTCGTCGCGTTCGAGGTTGCGGAAGTCGTCGAGTCGCGTTTTGCGAATCGTTTGAAGATCGCGAAACTGATTCCATGCGTAATCTTCGAGAATTTGATCGACGTCGACGTGATTCATGGCACCTAACAAAAAAAGAGAAATTTGAGGTGGAAAGAAAGAAAAAATGCGAGCTTGAAGTTAGTGTATGCAGAGGATGAATTGAAGTGAAAGAAAAAAAAAACGAAAACCGATGCAACAAAAAAGAAAAGGAAATAAAGGTGGAAGCTGAAATATTCCTCAATTCCGAATTGATTAGAACAATTTAGAAACTCAACAATTGAATAATTCGGAAAACTATTTGATTTAATTATTTTCAATAAAAATTTATTCGAAAAACAATTAGTAATAAGAAATTCGAGAGTTTAATTAAAAATGACGCCCGAATATTTGAGATGAATCATCACAATCGGCTCGCGAACACTGCGGCGGCGTCGTTGAGCAGAGATAAGAATTTGGTGTCGAAACAAATCAATAGCCGTGTTACACACACTCTCATATTGAACCGCAACATTGATCGATTCGCTTGCTTTTGTGTGTGTGCTCCGAATTATCAAAAAATGCTGACGAAACAATGGACAATGATACGTGCGGTGATGAGTAACACGGTTTCAACAATTGATAGATGGTCTGAGGTGCATTATGCGTATGGCTTGCATTCTTTTCAAATTTGAACATTCGGAAATTTCGTCTTTTTGACAGTGAAAAAGTTTGAAAGAAATTGATGGTTTGACATCTGTATTCAATACAATTTATTTTATATTTTCATCGTTTTTTTGGAACCCGAAAGCTAAATGGTTCAAATTTAATTTTGTTGTATACTGGAAATAAGGAAAGATTAAAAAAAAACGTGAAAGTTATATGAATGTGGTATATTGGTTGATGTCCAGTATTTATATGAATTATGTGAATAGCAATTAACCATGATAATTCTCACGGTTTGAATGTCATCAGACGGAGGTGTGAGAAGAATCGGCGCCTAATCGCCGGTCTTATAGTGCTCCGGTTATGAAATCTACCGTATGCCGGACACACTCCTCGATGATGTGAAGATACACAGCAAAAATAGAAGAAAAAAAATGGATCGATAAACAAAAATCATGAGTCATACGGCCACAAACAACCGCCAGCAAGAGACGGCCGGACAAAAAAGGGGCGTGGCGACGAAATGGGAGGCGGGCGAGGAGAGAGCGGAGTGGCGACTCTGCGGGAGATCCGAAACCGATAAAATGGCGGACAATGAGGCAAATATTGGAGGATGAATCTAATTCGAACAATTTTTGGATTTCTCAACATTATGGAGTAATCAACGGAGACCGATCGAATTTTGCGTCAATTCGAGAAAATCGTTTTTTTTTGAATAACCAATAAAATATCGGACAGACTTTCAGTGGATTTATGAATTCGACGAGAAATATCGTGTAATTTAATTTAACGATATGTGGTTGCGTGGCAACCGCCCGCATATCATAAGAAGATTAGATGTAATTTGATTCCTTGCATTTCAATATTTCTCGGAATCATTGAGAGAATTCAAGAAGGAAATGGAAACGATGGATTTTAGTATGCTAATGTGATTTTGCATTATTGAAGAAATATAAGAGACTATGTATAAGTGTTAGAAGAACTTCGAAAAAGTTCGATTGAAACTAATTGGAATCAGTGTGATTTAATGCGAAATGAAGGAATTCTGTAAAAAAAAAGACGTATGAAATATTTATCGAGTGGCATGATGATTATGATTTTTTTTTTGAATTTCTGGAAGAATCTAAGATGCAATAAAAAGATCAGCGGCTGAAATGTGTTCGTAAAGAAGATCCAATTCACATCTGCTATAAAACGTGAGAAGTAATCGGTGATATTTGTAAAACAGGCTGTGAGGCATGAAATTTGAATAAAAGGCGAAAGGCGAGTGTACCCACACAAACGACGAGACACAAACATAATCCTTGGGGCTTCATCGTCTCCTCTTTAAAGACCTCGTAATCGTTTGATCGATGTCGACGCGCGAGCTACGCCTCATTCACTTCAAGCGATATCTCAAACCGAAACCCACAAAAAGGAATAATATTATACAACATGACAAGTTTTTTGAAATATTGTCACGCAAACTGCGGCGCCACTGCGTTTACGCCCTGATTAATCCAATTATGGCGGTGTTCACCCCGGGCAACCAAATAATTCGCCGATTCTTTTTCCGTTTTTTTTTAGGTTGACGATTAAACAAACATTCAAAGAAAAATAAATAATTTAAATAGTTATCGGGAAACAAAATTATGATGCATTCACAAGAAAGAAATGTGTAATAAAACAGGAAAAAAAGAAAATGCCTAATATCGCAATTACGAAAGCAAAGGAGACAAATTTCCGGAAAGAATCAATCACGGGTCGGGGTCCCATTATATCGAATTTTGGAGAGTTAGTAGGCCAAATTGCACCGATTATAAGAATAACCGAATAAATACAAGTTACTGAATAATGCGAATTTAGACTCCGCCACCATTTATGGAGAAGAGTTTGATACATAAAATTAGCATCGTACACGAAATAATGGCAAGTTCGTAGTTCTCTTCAAGAATTAGGCTAATTTATTGTTCCTTTTTGTTGTTTTTCACATTCTCAACGGTTTGCTCCTTCTTCTCCTCATCTTTTCCTTCATCATCTTCTTCGAGTAATGCCGCTGCTGCCTCTTCGGATCGTTTCTTTAGATCGGTGCACTCGATCGGCACCCATCCCTTCACACCCGTCGCCTCCGATTTATGCCCGTACACCCAACCACCAATGCCGCGCGTAGCGATTATAATATCGCCGGCGGAGACCTGCAAAACGTTTTCTGTGTGTGTGTGTGTGATTTTTCGAGTCCTCAAACAGGTGTCTCTGCCATAAAATTTACGATTTATTTGGAATATGCGGATGTCTCTGGGTCCGATCTACTTAATAGCATCAGATAATAAGTATTATTCATAATTTTAATTTAGTTGGAATTCCAAATAAATTTAAAATAATTATTTAAAAAAAATAAAACATTCATAAACCTCTTAAAATTTTTTGTGTGGGTTAATTCATAAAATCGACATATTAGCAATCGATTCCTATATTAAAGAAACAGTAGAGTATGGGCAAAAAAAAGGGGGGTTCCGTTTTTCAAATCTCGTTTTGTCTGTAGATGCAGACGCAATTTTGAACATGTTTCATTTCGGAAAATTGGCTAAATGACAAAAAATGAAAAAAAAGAGGTCTCAATACGAGGTTTGCATCTTTAATCTGTCCTTACAATATAGGCTCGAAAATCGAATTTTGCTTAGTTTTGCGCCAAAACCACCTCCATAGTTTTTGGGACATTAAGGCAATTTTCCGCAGTCGCGCGACGTCGACAATAATATTGTCATCAGATTTATCGACATGGAATGGATTTCGTTATAGCCATATTTTCGGCCTCGATTGCGAAAAAAATTATGGGGGAGGGGGATCTTGGCGCAAAGTTTTATTGGTAAAATTACGGTGCGTGACAAGACCTCTCCCTCTTTTTTTTTTTGGAATTTACCAAGAATCGACTGACGTGTAGTATGCAATTGCGCGTCAAATGACTGATCAGTGGCGGGAAGTTCAACTTCGCCAAAATCAATGTAGACCTACGAAATTGGAAAATCCGCGCGGGCCAAATATTATTGCGCATACGCTAAACGCAATGTACTCAGCCTCGCGTACTTTTCGTTGCGCCGAAACACCCTGACACATTGCCAATTTTTAAAATTTCGTTCAGTCATTCGACGCCGACAATACTTCCGTATAATTTTGCATAAGCATATGAAATGTAGCAAATATCGAACCTTCAAACATGACGAGTCGATACACGGTTGCTTCCGGAACACACTGAATCCATATTTAGCGATAGTCCAGCATTTTCCATCAAAATCTTTCGTTATTGTCAGCTGACGAGCACGTTCCATTTTTGCGCGTTTTTGACGAAGTTGTTCTTTGGTGAATGTGAACTGATCACATCCACTTTTAACTGGCCACCATGTACCGTTTCCAAGCGTTCTAAATATTTAAAAATACGAAACTGCGAAAAAACTGCATTAGAACCTTCCGCTTTGAACATTTCCGAGAACTTCTGCGATATTTTGTTTCCATCCGAGATCATAAGGATACACCCATGGCTCGATCTCTTCACCATCTTCATCGCAATTATTTCGTAAATTGATCGCTTTGTTGTCTAAATATTTCACACTTTGTGTTCAAATCCAAGGTTAAAATTTACGAAGCGTTGGGTATATTGTCGTTATAAAATCTTTCTAAATCATTAATAAATCAAGGTTAGCTGCTTCTTTTTTTGTTAGTTAAACCCTTTTCTCTCCAAAACTTTAGGATTCTTCTCATTATCTTTCAGTATCGTTGTCTATTCGATTTTACTCCACTATTTTTTATTTATTAATTCTTTGCATATATGCATTTTTTTTAATTTACTATTTCAAAAAATCGTACCGATATATTCTTCGATTCCATTTTTGTTCTTGACGACATATTTGATTTGCACATATAGAAGAACGGAAAGAGCGATCGCAACTCCAGCGGCGAACGCGAATGCCATAATCAAGAGAATAAAAGAGAGTGGAGTTGCAATTACAATAGGCTCGTTTCCACTTCCATAATGCATGAACCAACCCTGAACAATGTAGCTTAATTAAAATAAATTAACTTTACTCCGTTTACTGCGAATATGATATAATATAACGCGAAGGAATCAAGGATAAGAGCATGGATGCAGCCGCAAACCGCCGCGGAAAGGAATCGAATGAAATACGCGTGATTTCGGTGGCCGACACAATTATTGATCCAAGCTAATATCATTTATGAAATACATAATCATGAATATTTCATCACTCACGACAATGATGGTCCATTTTCATGCAGCATCGGTTGCATTTCGAGCAATGGTGCGATCTGGGTACCTTGTAGCCACCGCATGGAACACACGCTTGCAGCAGATCAACCATTTTTTCTCGGTGTGGCTTCCAACGCTTCGGAACATATCCAGGGCCGACATAAGAAGCAGCAAGAAGATTTCCAATCGTGAAAAAATTCCATTGAAGAAAAATCATTTGGTTGATAAAACCGAGGATCGTGTTTAACGGCAGCCATTGGATATTGAAAAAGGTTGTTACAATACCGATCTAAAACAACATAAATCGATTTATTAGAAATTGAAATCTGGAATTTTGTGTACTGTAAGTTATTTATGGGCCTATTCATTGAATAAAAAAAATGTAAAAATTATACATTTCGATTCATATCTTAATTTTTATTTGTTACAAACTATTTTACTTATTTGTAACTAAAACGACATTTTAAAGATGTCACTTAAACTCAAAATTTTGAATTGTCACCAAAACCGCAGTTGTTGTGGATTTGCGCAAGCACTGGCGGTTGATTTTGATTTATTTTTAGGTTTAAAATAATTGAAATAAATAATAGCACACGAAAATGCGTAAAAACGCCGTGACCAAACCGAACGAAATCGGGCGACCAGCGGATGGCGAAGTCTACTGTAGAGTTGGGTCACGTAAAAATAGGTGTCTCGATTTACTCCAAATTGTGTGCGGAATTATCCGTATGGACTACACAAACTCTTCGCCTTGTGACCATTTTGTCAATTTTTCGCAGACGCGCGACATCGGCAATATAATTATGTACTGTTGCAAAAAAACGAGCAGCGAGCATTGATTCGCGATAAGTTAGCTTCACATGTTATCCGTAGTACGGTACTCGAATTGCCGCTGTTTAAATTCAAATTTGAATTACCGCTTCGAAATAATAGAATGGTCCGTAATTTTTCAAGTTGCTCGTTTTTATGCGATGATAATCACCCCAAAATTGTTTTCATGTTCAATTTAACGATTTGGTAACCGGTTCGTCACCATAATTCTGCAGAATATTTAAACTGAAAAAAAAACGTCACAAATTTTTGGTTGTATTTTCCTAATTTTGGTGAAAATTTTCCGTATACTCACATAAGAGATAAGAAATAACGCAAATAATGGACCCCAGTGCATCATTCTATTAGTAAGCGTCATCGGACCCGTATCCGGATTCGGAGCAGGCCAACTCGGCGGCCTGGTGAACTCACGTTCATCCATCGAGATCTACAATCGAGTTGATAGCTGACAAAAGCGACAATCACCGGTAAATATAACTAAAACTGTTAGAAAAAACCCTTAACACCCAAATAAACTCAATAATTCTTGTTCAAAACTTTATTCAATTCAAAGATATAATTGTTTGTGGATTGATGTATATTATAATTATAAAACGTTGAATGTATGTTAGAAATCAATGAAGATCATCGAAAAATCAAATAGGAAGGAGGTTAAAAATTTAAAAAAAAACAAAATATATTGATAACAAAACGCTTCAATAAATATGGAACGAGGTTCTAGTTTTTGCGTTTCGACATGTATGCCTCGAGCTCCGCATCGAGTTCAGCTTCGGTCTTCTTTGGCCTAAAATAACCAAATACAATATAACGCTGAAAAAAGTGGAATAATACTTTGCTTCGCGTCCCTTTCTTCCTCGGAATCCACCGCCGCCTTTCTTGGTCTCACCCTCGTGAACTCCGTCGCGAAGGAACGACTCAGCACCTAAAAGAATGATCTATTGGCTTAGCTAATTTTAAAAATTGCGAAGCAACTATTGTATTGAAGCTTTTAGACTACCTTAACACGCCTTTTACATTTCATAAATAATTACCGTTTCCTTTTGGCTTGCGCCCATTTCGGATTGGTCGCGTATCTCTGAGGCGCTTGGCGCCGAAGTCGACTCTTCCAGAAATGCTGCTTGTGTCAACAAGCGCGAATTTCATCACCTGAAATCATATAAGCGTTCAAACGCGGTCCTAAGTGTCGCGTGGCGTGGAAAGATCGGGTGCATTCCCATCAAAATTCAGTCGCGCAAAATTGAGGTGAAGAATTGTATTGGATTGGCGGCAGAACATCGATTGAGTGGGTGTGAATCCTCTCGTTGATTGCTCAAGCCGAAACCATTGAACACCGGTCAACTACATTATCATTGATGAGCACACTTTGATAGAGTGTGAGCCATTTTCGCTTAATACGATTGCACCACACCCCCACGTGGGATTCACTCGTGTACCTGTCCATCGAGCGCAACGCCAGAATATTGCTTGATGAGGCGTTCAGCATCACGCTTTCTAAGCGTAATGTCACCAGTTCCAAGAGATTCACCTGCAGTTTATTAATAAGTAAAATAAATTTCATGGGTAATTACCATGCTCATTGTAGTTGACAACAGCTGCTTCGAGACCGAAGTTACCGAATAACTCGTCCAAATCACTTGCAATAACAGTTGGTGCCAAATTGGAGATGTTAACACGAACAACCTTATTTCCTGAAAATTACATTTTATTGATTTCTTTAGTTTAGCGATTCGATTACCGCCGCCAGTCGATGGAGCATCGATATCTTTCCATGGACTGCGTCTTCCGAATGGTCTGTTACGGTGGATTGGGCCTCCTCCTCCTGATTTTCTGAATGATTTCTTACCTAAAATAAAAAAATCATTAAATGTATTAAGTTAAATTTTTACCAATGCTTCCTTTTCCTTTTCTTGTCTTTGAGATGATTTCATCAAGGGACATGTCAACATTGGTAGCTCTGACCATTTTTTATCTGAAATGTGCGCATAATTAAAAATAAAAATATGCAGAAAAAAATTTCGAAACAGCTAGAATTAGAGCGTACACAAAACAAACTTTTTTCTTCTTTTCATGACCGTAATTAATCTTGTTTGATAAAAATTAAATAATATAAAAAGATAAATAGATGCGAATGATAAACGTGACAATCTAAAAATATGACGAAACTGGCGTGCAAACGACGCGAGACGCGGTAAGAGACGCTGCGCAGCGCGGCAAATGCGCTCTATTGCGAAGAAATTCGAAAAAAGTTGATCGATTCTGACAGTGAACAAGAGTGCATAATGAAGCAGATAGGAAGAGTGGGATAAACTATCACATAACTGATAAATATGTGTGGAAAGAAAATACCAAAAGAATATCGAACCACAATGGTTTAAATAAATGAAAAAGCGAATTTCGCGCTTATCAGAAAGTTCAAATATATATTCAATATATAAAAAACATTTTAAAACCTGTTTAAAGCAAATACTAAGATATTTTAAAAATACTAGATTAAAAAAAACTTTTTAAAAATAAAATGCAGCAAGTTTCAATTAAAAAAGAATGAAACTCAGCAATTCGTGCGGGAGAAACGGCGGAGTATTTTTATCATAACTTTTCCCGCAAGAACAGTCAGGAATATATATTTTTTAGGAGGGAAATGTGATATAACTTACTGTAAATATAATAGAAATTTAAAGGTGCATTAAAATTTAAGAGCGTAAATTTTTGCAACGTTTACAAATACTAAATCCCAATCAATTTTCGTTTAATAATATGAATATACTTTTTTTAAATATTAAAAAAAAAATATATATATATATATATTGTATATTCCTGACGGATATAGGCGGAGAGTGGCTAATTTCCAATATATTATGGATCTATTCGAAAAAAAGTAATAATCTTTTAGAAAAAATTATTACCACTGTACATTAAATTTGTATTTTTTAAATCCCTGCATTTGAAAATGTGTATTTTTTCGTGTAATGACTCTTCGCCACGCGATATCGGTCAGATGCATCTTCGTGCGCCTTTAATTTATCTCATAGGTCGCATTTCCACCGAGCAGCGTGAAAATCCGCGGAAGGAATTTGCAATATATATAATTGAATTTTCCAATATTTTTAAATTTAAATTTTAAACTAGTCTTTCGAAAAAAAAATGACAAAAAGGATCCAACTAAAAAGGACTTTGACTTTGAATTTATTAACTTATGAATAAAAACGAAAAAAAATTACAAACATTTGTTATTAAAATACTTAAATACATGCAAGGATGGTTGAGTAAAATAAAATATGTATTTATAAAAATACGGTTTTATTTTCTTCGTCATTTTCGACTTCTTCATTTTTTATATTTGGTCTCGATAGTGCGTAGAACGTAGTTGGACGCAAGTAGCGTGATTCGAACATCCAACCGATGTGGGTACCACAAGCGCATTGAATAATTGTCCACGAATAGCCAGGAAACCAGGAAAAATCTTGAACAGCCGATCCGTAGAACTGGTAATTTCTTATTTCCCTTACGGTGATGAGATCGTGAACGACGCCACCTAAAATTAATAATTGGGACAAATTGAGAGAACGAATAATACCCGGATTTACAAATTGTCCGGCAATTTCATGTGAGCCCATTCTTACAACTTTCGATGTATCAGACAAAACATCGCCACAATTTTTGCACTTGAATGATTTAATCTAAAATCGAGTTATGCTCTTCAAAATGCCTAAAATTCTTTACTTTTCTGGCTAATTCCAATACTGTCGCAATTCGTTCGTCTGTCGTTTTCATCTCCAGCAATTGATACTTGACTTTTTGTACACAAAAAATGTTAGAACATGCCCAGAAACCAAATTCAACGATATCCTGAATATCAATTTTGTAGGAATAAATTGGAGACAATTTATTTACATTTTCTAGCAAAGTTCGTAGCCGTTCTTCGGGATAATATTGAGCGAAATAGGTGAGAAGTTCCTCGCAATATTCTCTCTATAGAAATATGTCAATTATGACAATTTTTAATTGTTATGTTATACCGTAAAATCTCGTTGCAGAAAAGTAGGTATGTTTGTAATTTCTTCGAGCTGCTTCTTCATTTTCTTACTCCTTTTGATACTTTCCAAATAATATGAGTGTGTTATGGGAGTCATTACGGTTTCTGGTAAAACTTTGACGGTTGCATACGTATCGGGCTCCAAATCCAGTACTTTGCATCTTTGAATTGCTTCAAACTCGATTCTTTTGCATGTGTCTCTATTTAGCCTATCGGCGGTAAACTTGGTGATCTTAATCAATCCCTATGTTAAACTCCAAGCTTTAATTCAATACTTTTGCGATTACTGCCGTTCGCGGTAGAGTTATATCATCTTGTCTGTGTAAATGATAGTCTCTCTCATTTTCAAATAAGAGAAGGACCACCAATTTTTCATTGTGCAGAGTACTGAAGTTGTCAAATCCATAATTGTTGTTCATTGGCACTTTTTGGCCTTAAAATTTTAAATTATTTTATTTACATCAAATGAAACAAACAAGTCACCTGGAAAAATGACTGTAGAAGCTTTGACAGATCGCAATCGTATAATCTCATTCTCTTTCGGATATTCTGGAGGTTCCACCATAACCACGTCTAATTGGAAGAGATAGGGATGCTCTTGAGTAAGCTGCAAATCATCAAATAGTTTGCAAAACGTGATATTGGATTTCATTCCTACATCGGGGTTGAAATCAGCCAATCGATTAGTGTTAATGTTTGGTGCTCCAAATAATTCATCGTCGGGATTATAAAGGATAATATTTCGGGCCATCTAAACAAAAGAAATATACACTTTACATATGTGAAAATACCTCATTGAGAATATTTTCTGGGCGAAATGTGCTCAGAGAACCTGTGGAGCTCTGAAAAATAAACAATTTTTTATTCTTTGTTACGTTTTGCTCTTTTATATACCGTATCGCTCAAATAATCATCTTCAGAGTAGTGATCAGACTCATCCATCTAAAATGAAATAATTTGTTTCTTATTTACGAATCAAATAATTCTAAAAAATATACAAAATTTTGACCTCTATTAGGTTTTGTTAGATAATTCAATCGATTTTGTCGGGAGAATTTCTGGTAACTCAAAACCAATCGGATCCGGCAAAAATTGGCTCCGGAATCAAGCTAATCCGATTTGAAATTCTACGGATAAGATTGTAAAATTGTCAAATCCTATTGGTTCTTTGGGTATTTTCGGATTCGATTCGCATTGAAAAATTAAAAAAAGACGAATTTGAATAATAACCAATCGGATCGGATCCGAAAAATTACCAGTAGGAACCGAAAATACCCAGACAACCAATCGGATCCGACAATTTCTCAATCTTATCCGTAGAATTTCCTATCTGATAAGATTGGTTCCGGAGCCGGATTTTGTTGAATCCGATTGGTTTTGAGTTACCAGAAACGCGAAAAAACGGTGACGATAACAAGAAAATTATTCCGCTTTCATTGTCTCGTCCGTGGCCTAGTTGCTTCTTGAAACTTTCTAGGCCATGATGAGAATTTAAATATTTTCAATTGAAATTTGCACACATAATACTGATATTTATTCCCTCATTTTGTGTGTTTCAGTCATTTATAAACGAAAGGTGCCCAGCGCAATAATATTTATGCATTTATTGATTATACGAATCCGTAATCTTGGTTAGGCTGAATTCCTTACACCCGGTTTATCACATTTTCATTTTGAATTGTTTCATTGCGTTCTAATGTTTTCACTTTAAAAAAATCGTATGTCAATTTAAATATGAAAATTTCAGTGGAAAGGATGCCGATCAGCTATTATGTTTCGGCAAAAAAATCGACTGTTGTTAAGAAAGCTTGCGTTGGAAATTTCGCAAGTTGGATCCTTTCATTTAATTTGGTTCAATTATTTATTTCAGCCAATGATGAACTCAATCTCATTTTTGAGCGAGGAAATCACATAGAAGTCTATCGTGTGACTCCAGAAGGATTAAAATCGTTAATTGAGATTCCAATTTTCGGAAGAGTTATCTGTATGAAAATTTTCCGTCCAAAAAATGAGGTTATTAATCCAAAAAGCTGGTTTTTCGAACCTTGTTTTTAGAAGCTTGATCTACTTGCAATACTCACAGAGAAAAATCACATGGCTATTCTGGCTTATGAAAACGACGGTGTTGTTACTAGAGCTGCGGGATGTATATCAGATCGAATTGGGCGATATTGCTCTGAAGGTCCCGTATTAACAATCCATCCATCAGGAGTATGTTAATTAATTTCATAGTTAAAGACAGACGAATTTGGGTTGATCATAATTTGAAATGCCGGCTACTGTATAATTTAAATTAATACCTTGAGTCTCCTATTAAAACAAAACTTGTTAGCAAATTTTGATTTAGTTATTTCAATAAAAAAAGAGCATCTTTCTATAAATTTTACGAATTTCTGTATCAAAAGACAGGCAGATTTTATTTTAGGGAGACCAATTGGCAGCCCGCGTAACTCAAATTTGTCAAATTCGTCCGGCACCGACAATAGTTTGATTTAATTTTTCATTGCAGCTGATTGCTGTGAGAATCTACGAAGGAAGTCTAAAAATTGTGCAATGGAATACTGGAAGCGATTTGAAGCATTTTAATGTGCGATTTGAGTATCTTAACGTCGTTGATGTCACTTTCATGGACACCGGAAATAGTAAGAATGCGATCAGACTTATTGGACGAGTAATATCACTTGCAGTGGACGAATATCGTGTAGCATACATTTCCGAAGATAAACAAGGACGTCATCTACGCATTGTTGATTTGAATCTCGTCGAAAAGGAATTCAAGTTTTTCACGAAACAAGAAAATATTGAAGCCGATTCGATATTTGTAATTCCAATTCCAGCTCCAGCAAGCGGTGTTGTGATTCTTGGACAAGATACGATTCTTTACCAGAAGTATGTTTGCTATTGAAAAATTAAGCAAATATTATTTCTCAAGAAACGATACGAAAGGTACCATAATCCCGCTGTCATCGGAATTACTCACAAAAACCTCATTCACCTGCTTTGCTCCGATTGATAAAACTGGAGAAAGGTACACATTTCTATTCATGGTCAATTTTAAAAAATTAATTTCAGACTTTTATTATCTGATGATGATGGACGTTTGCTCATGCTTGTCCTCAATATTCAAAATAATTCAGAGGGAACAGCTGTTGTTAAAGACATGAAGGTAATATTCCAATCAAATAACTATCGCCATCACGAATAACCGAGCACCACGAGTATTGGTGGATCATTGTATCTTTCCGGCCCGCTAATTCCAATTTCGATTAAAACTGTGAGGATATCGTGTTACGTACTACAGAAAACTTGCACATAAATAAATTACAGTAATGAGGGTGATTTTTCTTCGCGATGGTAAAAATAGAAAAATTTCATTGATATGTATTATCGGTATGCTACTAATATAAGGACGTTTGTAGATAGAATATCTCGGAGACACTTCGGTTGCTGATGACATCGTCTATCTTGACAATAGTGTTGTATTCATTGCTTCTCGACTCGGCGATTCTCAATTAATTCGTCTTAAATCTCAACCAGATGAGGTCGACGGTAGCCTTATCGAAGTGCTCGACAGATTCCCAAATATTGGGCCAATTCGCGATATGATCCACGTGGATAATAATGGTCAATCTCATTTGGTGACGTGTTCTGGAACTGGAAAAGTTGCTGCTTCTAATTAATTTTAGTTTAATGCTCTGAATTATAGGACGGCTCCTTGCGTATCGTCCGTAATGGAATCGGAATAGAAGAGGTTGCCGTGATCGATGATTTGAATGAGATAACGGTATTCTTCCAAATTTCAATCATAATTTAATTCATCACTATTTTTTAGAGTCTTTATACACTCAAATATCGCAGCCAATTCGATACTCATATAATTGCTTCAAGAATTGACAAAACCTATGTTTTAGCTCTTAATAATCCATCAGAACTTTCTGAGCTACCACCCCTCAGTATGATCTGAACATTATGAGTAATATATGAAATAATACTTCAGACTTCTTCACGGAAGGTCCTTCTTTGTATGTTGGGCAAGTTTTGGGTGCAAATGACGCTTGTGTAACTCTTCAAATTGTCGCGGATGAGGTACGCCTGATGGCTGTAAACTCGGAAACTAAAGTTTGGAAGCCTGACAACGATACCCCAATCGCTAAATATGCCGTTAACGAAAAATTTGGCCAGGTTTATAGAACATTGCTGAGTTGATACAAATTGAAATTATTCTAGGTGCTTGTTTCGGCTCGAGACATGGTTTATTACCTTCGGTGCTCATTCGATCAGGCCACTGGAGTGTTGGGTCTTACTCAAGTTGCGTCGAAACAAATGGCGGATGAAGTAGCATCACTCGACATGTCCAACGAAGGTATTTTCGAAATCGCGTGATTGCAGACGCTTTTTTTTCTAGGTGATAATCCGAACAACGAAGCGACATTTACCGTCGCTTGCATGTGGAATAATTTTAATATGGAAATCGGATATTTGCCAGAATTGAGAGAAGTTTCAAGACAATAGCTAAACTAGATAAATTATTTTTATTTTTTTAAGGTTCTCACTGTAAATCTACCTACGAACACCATCTCCCGAGCGGTTATTGCCACTTGCTTCGATTCGGTTCATTACCTTCTTGTCGCAATTGGTGACGGAACTCTATTCTACTATACTTTTGATATGTCAACTGGTGAGTATTTTCAGTAACAATTTTTCGCAGATATGCGACAATACATGCTTTCTAGCTATTTAACAATGATTATTGCATTCTAACGACTATACCATGAGGCATTATAATTCATCGATTTTTAGCCACTCTTGGAGAAGTTAAGAAGGCAATCATTGGTATTTGTCCACCTACAATGCGTCGCATTCGCAACGAAAATGGTCATCACATTTTTGTGTGCTCTGATCGTCCGGTGATTATCTTCTCGGTGAATCGTAAACTTGCTTTTTCGAATGTCAACGTCAAAGTCGTGAACACCGTTTGTCCATTAAATTCCGAGGATTACCCGTAAGTCAAGGAAAAATTACCAATTAAAGTGCGATTAATATTTTCAGTGATTGCATCATGATTTCTGATGGTCTGAGAACGATTCTTGGAAAAATAGACGACATTCAAAAAATTCATATCAGGTTATTCAAAAACTGAAAATTAATCTATTAATTTTATATCTTGTAGAACAATTCCGATTGGAGAATCTGTTCGTAGAGTGGCTCATCAAAATGCAACAAATACATATGCACTGTTGACTCAACGCATTGTGGTAGTCTTTGTATTTAAATTGTATTATAAAGTTGGTGTTAATTTTATAGAATCCTTCGCATCCGGAGAAGCACGCGAGAATCACGAGAGGTGTTAGCTCTCATTCATCCAGCAAAGCTAAACGTACGACATTTTTTTAATAGTAATTGTGGGGATATCATATATAAATTTAAAGCTCCACGAAGCGATGCGAATTTCGAAAATATCGAATCAGAAATTTCTTCATTGGTTCTTCTTGATGATAACACGTTCAATGTTCTTCATGTTCATGAGTTTGGACCATATGAGTATGGCATGAGGTAAGTGTGGAAGAAGAGCAGTTTCTTCGATTTATACTTACGACTTTCAGTTTGATATCTGCTAAACTTGGCGACGTTGACTATTATATTGTTGGAACAGGAATCATGTATCCGGATGAATCTGAACCAAAAATCGTAAGCATTTATGTTAGAAAATTTTAAAATTTAATTTTTAGGGACGTTTATGCGTTTTCAAGGCGAAATCAGATAAGGAGATTTTAGAAGTTGTCGAGGAACGCGATGTTCGTGGATGTGCGTTCGGAATGGCTGTTCTTAATGGAAAATTGCTTGTTGGAGTGAATAGCTCCGTCAGATTGTTCGAGTGGATTGATAACGAATTTCGTGTTGAATGCTCGCATTTCAACAACATCTCACCGATTTCAATTAAAACTATGGTATACTTTAACACAATAACTTTTTAAAATTTTTCTTTCTTGAAGGGGGATCAAATTCTTGTCGCTGATATTATGAGATCAGTCTCGCTTTTGACATATCGCAGCATGGAAGGGTCGTTCGAAGAAGTTGCCAAGTAAGATTTTCTATTATTGAAGAAAAATTTTGAATTGCTTGTTTAGGGATTGGAATAATATGTGGACGAGTGCGTGTGAATTGATTACTGCTGAACGTATTCTTGGAGCCGACAATAATCACAATTTGTTCACTTGTGATTCGCGCAAGTTCAAGGAAGTTCAGGATACTCGACTTTTCCTTGAAGTATAGAAAATCTCTTAATCATGGCAAACATTGTTTTTCAGCCAACCGGCTATTTCTATCTCGGAGAACTTGTGACCGTGATGATTAAATGTTCGCTTGTCCAACCTCCGTTAGACAGCATTGTTGAATATAGTCAACCGATTATGATAGGAACCGTTGAAGGCGCTATCGGTCTCATTGTTCAATTCGATGACTCGTGGAAAACGTTTTTGGAAAATCTTCAAAAGGTCATTGCCGATTGGACAAGAAATTGTTTGCAAATCGATCATTCGACGTATAGACAATATGCTGCTCCGAAACGCGTGGAGCCGGTTAGAGAATCAAAGCGAACAAAAAAAATGAGTTAATTTCAGGCAGAAGGCTTCATTGATGGCGATCTGATTGAATCAATTCTTGACATAAGTCGCAATGAGGCTATTCAAGTTCTATCGAAAATGCCAAGAACTGAATATGATAATCCAAGTGAGCATTATTAAAAATTTATTAAAATTTATTGTATTATTTTTTTTCAAATACGAATAATATTTCAGAATTGCCACAAAATCCATCGGAAATTTTAAAGCTGATCGAAGATTTGGCACGCATTCATTAAACGAAAAATTGTATTTAAAACTCAAATTCACATTGAAAATTATTATATTTCATCCTTCTCCCTTACCTTGTTTTATATTTATCAAACATTATCACCCGTGATTAACCTTTTATAAGTTGTTCTCCTATTTATTTGTTATTTGAATCTCTGAGTGGTCCGTCTTGAGTATTTTTACCTTTTTTGAATAAATTGAGACGCCTCCGATGAAAAACGAATTAGTAGTGTTTTCACTAGTGGGTGTGTGTTGCGTTTCGATTTGCAATTTAGAAAACAAATTGGATAGAGATTTTGTGTTTCTTTTTTCTTTTCGTTTTATTTTGTTATCTTCGAACGTTTCCGTTATCCCAGCTTAGTTCATTTCCGTTTTTATTCCTTGGGATTCCACAATTTGAGAAACCCTTTAAAAATTGCACCCAAATTTTTCTTCTTCAATCGTTTTCTTCTGGTGTAGCTTATTTTAACTATTTTTTTGTTTATATAAAATAAAACAATGAATGAGAGCATTCGTATAATAGTTTACCTTGGAACGATATTTTCAACTACAGATTGAAAAGAATGTGAATTTTCTATTAAATTTGAAGCTTAAAACATAGATATTTAATGAGACCTTGGTTGATTTTTTCGAGAATCTCACATGTGTCATCATAACTTTGTTTAATTTTGTCTATTTCTCCCAATTCAATTTGACTGGTCTCATGCGAACAAAAAACCAACATATCTCTCAAAGTGAAATGTGATATATGTTGGAAGATCGCATTCAAAAAACATTAACTCCGTGAAGAGTTGTTCGCCTCGTTTTGCATGAAAACCCAATTCTTCGTATATGCTTTGTTTTGGTTTATTTTTTTGCGACCTACCCGATTTTAAGTCGTTTTTTTTTTCTTTTTCAAATCACGGAAGACCAAGAATTAATTTAAAAAAAAACGAGTTCAAGAATGCATGCCTCAACGGATAGGATGAGCAGCTGTTGCTTTTTCGTCAGTTCGTTTTTTTTGTTTCTTCCATTCATTCATTTTGTGTCTTGTTTGTGATAGAGCGTTTAATCAATAAAACTTTTAGAAATGTCGGAAGATAAGCTAGAAGTTAAAGAAACCGATATGGAAGATACTCAACGGGATATCGTCATCGGTATTGTTCGTGAAGCTCAACGGTTATATAACATCGATAAGGTGAGTCGATGAAAAAAGTAATGTATCTTCATGAAATGTCAATTAAAAAAAAGACTAATATAAAAATTACATCAAATGTTTTACAACTCTGCATTGGAAAATTTTATACATTTTTTATCGCCCAAATACTTTCATTTATTTTATTTGATTCTTCATTCATTCGCGAGTTTTGATAAAGTTTTTTTTTAATTAGCACGTTAAATAAAACCAATTTGTTGGTTTCCTTGTTTTAAACACCTTATTGAATATTTCTAATCGAATATTTAAAATAGATTGAACATCGTACACAAAAAGTCTAAAATCAGTGGTTTTTGCGGAAGTTACAAGATTATTGGAACTAACTAATCAAATGCTTTAACCTCTCCCCGCAAAAATTTACTCACACACACTCTCTCTCTCTCTCTCTCTCTGGCACTCCCGATACTACGATACTTTCTTAAAGTAGGTTTTTGTGAACACAATACGCTAGTGACGTGATTAGTAAACAATTGTTATGAAATATCAATTGACGGAAACAAAAATGAAATAAAATTTTAATTATAATTAGATATTTTTTGTAGCACCATTTAGAGAAAATAAATACGTTCTTTCCACGAAACACGCCATCAAATATATTTGTATGTAGTTCAATCACGAAAGACATTGCAAAAAACAATGTTTGAAAGTTTGTTTGCCACTTATTACCGGAATATGGCTTACAAACTTTAAATTGTTTAATAGCATTCTATTAAAAATAAATCGGAACGAGAATTTAGGATGTGGCTGCGTTTGTGAAAGAAGAACTCGATAAGAAGTTTGGTCCCACGTGGCACGTGATTTGCGGAAAGTGCTTCGGAAGTCGGGTGAGCTACGAAATGGGCCACTTCATCCTATTAAAATGCAATAATAAAGTAAGATGAGATGCTTATTTAGCTATTTCTATTAAATTTACAAAATTTCAGGTGAACGTAATGATTTACAAATGCGGATATTGATAAAACATTTTTCATTGACTTACGATAAAATTATCAAATAAATTAATACCAAAAAAAAAACAATTGAGTTATTAAAAAAACCAAAATATGCTGTATACGGCAGGAACACAAAATAAATAGAAACCCAAATATGGGTTATTAAGGCACTAATTTATACAAACAGAAGGCACCAAAATAATTGGTTCGACACTAATTATAAAACGGATTTGAATTGGTGCGGGCGATTTTATTCGATTTTGTGGTGGTGATTGATAGATTTCTTGAGTTTGAAGTGGAATTTTTAATTTCGGTTAAATATTGTTGTATGGGTTTCTGTTGGGGGGGGGGGAGACGATTCGCTACACATCTGAGGGAACGAGATGACAAGAAAAGTTCAACACGTTTGAGAGACAAAAATTGAGGAGAACTGCTTAAATCAAGTGTCTTTAGAGCGAATTCTGAAGTTGTTTGAAAATGTTCGAAGCATGAGTAACGAACAAGTTGTCCGGAGCAGATTGGTTTAGAAGACCACCGACAGTAGAAACGACCTGGAAGAAATCAACCTGATGAGCATAAAGGCAACTCTCTCAAATATATACCAGCTTAATCATATGTCGATAATTTTCGAATTCCTCATTCTTGGCATTGATTTGAGCTTCAAGCTCTTGAATCCTTTGCCAGTTCGACGCACATTCCTTGCAACCGTCGGTTGCCTGCGACGCTGGCGAAATGCTGCTGCTACTAGCTCGAACTTGCGTCTCCAACGGTACAGGTGATGCTTTCTGCGGGCTTGATGCGCATGAGGTATCGGTGCCTGGATCAGCAGCATCAACCTGAACTTGGTGATCCGAAGATGATGAAGAAGAAGCAGATGAGATGGACGATGATGAGGGCGCATTGAAAATATTAAATTGATTTTCAACACTGGCGGTATTCGAAGCGATATGATGCATGTAGGTGTGAATCGCGAATGCTGATTGATTGTTGAAAGTCGCCTTACAAATCATACAGATCAATGGGATCGAAGGAATGTTGTTGTTGAGTCCTTGATCCTGTTTTATCAACAATGATGATAAAGCGGCTCTCTGCTGTTGTTCTTGCTGTTGCGCGAAGATCTTCTGAGCCACCTTTGCCAAATCGGTGGTCAACGGAATCGGCTTGATTGGCGAGCTAGTACTTCTCGATGGCGATGACATTTTGCCTTTGCACTTGAGGTAATGCTCATCGAGCATAATCTGTTTGAGAAAAGACCTCCCGCATTGCTGACACGAGTATCCACGCTCCTGATGGATCTTCATATGCCGATTGAGATCAAACTTGAAGATGAAAGTCTTATGGCATTGCTGGCATTCATGAGGTCGCCCTCCAGAATGAATCATTAGATGTTGTGTGAGATGGCCTTTCTGAAAGGATATGATTGTTTGAGCAAAATCGCACATTTCAAATGTTACCTGAAAAAAGGCCTTGTTGCAATGCGGACAAACATGAGATCTTTGGCCAGTATGCCACATCCAATGTTTTTTCAACAATTGACGAGTACCAAACTCTTTTCCACACTGGGTGCACTGAAATAAACTCTATTGAAATCGATGGTTGAAATTGCGATTTTCCGAACATTCTTTAGAATCACCTAGAAACTTATGAAAAGCAGCAGGTTGGATTTCAGATTTCAGATCAAAAAATTCAAAAATTGTTTGGAATAATTTTTTAGACACAAATCAAACTTTTAATATGTAATGAAAACTTGCAAAAAAAGAGGGATTAAAGAGTTTATTTATGCGAGAAAAACTGGCTGAAACAAGTCATTATCGAAAGTATTGGGGAAATTTCCGAGTTTTTTGCTAGTTTGAAGATAAAAAGTATTTTGAATTGCACGAGTCTGATTCCCACGTCAATTAAATATCCAATGACTCACCCGATGCGGCTGCTCTCCGCTATGTATCCGCATATGTGTTGCGAGCTCGCGTTTGACGGCGAACATCTCATGGCATTCCTCGCACTCGTACCGTCCTTTCACTTCATGTGGACTGCTCAATGACAGTGCGAATGTCGGCGAGATGTGCGAAGAATCCGTGTCCGATGAGTCGTCGGTCTCCATTTTGATCACGTCGACCTTCATGCTTTCCAGCTGAAATATTCACAATTTCTCAACATTTCAAAAATTCGAAATGGATAGAAAATGAATGACGTGGCGGTTTTGGCGACCCGTTTTGGCGGGTGGCGGCCCAGTTTCAGCCGAGTTTGTTTTTGGAATGACCTAGAAACGAACGCCGCAATGAAGCAAACAACATATGGAAAAGAGATTGCCAATTACAAAGCTGCAATTAGCGCAGCATTTGAATAATTGATAACAAGTCTTGATTTTTGGGCAGTTACATTCATTTTTGAATAAAAAATGAATATATTATGTATACAACTGAGAAACTCTATTATTTAAGTGCAATTCGGCTGAAAATGCTCTGTTATTTTAAGAGTTACAGTTTTTTTTTACCGGATTCAAACCGACGATTGAATTTCTTCAGAAAAACTGAATGCAGCAGGGGTTAGGAGAAATGCAAATTTCATGAAATTAGTACTGTTATTGGAGCTAATGGGCTCATAACGTGTATTAAAGCAAATTAGAATATGGGAAGATTTAAAACAGGTCATAAAGGGTCCGAACATGAGAAACTAATGAGATTTCGCGCACATTTGCTCTACCGTACTCCGAGTCCGACTCCAAACTCATGACATAAAAAACAAAAGTTATCGGCTGGCATAAAAAAAAACTCAAACGATGATGGAAGGCTGGCGGCGGGTGATCCGCGGGGCGGATATATGCAAATGACTGCCACCACCATCCTCCTCCTCCTCCTCCTTCTTCGCCTCGCCCATCGGCTCCGAAGAACACATTCAATCGGACCAGTGTAATATGCGCGGCATGGCACAGGCGTGCACCGAATCGCGCGCAGTTCGGATCTCCGCAAAAAAAGAATGTGTGTGTGTGTGTGTGTGTGTGTGGGGATATGTGTGCGTGCTCGCAAAAATTCTTACGGTGTTGTTGTGATGCGCCGACTGCTCGTGTGATTGAAGCTCATCGAGCGTCGTGAATGCCACCGGACAGTCGCTGCACTGGAAGCAGCAGCCCAGAGTATTTGGGGACTCCATGTTTGACTCTGAAATTTTTGCTGAGTTTGATGAGCTTGGATTCGAATTGAAAACTGAAAGATGACGTCGACGTTGCGCAACACAATTCTATATTATATTTATAAATCGCAAATATCTCACATTTCTTAGTTTACATTCAACTTTGTTTTGATTGCAAAATAATAATCAACGATTAAAAAAAGGACAAAAATATAGAGTTTTGAAATTCACATATTCAGCTTAATTTTCAGACTATATTGAATTTGTTTCTATTATTAAGTTTTCGTGAGTTCTTTGAATCTACAACATCACATTTCCCCATTATATTCCTAAATCTTGCTTGATCAGAACTCTGTGCCCAAATTCGGAGTCCATACAATCTCTATTATTGATTTGTATTGAATCTTTAAATTGGAGCAACTCAACTATTATTTTAATCAGAAGAAAAACTAGATTGTGAAGATTTGCTTCATTCCTCAAATCTGATTCGAATCTAAAGTAAGAAGCGATTAAGGAGTGATAAGATCTGAACAAGGAAGGGAACAAGCTTAAGATTCGCGCACCCACACACAAAAAACACACACAACGACCGCTATTAGCCGAAGTCACTTCCTAAACAAATATACCAATCAACATCATCATCATCTTCGGGCATGTTGACCTGTTCAGTCAATTAGGTAGGTTAGAGTGTCTCTATGTGTGTGTGTGTGTGTGTGAGTAGGCGAAAGAGCCGCTCCCGTCGGCTCAACAAATAACTGGGGGTCCCGCCTGAGGTCGAGCACTCGGCCCCTCCCAAAAAAATTGATGATCAGAAGTATAAAAAAGCGGACACACGGAAAAAACATGAGAGTCTGATTGACGACAATCAAAAAACGACTGTTGTGGGGGGTCGGACGGGGTGGATGAAAGACACATGTGAAAGTAATCAAGCATCCGATTTACGAGCACGAGTCGAGGACCACCCTGCACTTTTTTGTTGGCGTCCAGCGTTTTTCTTGTGCTAGTTGGCACCAATCACATTTGTTTCAGATCATTGTGATTCTTGACGAGCCCGAATTACGCGCTTGAATCATGTTCCCGGCTAAACGCCTTTCGGTGGTACCGACGGGCACCACGAACACAAAATCTCGTCGTTCGACGCGTTTTTCATTTTGTGAATGATTTCGAGTGAAATATTGTTGAATGGGTTCCAACAGGAGATTCGTACACATGATTGATTTAATTGAGAGCGAGCCATGGGTTACTGAAGGCGAGCCATGGGTTACTGAAGCTCGAGTCATTAGGAAAATTTTGATATTCGCTACTAGATTGAAGGAAAAATTATGTTTTTAGATTATGTCTGTTTCAAGTCAATTCAAATACAATCTCATTGCAAAGCAAAGTTTGCCACTAATACTTCAATCAGAATATCAATTATTTGATAGTTTAAATTAAAAGTAATAAGGAGGTATCGAAAAGTTTGCAAATTACATTAACATTGAGATTTTCACGATTCAAAATGTTAAAAATTGAAATATTCAAATGAAAAGTGAATTAGCACAAAATAATCATGAAAATTGCAGAAAAAACTTGTAAGGGGGGCGATTTGAAAAATATTAATTTAACAAGAAATGGCGGTTTGAAAATGTCGAACTTATATGAAAACAATAATTGAAATATTTTAGGCGATTTTTAGAATCTGTTAGAGATTAAAATAATTTCAACAAGTTTACTAAGCATAAGAATACAAAAAAAAAGCAAGATGTTGAGTGTTTGAATGCGCGCGGCTGAGCCTCACACACAAAAGTGGGCGTGGCTCGAGTTGCGCGGTCCTCCACGCGGCTGCAGACTACGGTAGGACGACGTCTCTTTTTTCTGATCGCGCTCAAAGCATGTGTCGTCGTGCGCAAAAGACTCAACGAAATCGAGAGACTACGTGATTCGGTACTTTGTCGATTCGCAAGGAAGCGAAACTCATCACGGCGCTGACGCCTGACCCCTCGACATACACACACACACACACATATATATATATATATATACATATATTGAGAGACAGACAGTAACCTAACTAAAAGCACAATTTCATTTTTTTTCGGCGCGAGCGCTACGCCGACCCGTCTATTGTGCAAAATTTTTCGACAAACAGTTTTTGGCGAGCGAGCGCTTGAAATATACTTGCGTGATGTCAACAAGTCGAGCTACTGTCCAAGTTGAAATACTCATGGATTATTTAGACAATCTCTGGGGGCGTCCATCCTGATTACTTACTTCGTATTTCGAACTTCCGAATCTCGTCGAACTTAATCTTGAATTAAAGCGAAACGTTAAAAATTATACCTCAATAATTAGTGTTATTGTGGGGAAATGATTGACTCGTTTGATTTACTTTGAAATAATTTCAATATTCTGAAGAATCTTACGTGAAAATTGATTTATGATTATTAAAAAGTGTGTTTTATTTTTATTAAACATCACTAGATCTGTTTAGATAATATTCGCGATTTTCACCAAAAAATTCAATTTTTTTCGAAAAATTTCGTAATCTTGTGCATGCAAAATAATCCAATTAAGCATCTCATTTTACGATTTCAATTCACAACAGACTTTAATGACCAGCAATTGGGTATTCCCACAGTAAAACGCATGTCTTATTCAAATAACGTTCATTGTGTTGCTCACAATCCCCAATTCATTATACGCTTTCTTCGTTTTTTTTTTAGAACTTCTCCAAAATCTTTTAAGAACATTCTGAAACAAAAAACAGTGTTCGCATGCGCCTTTAAACAACCTCACGCAATGCAGAGAACAAATAAAAAAACCAAACGGTTAAAAGTTTTTGGTTAAAATCGGAGCCTCGGATCGATATTGTTTACCCGTGAGCGGACTACTGTGTTTGCGTTTTTTTTTCGGTATTGCGCCATTTTTCTCAATTCCATCGTCCGTTCGTTTGAGGTTTTGCAAGGATGCCCAGCGTGCAACTTGCATTCGGTGGAGAGTGGGCGTCTGGCGAATTTGACCCGACTCGCGCATCGCTAAACTCAACATGTGTCGGTTCTGGCGATTTTTCATGACGGTCTGATTCTGCCAAAAACCCCTCCCATTCCGTCATCAAGACAGAGGAATGTGAGCGAATGAATGGGGTGAGTGCCGAGTGGTGGATGAGTTAAATGAAGGAGGCTGGGGGTCATGTTTGAGCACACACAAGGCGGATTGGTTACAAGGTGCGGCACCCGCCAAAAAGATACACGGTCCGGCTTACAAGTGTGTGCTCACATTCGCCACACTGTCTTAAATGCAACGGTTCACGACGAAACGGACACGTCGGATCATCGTTGCGCAACTCTTTAAGACAATACCGCTAATGATGATACTTGACGGGTTGAGCGATTCAATATAATCAAAGTATACATAAGACGAAACATCGTCTTTTGCTCAATAGTTCCAATGGAAATCAAACTAATTAATGTGCGTTAAGTTGAATTACGATTTGAAATATGCAAGCCGCAAAAAAACATTTGATTCATCACATTGACTTCAATACTGTAGGTATATAAAGTAGCTCAAATTACGTTTCTCCTTGCTTATATATTTCTCCCTAACAAATTATCCATCGGGAAGACGATGAATAACAAATTGTATTGTTTATCTCCTAGAAAACAGACCCAAAATCAACATAAACATTTAGTTAATGCGTACATACGCAAGGATTTTGCGCAAAAAAATAAAAGAATTTATTCAGAAAGATAAGCGAAGCAATTATCGCATTGAAAAAAAAAAGCACAGAAATTAAATACAAAAGTCTCAATATAAAATTATTTTAAATTTATGCCATGATAGGCTTTTTGCAACTTATTTTATTTTGAATGAAAAAATGACTAAAAACATTGAGAAAATTTTGAAAACGATATTCTTTTTTTGAATAAAAATATTGAGATCATTCAGCCTTTACGCCTGAATTTTTTTGATTAAATTTTAAAATAAATGATAAGAACACGATTTTTTTTTTCTAAAAATCAATCAAAGCTTTATTTTCAATCTGTTTTACTTTTTTAACGGTTTTCTCTTCAGAATATTTATGAAAAATAATTTGAGTGTGATCGAAAGAATGGAAAATATTAGGATTTGAATCGAAACAAAAACAAAACGAAGAAAAATAAATGAAAATAGGGCTTGTTTTTTTAAGAGTTTTTGCAACATGTGAGGAAAAGCAGACTCATGAGCAAAAAGAAGATCAAGCGCACTTTTCGACGACGACAGAAATCTCAAAAAAAAATGGGCGATGGACCTGCAGGAGCAGGCAAAGTAATTGATAACAAGAGGTCCCGTTGGCGGGCGAGAAAGAAATGTGCAAAAGTATGAGTGTCCGTGACAAGAGGTCACTTTTTTTGTGCCAGGAGCATGAAGTTACCATGCGCGAGCAGGCCTCAACAGCTGCTCGCTCATTCGCTGGCCATCCCGTCATTGTTGTGGACTGTGGCGCGGCGACTTCAAATATGAGGGGGACCATTGAAACATTGGTGGGTTGACTGGGAGGACAATGCATAAATGTTTGGCGCGAAATATGATACGGACCATGTTAATCCGTTCAACAGTTGCAATCAACTCGATCTTCACAACAAATAAAGACGGCAAATATTTGTGACCAAAGCAAAAAAAAATGGAGGGTTTTGAAATTGACGGAAAGAAAGAAGCGAAATCTGTCGCTTTTTTTAAATGAATCATCAAGGAAAACATTTGAGTAGCCCGCTGCGAATAGTAATTACAAATATCGCACAACTTGCAAAACGCTCAACATTTTTCACACAATTTTTGATATTCAATATTCAAATTTAATTATAGCGACAATTTGAGTACGGTACCATTTCGAACTGCTGTTCTATTGGTTCCGTAAAATCGAAATTGATGTCTATTTGACACTTTTCATACTAAATATTCATTAAAAAATTATGCGACATTATGATAGTTTTGGTCTCGAGCAAACTAACGGATTATTTTGCATTGAATTCAAATGTAGAAATACCCGTGGAGCGGAAGTCGAT